ACCTGTAGCTGCCCCTACCTGCCTGACCAGGGCTGCTGACCTTTGTACACCAATCTGCCTCTTCCTTTGAAAATCGCTTGACTTATTATTCGCTGATGTAGATGGGTACTTGACAATGTTCAATGTTTAGTAAGCAAAGCCCTTTCAGTTCTGTGTCTTAGGACTTGTATGTGCTGTAATTGTTTTCTGTTTTAGGTTTAGAGCTTATTTGATTCCACCTGTATTGTCTGTGTTTTGCTTCATACATCTGTGAGAGAGCTTGTTTTGTTTCTAGAAGCTACTAGATCTGAGGATCTCTCCCAGCTATTTCTTGAATGAAGCCAGGAAATCAGTTTCAGGAACATGACAGGTAGCTTGTTCCACACTCCCGCCACCTGTTGTGTAGTGGAAGTATGGCCTCCCTGTCAATGGACCCCCACAGACGGACTCTCTTTCTGTCCTTCAGACATTATTGTAAAAACAGGTTTAATCAAGACCTCAGTGTTGAAGTGGCATCGTCTTCTTTTTCACAACCTTTTTATTTTTCTTCTCGAACGAGCCCCTGTGTGCAGAGCTTACTATAAAAATAAGGGCGTTTACAAACGATCACAAGGTGCCAGTTCCTGGCACCACTTGAGCAAGAAACCTGATAAAAACTTCTCCTCTGAAGGTCACCCTCGACACCTGGGCCTCAGATACCCTTCTCTCCCGGACAGAGGAGAGATCCAGGCTCATTCCACCACGCCGCTGTCTTCTGGAACCAACACCGACTGCCTGGGCAGCCCGAAGAAGAGAGACCCCGAAAAAGCGGTCATTTCAGGGAGGCTTTTAGGGACGAATTGACTGCAGGCCTCCTCTCTTCTTTCTCCGCCCCCCACTCCAGTGTTTAGTGCGTGCTCTCGGGCCAGCGCAGAGCTCTCCTCAGCTCGGTCCAGCAGGGCTGGGTTCCCTGGACTCAAGTCGCCAGCAGCGGGAGCCTGCGATGGCCCGGCGGCCCAGCCTGGAGTCCCTGGAGGACCAGCTCCTGTGCCCGGTGTGCCTGGAGTTGTTCGCCGAGCCCCTGATGCTGCAGTGCGGCCACTCGTACTGCAAGTGCTGCGTGCGCTCCATGGCCATTGACCAGTTCGGCCAGCTGCAGTGCCCAGTGTGCCGCTGCGAGGTGGACGGAGACAGCCCCCCGCCCAATGTCACGCTGGCGAAGATCGTGGACGCGCTGCGGGAGCTGAGCGGCTCACAGCCCGAGGCCGAGGTCTGCCCGCAGCACCACAACCCCCTGAGCCTGTACTGCGAGGAGGACCAGACCGTCATCTGTGGGCTGTGCGGCAGCATCGGGGCTCACCGGGGCCACAGGATCACCCCACTGGGCAGCGTCTACAGCCGCATGAAGGTACCGCTCATCAGGAGAGGGAAGACTCCCAGCAGAAACATTTAGCGAAAGTTTTAGCTCCAGAGAGGAATGTACGTTGTCAGGAAAGTGGATTGCAAACCGAGCAACAAGCAATGGCAGTGTGGAAAAATCCATTATAAATGACATGAGGGAGGCAGAGTGGTGCAGTGGTACAGTAGGTTAACTGGCGTGAGTGTGCGTGTGCGTGTGCGTGTGCGTGTGCCTGTGGAGAATCCCGCCTTGTGCCCGTTTCTTGCCGTGCAAAAGGCAGCCTGTCTGTGTAGGACCTTCCTATAAACCCTGGGATATATCTGATAGCTCTTCTCTGCATGGGTTCCAGAGCAACAATGTCTTTTTTATAACTCAATCTCATGCAGCCAGTTCGTAAGAAATCCCAGATAATCTGAAACACGAAGCAAAGGCAGTGGAGTAATCCAGTAAATTGGGACTAGCCTTCTTAATTTTTTAAACATCGCCAAGTCTGTCCAGAGGTGAATTGCAAGCTTTCAAATGTCCTTCTCTGAATGAGTGTGGAAACTTCCATGTTACAGATACAGATCATCACCTGGTTTTTACAGGCTGTAATGCTGTTGATTTTTTATGGGCTGTTCTGTTTGCTGTGGCCCTGATAAGCTGTGCTATTAAATGTTGATGTGTGCCCAGCGCTTTTGAAACAGTAGACACTGTGACTCACAGGGCAGCCTTTGAAATGATTTTTTTCCCCTCATGGTGGCCCTTGCAAGCTTTTGATGAGCACAGCTGTAATGGATTCACTCTGGAGGTCTCTGCCCTCCTGGATGAGCTCCACAGCAAGCTCATCTTTCCCAGTCAGGTCCTGGCTGAGGCTCCACAAGAGGTAGTCAACAAACGGGAGCGAAGCTGAAGGCCTGTCCTTTCCCCCGCAGGAGGACGTCTCCTGCCTGATGACGGAGCTGCAGACACAGCGGAGGAAGCTGGAGGAGCAGATCTGTAAAATGGCTTACAACAAGTCTCGCATCACTGTGAGTCCCACTGCCCAGATGGGCCATTCTGCTGTCTTGTTCTTTCTTTGATGCCTCCGGACTCTGGAAACACTGTGTGCTAATAACCCATCACTGACTCCCTGACACCCTGGGAAGATTTATGGCAGCTGTTAGAGCTGTTACTGTTCTGTAGTAAGGCAGAGGGTGCACTTGCTTTAAAGGTTCTCTGACAGTGGCTCCCTCTCAGCTGCTGGGGCTTTCTGCCTCTCCCAGGGGGCAGCAGGAGCACACCTCAAACAGGGGAGTGCAGCTCTCAGGTATCAGGATTGTAAGGAGCAGCTGCTGCCTCCTCTCGGACACCTCCACCAGTAAGGGGCCTTTTATCTCTTTGGCTGCTTCCAAGACTAAACCAAGGATCTCATCCAGGCTTCCAGGGTGTCAGCGTGGCAAGCATGACTGGGTAGCTTGTGGGGTGTCAGAAGAGGGCATGAGGTTAATTGTGTTTGGCGAGTGCCCACTTTACAGGGCGTGCTGACTGAGGGTGCTGTCTCCCTGGCAGAACGAGTCGGATGTGTTCAAGTGGGTGATCCGGAAGGAGTTCGGGGAGCTGCGGCGCTACATTGAGCTGGAGGAAGCCGACTTCATGCAGGCGGTGGAGAGCAAGGCGGCCAGCCTCATCGCCTCCATCCAGAGCCAGGTGGACGACATGACCCAGGTCCTGGCTGGGCTCCAGGAGGCAGAGGGCACCCTGGAGAGGCTGAACAACGAGAGCCACCTGGGCTTCATCACGGTCAGTCCAGCTTGGCAGCGGGTAGCCATGGAAAACGGGGATGTTTCCAATAGAGCACCTTCTGAAGGAAGGGCCAGAGACCCGGCCAGTGAGACCACAGAGGAATGAAAGAGTGTTGCTTTGGTTTCACCTACAAGTTTGGGATTGATTGCTGCCGGAGCCGACATGCTCACCCAGCCTGTATGAAGAGAGTGTAAGGTGACGTTCAGAACTGAAGCAGCAGGGAATCACCTCTGGGTGTTGCTCTGGAATGATTAAGGCCTGTCTAGGTGATCACCAGAGCTGGGCTCCACTAAATTAATTGGGGAGAGCTAGGATTTTAAGTTAGACTGTTTAAGTTTAAAGGAATTTCTCACTTAATGATGTGAATTGATGGGGTTTCTATTTATCTTGCAGAAATATGGATCTATTGCCCCTAGGTAAGTATCAGGCTTCACCCCTGATCCTCCTAACTGGCTTATCTGTGACCAGGTGATATATTATTTCTGGTGTTAGAACTGGTCTTGCCCAGTTTTTCATCTAATAGGGTTTGTGTTAACTTGCAGATTCAGTCATTTCAGAATATGTACGTGGTCAGTTCACACCCCCTCTGTCTTTAGACCAGTGAACTCCCCACTAATGTGATTACACTGAGTGATGTGATGTGGCTTTCAGTTTAGGATTCATTCAGAGAACAACAAACAGCTAATGGATTAATAGGCAGTTTCCACTTTAGGTAGGGAATGTCCCCGAACTCTGGTCCAACACATACAGCAATAAAAAGGCATTTAATTTCTTTTAAATCAAGCAATCAAATTAAAAAAATTAGAGATTTTATGGTATTTTGTGTGTTACACTATGTGTGTAGTATGTTTAGTGAAATGTTTTTGTTTCATTAGATTTTGCTTGTTAGTCCCATTTCTACTTTAAAACCTGGTGGAGCTGTCTGCCGAGGCCCAGGAGTGAGGGCCTGCTGCCAGTGTCTTTCCGCTCGCACTGGGTGGGGAGGGGTGTGTTGGAGAGAAGCTGTGTGTTTGATAGGCCATGTGTGTCCCAGGCTCAGAGAGTCACAGCAGAAGCAGCAGAGAGGTGAGCGGACGTACAGCGCCATCACCTTCACACCCGGCTTTCATCACAACGACATCAAGATCTCAGTGTGGAAGAGGCTGCACAGGAGAGTCCTGCCAGGTAAGTGTGTGTGTGTGTGTGTGTGTGTGTGTGTGTGTGTGTGTCTTTCCATGACAAGGTGCCTCACTGCAGTGTGTGTGACCGGTTCCCTCAGCCCCGGAGTGTCTGAAGCTGGACCCCCTGACCGCCCACCCCATGCTGCAGCTGAGCTGTGGGGAGACAGTGGTGGAGTGCGGCACGGAGCCCTGCCGCCTGCCCCCCAACCCCGAGCGCTTCTGCTACAGCCACTGCGTGCTGGCCAGCCGGGGCTTCTCCTCGGGGAAGCACTACTGGGAGGTGGTGGTGGAGGACAAGCCCAGGTGGCGCCTGGGGCTCATCAAGGGCACCACCAGCCGCAGGGGCAAGCTGGTCAAGAGCCCGGAGAGCGGCGTCTGGCTCATCGGCCTGCGGGAGGGGCGTCTGTACGAGGCCTTCGCCAACCCCCGCGTGCCCCTGCCCCTGTCCGCCCGGCCCGCCAGGATTGGCATCTTCCTGGACTACGAGAAGGGAGAGCTGACCTTCTACAATGCGGACAGCAACCAGGAGCTGGGCTTCATCTACAGCTTCCAGGCCGAGCTGCAGGGGAAGGTGTACCCGCTGTTTGACGTGTGCTGGCACGAGAGGGGTGCCAACAAGCACCCCCTCATCCTTCCTCAGCCCCCTGCGGGGAAGTAGCCTGGTGCCCGTCCCTGGAGCTTGGGAACTGGCCACCCTCCTGTCTCCGAATGCTGGATTCTGCAGTTTTTAATTACCAGCTAAATTCCAAGAGGGTAATTTCGACCTATTAAGCCAATAATAGCTCATTAGTAATTACAGTAATTTAGAGCTGGGGGTGGAATTGAAAGCCTGCAGCTCTGTGGGGGAAAGGGACTGGATTCCGGGCTGAGCTGCTCTGTTTTTGTGTGGCTGGAGGGTCTAGGCCAAGACTCACAGACTAAGAAATTGATTGAAAGAGGCTCAGGATTCCTGGAAGATCACCTGCATTTTTTTTGGTTTAACCTCAAGGTTATATAAGTGTAGATTAGTTTTATTTTCCACTATGACGGCTTTTAAAGAAGAATCCTGTTTCTCTATAAGATCTGAGGTGTATAAAATGAACAGTTTAAGAGGATCATCCATCCTTCCATTTCCTCACCGCTTTAGCCAGCACAAGGGGCCTGGAGAAGCAGAGCTGGAGCTCATCCCAGCAAGGAGGGGTTCACTCTAGACGGGACACCAGTCCACCCCAGCAATCACACAGACAAACACACCAGGGCCAGTTTTCCCAGAAGCCAATTAAACTACCATGGATATCCGCTAGGTGGCGGCATTGTCTTCAGTTACGCAACTAGTGGTTTAATTGGTAATAACGCCTTACTAGTGCACTAAAAAAGCTTGACCTCACGCTTTAATCTGGATCATTAGCTTAATCACTAAGATTAATGAAGATGGTTGTATGAATTGTATTATAGATTTTATTAAATGTAACTGGTTGCAAGAAGAAACATTTCAAGACAAAGGCACCGATTCTTAGTTTTTGGATCATGGTTAGGCAGGACTGGTCAATGTGGAGTCTAGGGACAGTCTCAGGCGGTGTGTGTGGTCCTGCTGGAAGCAACACAGGCTCCTGTTCCTCTTCCAGATCGTGGACAAGGATTCAAACAACAGGGAGTCAGTCATTCTGCCCATCTTGTTCATTTGGAAGTCACACTTAGTTCATCATATTTGTCTAGTTGTTTTGTAAAAGTGCCCAAAGTTTGTGTTTCAACCACCTGATTGGGAAGCCTGTTCCAGATATACACCTCTTTGTGTGAAGACCTTTCCTGCTCTCCATCCTGTTTGAATTCTGTTTCAGTTTGCAGTTGTGACCTGTCCTGATTTCATGACATGTGAAAAGCCCCCAGGGCAGACCTGTCTTCATCTACACCCCTAGTATAACTAATGTATAACCAGCTAGAAATATCCATCTTATCTACTGAAGCTTAAAATACTTTAACTTGTCTGTGTGATACCAAGATCATTCTTTTCATTCATTTTGAATATAACGGTTCAATATTTTGATGGTGTCGTGACAAAAACTGAACACGCATAAGTGAGGTTTTACTAGATCTTTGTAAAGCTTAAGCATAACTTTCTGAATTTTAATTCCACTCTTCTTGCTCTATACCCAAGCATTTTGCTTATTTGTTGTTTTACAATATTGTCTTGATGCAGTTGTTTTCTAAGTAGTCTCCTGCTCTAGCACCAAAGATCATTTCCCATAATTCACCTGTTGCAGAAGTCAGACTGATTGATCTTTATAACAATTGTCTTAAAAACATCAATCTGGTCATCCAGGAATAGACTGAGTTTTCTAATCCTTAAAGGACTGCATGGAGACTGGATCTGAGCATCAGAAATCCTGAAAGGCACCACCACTGTTGATTGAAATGGTTTCCATCATGGCCAATTTTTAACATGAGGTTGAAAACTTGGTGCTTGGGAAGTCCACGACACAGTTTGAGCAGATTCTTCAACAGCTAAACAAGGCTAACCAGAAAGCTGCAGTGTCTCTCTCTTCCAAACGTCTCTTGTGCTCTCGGTTTCATATCAGTCCTTGTATATACTGTATATTATGTGCAGAAGCACCCGAGAAGAACTATAAGTAGAACTGGAACCCCTGGATTTAAATATCTCTGTATTTTCCACTTATATGCATTCTACACCAGTACATAGACTATGGCTTCTGTTAATATTTGCGCAGCAGCCTGTGACGTGAATGATTGAAGTGGGTTTAGCACTTGAGAGAACACATCTATCTTTCATTGTTACAGGTTTCCCACCTGCAAAAGGCCAGTACAATTTAAGGAAAAAACCAGTGGTGAATCTCTAAATATTAAGGGTTGTAAATGTTTTGTACTGTGTGTACTTCCATAAATGTATCTTGCTGTAAATGAAAATGTTTTTATATAACAATGTACCTTTTTACTCAATGAAAGCTTTGCTTGTTTTTCTGTGCTGTAAAAATAAAATTAGAACCAAAAACTTTTGAGGTCATGTTTATACTGTATTATAAAAACGTAATGAAAAGGTCTATTCCAATAAATATCAGGTTCCATTATCAATATCAAACTCCTCAACCATGTTTCTTCAAAATGGAGTGCAAAATGGAGTCTAAAAGGGCGTAGTTGCTAGTCATAAACACCACTAAATGTTTGCTTGAATTTTCTTCATACTTTCTTAATCCCAAAATCATCTCAAATGGTCTGTATCAGGTAAACTGCTTTCTCGGGCAGTGTAGGACTTTCCAAACATACTCTGTAAATGTGGAAAACAGGAGAGGTTTTATCTGTAAATGTTTATCTGTAAAAGCTGGACTTTATTTCACTTCTTGCCAGAATTAGTGTATTTGGCTGTTTTGATTAATCTCAACAAACCTTTATTTTCTTGCTAGCTGTGCAGAATGAAGTAGTCTATGCATTATGGGTGAAAAAGGAACTGTATTATGTTTAAGATGCTAAGTGCAGGAATTATTTTGTATGAGGTGCTTCTTATCTTCAGTCAGGAGCAGCTGCTCCAATTCATGCAGCATGTACTGAGGACTCAATACATTCAGTCTCAATACAATACATTCAGTTTCAATACATTTCCATAAATACAGAGGAGGAAAAAGGATTGACTCATGTTCCCCAGCTGTGAAAGTAGTTAGCCCTAATTCATAAGGACTGAACAACTGCAACAACTGAACACAAAGACAAATCCACATCTGCCATGGCTCCCTAACGGAACCTTTGGCTTATATTTAGATTAATCTTGTGCCCAGTGTGAAAAGATCTCTCCTTCAGGCTGAATATTGCTTTCTTTCAAATCTGAATGACTGTGTTGATTGCCTGCCTACCATTTTTAGGATGCTCCCTACATTCACATAACTCTGCCAAGACAGAGGCAAGACTCTGCATGAAAGCCAGGAAATTAGGTCAAAACCTCCACTTTAGATGGAGTGAACACCACTAATATCACTAGTAAGATGGCAAGATCATCCTGAAAAGAACAGCAAAGCAATAGCAGAATCTGTGAATAGATTCTGTCAAAACCCTCCTTGGCTGGCCCTCAAAAGCACACAGAGGCTTGTGTGTGGGCTTCCTTCGTCACGTGCCTCATCACACAGCTCTATTCACACCCTGCTGACAGGAGTCGTCACCGAGACTGATCCTCTCGTTCCGCCCGTGCTTGGGCAGCGCACAGTGGCTGGCGAGTGGCCAGGGTCCAAGGCTGGCATCTTGAGGGTACATGAACTGTCTTGTTTATTTCACTCAGAACATCCTAGCCTGGAGGCAAAAGTTGATCTTTCTGCTATTGATTTTCTTTGTGTATCAGGTGGTTATAAGGGTGTCTGCAATGTTTCTGAAGCACTTAAAAGATTATTTCAAGAATCCAGCATTAGCCACAGTTGCAATTTTGAAAAGCCGCATGCAGTGAGAAAGCGGCTGTGTAATTATATTGTCGTGGATCAAATCGAAAGAAACATCATGGCAAGACCTGAGGCTGGAAAGAGCAATGTAACCGGAGGACTCGAGGGAAGAGAAAAGAGGTGTAAGAAAAGACCTCAAGGACCGGAGGAGAACAGCGACCAGAACTCAAACCTGACAAGGACATATGGAATGAGAGTCTTCTCCCCCCCACCAATTTGGACAAATGTTTTTTTAAATGAAATACACTGGTGGCAGGTTAGCAGCCTATGGCATTTAGACAGGTTAATATTGGTTAATCTGGAGCTCAAACTATGAGGTAGGATTTCTTTTATCAGTTTTATTTTCATATATCGGTGCCCATCTGATGCCCATCATCCCACTGCATGACAATTCAAAAACACCAGAAGAATTTATAAACCCGATTACTACCATTTTTATGACAGTTTCTTTTAACAAGACACAGTCAGAATTTTGCCCCAGTTGTGAGTTCAAGCATACAGCCTGATTCAAGATCTATTTTTAGACTTACAGCAAACAATGAAGTAATGAAGGGTCAAAGGTACAAGTCTTATATATTTCCATTTCATACTGAATATACATCTTTAATACCACTGCTTGGCCACAGGATAAATAAAAAAAGACTGTTTAATGGAATTTTTTATTATAAAAAAGTCAACTAAAATATTTGTACAATGAAAAGGCCTGTACAGGAAATACAAAATAAAATATTTTTATTATTTTAACCTGTCCTTTAATTACAAAGACTTTGCCCATGGAATTAAGTTCACAAAGACGTTTTGGAGATTGTGTAATCCACTAAACAGTATTAGGCACACCTGGCGCAACAGTCATTTAAATAATTGTATCTCTATGACAGAATCAGACTCTGGGAGTGACGGATCAAGTGAATTCCCAGAAGAAAAAAAAATCAGAATGTACACACAAAACACTAAATAAAAAACATTATACCTACAGTCTAAAATAAATGTGTAGAATAGTTTAAAGCATTTTGATTTTGTTGTGCTTTTCTTAGGAATTTCCCTACAGTAAACCTGAAAAAAAAATGTTATTGCTCCCAGCTCCCTTCCTATCCAGAGGTTATTAAGGTAACAATTAAACTCATCTGAAGGCTGTGAGAAATTCTGAGAAATACATGAAAACCACATTTAAAGATGTTTACTTTCTTCACGTATTAAGTACCTGAAAACCAAAAGACCTAATTTTTCAATACAACTGACAGTCATGAACCCTTCTGAGCTGGACACAGACGACAGTCTGACCCACAGCCAGCTGTTATGTGCTTTAATAAACTTTTAATAAACCTGCTGAAGAGAAGGCTATCAAAGCTAATAACCTCCTGAAGGACAAGGCTGATAACGCAGCGCTTCAGGATCATATGGCCACATTATTTAAAGGGGCACTGAAAAAAAAAAGATGGGACACTCCGAATCTGCCCTCATGTGAAGTTCACATGGACCAAGTGATCAGGGACACTGCAGATTCTTCACTCGGAGAACAAGGGCAGCCTGGGTAACCTTACATAAACACGCGTGAGACATTGCTGAGGGCTGGGATGGCAATGTAGCCCATCACGTCTTTCTTCACCTATGCCAAGCACTTCGGAACAGAAGTGGATTTAAAAACTGTGTCCATTACTATACATGTTCTGAGCCTTCAAAGTCATATGTTGAGCAGTCAGTTTCCTGTAAACTAAAGGGTGATAAACCCATCGTGCAGCACAGTTGGGCAGTCTAAGGCTTTTACAACACAGGAAATGTGATGTGTTCTTGGTTATTATTCTCATTCAGACACACTGGGGGCTATTCAATAACCTCAACCCTGCCTTTAGCAAAACACACGTAGAAGTACTTTATTGCCTTTTTATATGATTTATTACATACAGTACCTCACTATAGAATATTGATATGCAATTTCTTTACTGGATGCATATTAATCTTAACTTTGCTGATAGCTTTAAAGGAGAAAACTTCAATTACATTTGCAGATACAGCCTTATGACATCAGGATTTTGAACACACTTTCCAGAATAAAAAACAATCTCATCAGGTTTGAAACAAACTTGATTTTTGGAGAGCAGCTCAAGAATTACAGCATTGCTACCAAGAGTCCAGCGTGGCCCCTAATGTTTCACAGTTACTTCTGAACAAACAGGTCTGAGCAAAAGATCCATCGGGGGAACGAGACGGACACATTTCTGTATCCAGCACAAATAAACTCTATAAATGGAAAACCTGTGATGCCGTTCCCTTTACGAGTGTAGACACACTCTTTGGAACTGAGCAGTGAAAACAGCACATCAGCACCATCCCATTCATCTGAATGTCATGGGGCAGACATATTTCTGTGGGAGTCTGAGAATCGATGGAATCGATGCTGTAGTGTTGAAGTTGTTAGTGAAGCTGCCGTCATACAGGCCCAATATTAGGGTGTATGCGAGTATTTTGTGGTGTAAGAGCCTGCACTTCGGTCATGAACTGGATCATGTTGCCATGTCGTCTTACATGCTCTGTTTGCATGTTGTATTCCAAGAGCTCCAAACCAGTCGCCTGGAGTCTCAATCCTGAGGATTCCTAAGGATTCTCCTGTCCCTCCTAACGAGGTTAGGATCCTCAATAACTGAAGGCTGTGAAGAAGGGATTAATTAGCCCAATCAATCGCAAATTGAGCAGGTTGTAACATGGGAAAAGGTGGGACACCTGCTGGATTCAGGCCCCTGGGGACACAGGAGTAGGGAGCTCCTGGTATAGAGTTTCAGGTCACTTGCTGAAAAGGCAAAAGGTTGTGAGAAAAGAAAAAAGATCTTGATGGAGAAACCAGCTCAGTGAAAATAAAGGCCTTGGTGCACTTCACTGACTTCAATACATTCTTCATTAAGATGGTTGATTGCAAGCAGCTAGAGCAGAGTCTGACCTGGGCACAGCGTGGCAAGAGGAGAAGAACAGCAGTCTGTCATATCATAGAATATTCCTACATTGTTTTAAACAATGAGAAGCTTGTTAATGTCTTTACAACTGCCAAGAGGGAAATCTGTTTAACAACGTTATTGATAATTGTAGCTTAGGTGGGCTATCATCCTGACTTAATAAAAACCTTCAAATGCAAGGGGGCAGCGCTGTCGTTTGCTCTTGCTAAGATTCTAAAGAAGTCTAGCAGCAGTTACTATTAACAATGATGAGAATTTCTATAGTCCATTTCTTTCTAGACTGTGTTTACTGTCAACTCCTATCAAGTAGAAATAAAGTTAATCTTATCTTACAATTAATTTTTCACACCTTCCTGTTTTTATGTAACATCAGACAGCCAGTTTAAAGGGGAGAGCATCTGCTGGCTGGGATGGTGATTCCAACATATCTTGAAATTAAGGATGTAAAATGTCTAGTTTCCGAGTAAGAAAAAATTACAAAATGCTGAAGTTTTACAAAGAATTTTGGAAAATTACTGTTCCTTCACCAGTTTTGTTGTTACATTTGAAAAATACATCGTCTCTAAAGGACAGCTAGGCATTCAGGCATCACAGTAGGCCTGGACAGTCCAGTCTCAAAGTCAACTAGAGGCACAAACACGTGCTGCCTTTTACTCATAGAAAATAAGCCACTCAGTGGACCTGCAATGCAGCTCTGAAGGACAGGCAGGGTCAACAGGTGCAGATCACTTCACCAGAGCAAGTGAAAGGCCCAGAAGGCCAGTTACACCGAACACCTAAACTGACTCATTCCCTAATTGTCTCCTAAAGTGCAGCACAAATCCATAGAGTGCATTAAAGGTCAAGTATTGTGTCTCCATACCAAAACCTAAGGTACTTCCTGCTGCCAGGCACAGGACCTCTATAGGTTAAGTCAACTCAGCTGATATGTACAGAAAGAGGACAACAGTCAGATTCTGGATCTTTATTAATACCAGACACCACAGGTCAGACTGTCACTATCTCTGGACCTTGGCAATACCACAGCACAAAACCAACAAGGAGGCTGTATATTGTGCAGTGAAGTGACCAGCAGCAGCAGATCTCAGTCTTGACTGTTGTTGATACAATGCTCAGTATTGCTGGGTAAAACCACACGGGTGTCCCTTCAGAGAATTTAACTTCCATTTAATTCCATCGGTGTTCAACATCAACAATACTCCCGGAACAATCACCAACTCTGAAAATTCCTTGCATATGGTATTTCCCAGCAAATTTTGAAGTTGAATTGTATTTAAGAAATCAATGATTTCATAATTGCTTAGAAATGTAACTATTTGTCAATATTATTCCAACTTAATTGCCCAGCCTTTGCTTTATTCCTTTGTGGGGAAAATAAAACCCTTTATGTTGCTAGATGCTACAAATAGGAAGATCTGAACTGCTGGAGCCAAAGAAAAATGACAGAATCCAGGATGCAAGAGGATGTTTGCCTGGCAGAATACCTTTAAGTACCTTAAAGCCCTGCTGTTTCAACACACCGGGAGACACCACCTTCTGAATGGAGCAAGGGCCCCCTTGTGTCACCCAATCAGAGAAGGACTCTTCAACACAGCCCACCTGTACTGATCCAACATCCAGAGAGAACCTGCAGATGCACTCTTTGGTCTGGAAGCCTGAGGTTCCCAGAAGGCCACACGTCTGCAGCCGTGCAGTTCCTCCTCAGGATCTGAACACATGCACGGCTCTCACCACGTACTGCCTGCAGATGGGACACTCGCTCATGAGCTTGCCACACTTGGTACAGGTGACCATGTGGCCGCACTCCAGCAGCACGCAGTCAATGGGGGAGTCCATGCAGATCTTACACAGGTTCTCCTCCATGCCCGGTGGGCCAGAAGGATCTGGGAGAAGAACAAGGGAATCACAGGTATTACATCGGCACTGTACAGTCTCATGGGCTTGTATTCGAATCTGCAGAAAAAATCAACTAAAGTTTGTCTGCTAACTTGAGTACACATGAAACATTTTTAAAAAACAAATTGAATTATTCTCCAGTGTGATAATGCAACATGTTGTGAAAATGGTTTATAAGTAGTTTAAGCACATTTGTGATGTTTTATAGAACTACTTTCCCTTTGTCCTGTCTGTGGACAGTATCCACAATCTGATTGACCTATCTAATTAATTTATGATGCAGGAACATGAACACAAAGTTTTAGTCATCTGGCAATCTACATCTCTATTACTGTTTTTTCAGTGTTTAAAAAACACAGTATTTTTGAGAAAAAAAGATGGTTCGGGGTTGCTGATGCTGTGGGACTATTTCTAAGTATAAAATGTTTCCATTTGTATAATACCTGTTTGGCCAATTTAACAACAGTAACCTCAACTTACCAGTAGAGTTTCCATTGTTTGAAACTGTAAAAAGCAAGAAAGAAAATAGTATCATGATCTCTACTACCTGTGTAAGTAAGCCTATGGGGTATCAATTTATTTCTGATTTAGGGAAATCTGACAACAGCTCTGACTTTATCCTGGATGCTAGACAAAACAGACTCAATCATCTGTATCTCCTTGCCACAACACAAAGAACTGGACTCAAAGGGCAAATTAAGTACAAAATAATTTGGGCCTACCCAGACTTACTGGACACTGACTGATTACACTGACACTGGGGCTCTTCAGGGAACCAACAGTCAGAGAAAACAGATAGTTGCTCCCTCTTGCTTCTATATTTTGCTTTATAAGATCTCTTGGAGTTCTCCATTTGTGAAACTGATGTGCACAAAAAAAAAATCACAGTTGCCCAAAAATAAAATTCAGTAAAACAGATCTCGATAATTGTGAGGAATTTAAATAAGGGTAGTTCAACCACTGCACCCCTCACTGCGGAGGGCAAGCTGTAAAACTGCACTTCCTGTGACTTCCTGCGTGCCAGCAGTCACAGCTCTCCACTAATCTAACTGTCTTGTTGAGGTGCTGCAGAATTCACAACCTGTCCCATGACAACTGGTTCTGCAGGTGGGCATGGCCACCCATCTTATCGCCACCCAAATACGTAGTCATGAGTCAAGCTCAGTCTTAAAGAAACGGCAACTGCAAATTTAGAATAAAAGGATATAGAGGAAAGTATTAAATAAGAGAAGACTGATTTCTCAGCTTACCCAGATTCTGCAGCTCTTGCTGATCATGGTAGAGTCGGGTGACTCTCTCCATCAGCTCCCACTTCTCACAACAGCCTTTGTAGTCAACAAAGTTGCGGGCCAGGATCTCCTTCAGCTGCCGGACACTCAAGGCCTCGATGTCTTCAGCGTTGGTCAAGTCGGACAGGGAGGCCCTGCGGCCTGGGGCCGGAGTCTCTTCCGCGTCTGAGGACTGAGGAAAGGGGGCTGCTCAGCACCAAGAACACAACATGCTAAAGCGGTCATTATGCTCGACACCCAGACATGAACATTGGCTGCAATCAGGAGCCACATGAACCCTCTGCAAGGGCTCCATGCTGATGCTGTGATGTTGTGAATGTTCTGTACCAGACGGGTTACATACCACTGACATGGCCAATTTAAAAGCCTTACTTCAGACTTCAACTACAAAGCAAAATAAGCCTTTCTAAAAGTTTTTATTCAGCATTACAAAATATTTGTTTGCAATGGGTGGGTAGAATGTGGGTCTAAATTCTATTTACACAGATCTTTTGTCCATAGGGCTGTGGACTTTTTTCAAACTCCCACATGTACAAGAGGAGCCCCATTATCAGACGCTGACGAGCGATGTGGAACTTGGCTTGGATCTCCCAGAGGGGAACTCACATGCCAAATGAAGCCTATTCAGCTTTCAAGAAGCAGGATTACAACAAAACAGGAGCAGACTTTCCCATCCACAGTTAATTTACTTAACAGAAAGACAGGAGGAATCAGAAACACTTGTCAGTTTAAAACGGTTTGCATTTTTCATGTTATACCCAAGCAAATTAAAAATGTAAATTGTGCTTTTTTATATCTAGGCTTAAGGCAACAGCTCCTGACCTTCAAGGGGTGAGCGACTGGCCAAACGCAGTCCAAGCGGAAGGGATGTCACAGCACCAGGTGGCCTCTGCCGGCAAGCGACACGACCCGGAATGTCCAGCCCTAGAGCTCCCCCTGCAGTCAGGGCAAGTGCCTTTACTGCTCGAGCCGCTCAGAAGACCGGAGACATTTTTATACCGGCCAAGGAAGCCCCGCCTAACTCTGACCTTAGACCAGGGTCCGTCAATGCTAGCCTTACAGATCCTCAGTCTTATCTGGTTTTTATTTAAAGCACTGAATCATTCAACTATACTTGCCCGATAATGTTTTTCGGCACATAGCTCAGTTAGGCTCTGCAACAAAGCATCTAGTTATAAACTGTTTCAATTGCCAGACGTCCCCTGAAAGAACTGAGTAGTTTACATGGATTAGTGACTTCCACCTAAGCACAGTACAGGTTGAAGGAACGCAAACTGATACAGCCTTTTCTCCCTCACAACAGAAGCTTCTGCTGCACAGGGCATGAAGATCTTAAAACAAACCTGTTCCACTTTCCTGCTGGAAAATCCAATTGGACTCACAGATAATATCCAGTAATGTCAGAATATTAAATGTCAAACTTAATCACATTTATTACAGGAGAAGAGTGTAAATGAATGGGGTCAGGAAAACGCTTAACAACTGATTAATGGTCTGTGACACACAGATTATAATGATGCATCCGTCTTCTCACTGAAAAGTGATATTTCTCAAAAGGCACAGCACATAGCAGACCTAAAGGAATTCATTTTTAAATGGCTTTGTCAGCCGAATAAACTTTCTAGAGGTTTGATAGAATTTCAAGATTTAGCAGTTTGCTGCCGTTTCTTGAAATGTGAGCGATGAGCAGCAGGATTGAAACAGACAAGGACGTAGACTTTCACTTACAGCAACACTAATATGAAGCCCAAGAGTTCAGAATTGGCTTTACAACAGATTAACACATTGTACTATAAGAAAGCCCTACAGTGGAGCAAAGAGAAAATTAAGAAGGGTGAGAGGGGGTGTCTCAGATTTTAGGGGCACTTGTGCTGCCGAGGTGCGAACTCGCAGGCAGCGCGCCAGGTACCCAGCGCTCCCTCTGGCCCTGCCATACCTGTGACTCCTGCTCCTCCTGGGGTGCCGGCTCGGTCTCACTGGCTGGTGTCTCGCCTGGACAGGAAGGCACCGGGATCTGCAGCAAAATTTAACATCTGCATTTAGTTAACTGGCCTTGCTTTCCGTCTCAGAAAGGAAAGGAAAAGCACCTAGCTACCCAGGAAGCTCATGCAGGAGTTCACAGCCTGAAGCAAAACCACCTGATAATAGCGAGAACGTCCACGTGCTCACTTCTCCAGGTCGGATATAAAGATATCCACACGTAGCTGAGCTGCTCCTGTGCTCCTGCGCATGAGCGTTTCTGCGACGGTACACGAGAACACTGGGCCTACCTGCTGGTCGCCGCGCGGGAGGCAGCCAGGAGCTGGACCTTGGGATGTGGAGGGGGAGGCTGGACCGGGAGTGGGGCCGGGCTGGGGTGTGTGGGATTGGGCGTCTCCATGGCTGCTGCTGCTGCTGCTGGGAGTCTGCCGGCCCATGACCAGCTCCACCAGCTCCTCCTTCTCTCGGCACATCTGTGTGGAGACCTCGTGCAGGTGCAGGTAGTCCCGCAGGTCCTTCACCTTCAGCTTCATCAGCTCCGCCCTCTCCGAGAGAATGCCGTGGAAGCGGCGGCACGTGTGACACACCCGCAGGCCGAACTCCGGCTGCTCCGAGCACCTGCTGCAGAAGCTCTTCTTGCAGTCCGTGCACACATGCTGCACACAGAGCAGAAACACGACCGTCAGGGGAGAAAAATTGTGTTTATGTATTCATAACCACCAACAAGTTTCTATTTCAAACGTTTACTTGTTTGAAGCTTATGTGCTAATGGGAAATTATATATTTTTTTAGTTTCTCCTGAGATGGGAGAAAATGCTCATAGGTCAATAATGTTTGGGTCGCTTCATAACGTAAAGTGTTATATCAACAAAAAACACATAGTGCATTGCTCTGCTCTGCTGTTCAGCATGGTGCTGACCCCAATGTTATATTTCTACTTCTCACAAGCGAGGGCTGGAAAACTTGTCAAGACTGATGGAAAACACAGATGAAGCAAAGAAAAGGCAAATCTTAGAGGAAGGCCCACTTCACACCTAAGACTGGGACAAACACTAATCTCTGGCAGGACATTGACCCAAGCCTACACTGGAGTGTCTTAAGAATAAGGAAGTGAATGTCCTTGAGTGTGCCAGTCACAGTTCTAACTCGAATCTTACTGAGAATCCATGGAAAGACTTGAAAATGACTGTGCATAAGCAATTTACCAAAAGGACTTTTCCTGCTATAATCACTGCTAAAGATGCTCCCACCAAATCTTCATAAAAGTTTAATAAATGTGTATATATCATTTTGTAATCTTACAAAATAAGACACCAAAGGAAGGGCTTGAATACTTCCAAACTGCGCCATGAAAATAAGTTTCTATAATCATATAAATGTAATATTGCATAAGTGAAGATGTTTTTATCTTTTAGAAGTTTATAACTAACCAGTATCTGATGAGATGTTACTTAATTAGCATTAAGATCAGCTGAATCAGAGTGACTTAAACTGTGTCATTCAGAGCACTAAAGCTGATCTGTGAATTTTGCAGAGACAGAATGCTTTTTGACACCATGTAATTAGCTATTTTGCAGTTCTTTATGAAAGATTAGATTAGTTAATACACTAAGACCCAAAGATTCATAAGGCTGTTTTTGAGGAAAGGGATAGTTCCATTATCAATATAATCTGTCACCATCAAAACTGCTTATTCCTGTTAAGAGTCACTGCAACACAGAGCCAAGCCTGGAAGCACAGGGTGAAAGGTGGGACTAGGCCTGGGACACGACCACCAGTCCATTGGAGGACATACATAGAAACAGAGGATTTCGAAACAGCGCATCTTCAGCAGGCTAGAGAAAACCCACACAAACTCGGCAGAAAGCTCTCCATTCCAGAGCCCAGCCCTGGGCTGAAGAGCAGTGAGGCAGCGACACAAGCTCCTATTCCACCTGGCTGCAGAACCATCCACTTCTCTTGCAAGAACATTAATTTGAAAAACTGAAGCGGTACACAGGAAACATAACTAATATAACTAAACCGTCTTAAGATCCCTTCACTTGTTGGGTTGAACATTACGTAGAAGTACATTATTCTCAAGAAAAATCTGCTTCCTTCCTCGTGAAATGTGCTAGCAGGGGAACAGCTCAGTGTAACTGTGGTAATATACTGTATGTATGTACGTACCATTGTATCTTTATCAAAGGTATTATTTCAGATTTTTTTAAACACAGGCTACTGAGCTCTCATGACAGCACAACCCATTGGTGATGTAACGCGTTTAGAAGGGACATTGAAACAAGATGCTGTACTGACACACGAGCTGAAAGATACACCCTTCTCCTCCAGAGCCAGAGCAGTAAGCCATTTCATTAGGAACCTGGTCAGACCGGAAATTCAAGAATGAACTGTCATAAATACAACATCAAAATAAAGAGTGACTCAAGTTAATGAAAGACATTAAAAAAATGATTCGGTCTTTCCCTTAAAGTCGTTTCAGGTATCCGCTATCCTGAGCTCCTGTGCTTCATCTGAGAAACAATATGGATGAGCATGCTGTAAACTGATCCCAGCTCCCTGGGGTTGTGTGTATTTTTTCCAGGGGACAATTAATAGGGGATCGAATATCCCTCAGACACTTTCAGTAAGCCAGTTAAGTGTATTTTAAGACATGCATATTCTTCATAAATTAAGCCTCTCAAAATGCAGACTTAAAAATGGGAATCAATTACATACTGCGGGTTAATGATAAGCACTGGCCTCATGTTTTTATTTTGCAATGTGTTACTGAGCACACTGGAGTGCTGGGGTTCCCCCTCCTTACCTTCCTGGATGAGGTGTCGAAGCGCCCCCCGCAGGCCTTGCAGGTTTGCTCCGGGGCGGGTGGGGAGGGGTAACTGCTGTACCCCGAGTTAGTGTAGGCCTGGCGCCTCGTGCTGCTGGTTTCCTCCACTGTAGTAGTATCCAGACACATCCAGTTACAGCAGGAGGCCCACATGCTCCAGCCTGTCAACACAGAGGGGCTGTCAGAAGACACACGAGAGCAGCACAACGGCTTCAGACAAGGGGAGACCTTGCACCCCACCTTGCTTTCAGGGGGCAACTTCAGAGCTGAAGCAGCCTCCTAAAGGAAAGAGCACTGGTTTCGACACCGTGGCTCGGCAGAATGACCCTGTGTTTAAGAAGGTCTCCCATTTTCACCCTGAACACCTGCTTTTCATTCACACAAGATGCATAAAATATTTTAATATGAACGTGAAGCAGTGTAACAAAATCAGGTGATGATCATCCAGCCGACAGAAGACATTTTACATGAAGTATAACAGATAGACAAGTTGAGTGGCATACCCCTATCAAACGGCTCTCTAAAGTGATAGGAGACTTTGAGCAGTGTAAAGGTCAGAGGATGAATTTCAAATAAGGGAGATGGATATTTCATGATGGCGCTGATGTCAGAGAAGAGGCCTTTGAAAATGCCAGGGCTCCGCGACCATCAAGTTCCACCTCTGACAGGGAGCAGCCTACTGTATGCTCCAATGCCTGATTAACGGTACCCATTCACCTTCTACCAGCCCGTGCTCAAAGAGCAGGGCACTACAGCCAGCTCAGTCCCAGTAAACACTAGTCTTTTCCAGATGAACATGTAAACAAGCTAAAAAGCTACTTCAACAGAGGATCTCCATGGACAGGAGAGAACAGGTTGGAAGCCAACACATTTCTTGACATATTTAGTAGCATTCTTATAAAAACAGTCTCTACCTCAGGATGATGAGATTAGCTTTAGAGAAGTTGAAATAATCTGTGGCACACAGCAGATTGACACAGGACTAAATACACAAGCATGAAAAGCATTTATCCTCTATGATAATACTAGGACTCATCATTCAGATTTACACTCGCATTGATCTTAATTTTTCCTCACCTGCTCAAAAGGAAAACTGATTTTTTTTCCTCATTGCAGAGAATAATCAGGAGTATCAAATTATTATTTGAACGAAACACAGCAACTCAAGTGCATTGTCTACAAAACACAAAAGGGAATTCCCTCGTGACAATGGCAGTCCTGAATCACCTCAAGACAGGAAAGACAACAAGTTCATGAACTTCCACACCAGAGGGATAGTTCAGGCGTTCAAGACAGGTAACCACAGCTATTTTGTCCTGAAGCAGTCAGCTTTATTTAAAAAAGAAATATATGCTAAACGGAAGCTAAGCACGACTGGTAAGGAATCTTAAGGATGTTTGGCAGACAAAAGCTAGCATTTTACATCATTGCTGCGGCTATTATTATATAAGAATTTACATGGAGCTACCATCAGCCAATTAAGCTTAGCAGTGAATGTGGCACAGGCACAGTCAGATCTTTAATACACAAGTATGTTTCTAAAAGGAAAACGACCTTGCGACCAGATTATACTGCCACCCGGTACAATGTCTGACCTGGACTGTACATCTCTTAATAATGACCAGCACTGTAATCTGCTTAAAGATGCCTCAATGCATCTCATCTTGAATACAACTTCCAAACACTTTCACCACTGGGACACTGGGTGTACAGACAGGAGTATTCCAGGATTCATCTTTATTACACCTGATGCTAGAAGAAACACTACCAGGACAGCAGAGCAGCTAGAGAGTAGGAAGCAGAAACTTTTCTGTGATGTTTGTGTACTGCTACTTGAGGTAGTGCAGTCTTTTAAAACAGGAAGAGATCAAATTTAATTTAAACTCTCACAACTGTCAAGACCCTGCTGTACAGGATTATTAGAAGACGGATGAATATGCACTTCCTTCCAAAAGGGACTCGGAATAAAGCAGTTATTTTCAACCAATTCATTCTACAACATTAATTTATTTTAATTGGGATGAAACTGCCTTGTCTGGGATCAGGAACCTTCCTTATTTTCTTGTACAAGTAGCACTTAGTCATTTAATATTAAGCATTTAAACTCATTTCTTAATGTTTAAATATTAACTTTCATTCTTGAATACAGCCCATCTGCTGTTGGGTTAACAGAATAATAAAGGCCTTTTACACCGCAGGACCCCATGTATGGCGTACATAATACTGCACTACAAAGATAAGACTAATACACAGTTGACATCTATGCCCTCCAGGGGATTACATGCTACAATCCCATTTAGGTGTCAAGTTAATAAACCTAGACAACTCATCACAATCCTACAGTATGCCACTGAACACAAGATGCAGAATCTATGCACTCTCTGGGAGACAATGAGGTGACACCCTGTGCAGAAAGTAGGTCCCATTTGCGAGAATCATGTCTACCCCATGTCAGGTGAGAGTACTAACTATACAAACGGAAAATGGGGCTATTTAGAAATAGAATGAGGGGTTTACATTCATACTTTTAAAAGTGAGGCCCCAATGAAGAGCAATGGACTCTTTTTAAAAATGTCAAAATACACTAGGACATGGACTACATAATACTTGCAGCACAGGAAAAACCAGTTCAAAAGGAATCTGCTGAACCAGGCCACGGGAAAAAACACGCATGTTGACTGAATCTTAGTGGCGTCTGTGCATAATCCTCTGTGCAAAGTCCACAACAACAGTGAGGCTGGCTCTTGTGTCAGAGCTCAGAGTCAGGCCCCCATTGTAACTCATGCAGATCAGGAGAAATCACACAGCTGGGTGCCATCGACCGCTTCCTGTCCCCAGAGACAGGAGAGACTCGCACTGGGAGCCACACAAGACCAGTACCACCTGAGAGGCAAAACGTCCAGATTCTGTCTAAAGTCCCTCCTAATAATTATGTACAAGAGGCCACACTGAAGCAGTAGCTACTTCCACCAGCACAGTGTTCAGGGCTTTTCATCTGTTTAGATGAAAGTGGTTTAGAAAACAATACTATACTGGATATAAAATGATTTTTCAAAGCATTGTGTGATTACTTAAGAAAAAAAGTACACAAGTCAAAATATGATCAAGACATTATAATTTCAAGTTTGGCTAAATTACCAATTCAGCAGATGTACATAGAAGAAAAAACATCAGCAACAGTTTCGGATAGATTAGCAGTAGTACAATACGAAGATGTTTATTTCTTCAGAGACCCTGAAGGGTCTGGTTGAGTACTGCACATCCTGATGATTCTGAAGAGAACCTTAAGGTATAAAAGTTAATTGTTACTCCAGATAATTGCGACTAACAAATCATAAGTCAACTAAAGAGTAAATTTACTATTAATTCATTACGTTAAAATAATTGAAAGGTGAAATGACATTCAAATCATTTTGGAAATATGTAAGTGTTTGAAACCATCATAATTAGACAGTCCACAAATCCAGTGCTCAAGAACCAGAATTCAGCAGGTTCTCTTCATTCAAGTTAAAAGCTGGAGATCTTAGAAAAGTGGAAAACTGGTGCAGTTATCGGATGACCAGCCTGTTCTGGGCTGTGTCCTGGGCCCACTGGGTCATTAAGAGAAGAGGTTGAGTGCAACCTTGCAGACTCTGCGGCCACCAGAGGAGGTTTGGATCCATTAATGATCCACAAGGAAAAACTGGAAATGAAGATGTGCGATGGCCAAGCATTCTACAACAGTGATCAATGTTTGCAGGAGCTCTTGCCTTCATTGGTAGATTGAAAAGACCTTCCAGAAGCATTACGGTGTGTGCCTGACCCCTGAGGTCACTGCACTGCTGTGCTGTGAAAAGCAGGACTGGAAACAATGGGGAAAACTGCAGGAGCAGTAACTCTGGGGCCCAGCTCCAAGAGACTCCGCCAGGACTTTACACAAACTGGTTTGCGTTCTCTACAGGGATAACAGTAATTGCTTCATTTTACTGCTTTATCTTCATCCTGATTAGATTCAAAGTATTAAATGATAGCACATATTGAATATCCAATTCCTACAGTGCTCTTTTAAACAATATTTAATCTCTTTCTAACCTTCAAACAGTTTTTCCAGGTTTTATTGCATTAGTTTCCAGCTCTTCAGTTACCCACTAAGATAAATCCTGGATCTTTTGAGTCGTTTTATTTTTTATAAGACTTCTATAAACTTGGCACCAACACTTGTTTAAATTAGTACAATATACACCATGCACAAGTCTTCATGAAAAAAAGAGAAATTGAAGCTAATTGCAATTGCTGCATATAACATTCCTTGACATTTACTGAGGAGCCACACACACCGTTTCAGAACGTTTTCAATGTTTTGGGGTCAATGGTACAGTATATTAAAGTGGACTAGAATTTTGGTCATGGATTAAACCATGCTCTCAAAGGAGACAATGAGTTTAAACTCAATTAATCAGGTTTAATTGTCTTATGAAGCCAGTCTATGAAACACATACTGTATAAGATTTGTGAAAATTAAAATTAATAGAACGGGTCACTGTAACGTGGAGGTGGCAAACAGAGAGCAGGGGGCCTTTTGAAATTAACATTCCGGGACCTGGACACTCACTACCACCCACTCTGACATGGGATGGCTAAACCCCACTGGACTGCCATTCCAACCTACTACTTTTACTCATTCTGAAGCTGATAAATTTAGCACCAAAATTCAGCAGCGTCACGTCAGCACGAATCACCGCAGACAGGAGCCCGTCAGCTGACTGGACTTTCACGCCCAACACTGACCCGGCGCCCGCGGTGAGTAACTGGCACTGCGAATCGTCACACTGCCCCGCGATACAAAGCCTGTTTTTGCTAGGGAGGCCTGCTGTTCAAAGAGCTTCCGTCTGCTCACAAAACAGCTTTACAAGAGTGATTAATAATAGGTATGAATGAGCGCCAGATATTTCGAGAAGATGCTTGTGAACAAAGGCACAATAATACATTGCTGTGCACCTCCAGCGTATTATAAGCTGTTTTTTTAATTAAACCTTTTGGAATAAGCACTATGATACAAAACAGATGCAGCTCTTCAGGTAGTAAAAAAAAAGTTAGTTGATTAAATTCCTGGTTTGAAGGAAATGTCAGGGAGGTTAAGGACACTGAGAGGGTTATATAAGAACTTAGTACAGATATTTAAAATCTTGAAAGGCAAATTGCCAACTACTACCAAATTCTTCTCAGTGGTACTCTTATCATTATCAACAACTGTGTCACCCCCACACATTAACCATAAATACAGTGCTTTTCCAAACATCATAATTATTCTTTAAAAAAAAACTTTACAGAGTAAATTACATTCAGAAACAAATATGGACAGGGATAAACAAACTCCAGATAATGAAGGGAAGGACAGACACCAACCAAAAAGACACAGATTTACACCTTGGACAATCCACAGACATTCAGTCAAAGGAAATCTATCAAATCTTAAGGCACCTCAATTCATTTAAGGTTCGATACACACACATGACGTCTGCTGACACCTTTATTCAACGTGACTTACACACACTGCCCTTTTATACTGCTGGGCAGTTTCCCAGAGCAAACAGCGCACTTAAAAGTAGAAGAGCAGCACCTCATTGAGGATTTGAGCCCACAACCTTTATCAGCTACATGTACAGAGGCCCAAGGACTACTAAAGACAGCTACCCCAGAAAGACTGTGATCGAACTATATTTGAATATATCCCAAATGGGAAACGCAATAAGTGCAAAGCAAAGAAGGGACTCTACAACTAAAATGTGGCAAAGGTGAATACTATTACTTATGTCTTTCAACTCAGTTATAAGAATGGCTTAAACATTTGTGACCAAGGGAGACTGGGCTGCTCAGCTTCAGTCTTATCTAGTAACTGTGAACAGGCCAGGTTTGTGTTACAGCCTGAATGTTCCGTTTGTAAAACAATGGCATCATTAATGTGAATCAGAGCAACAACCACGGAGAAAGAGGCGCTTCAATGCTGCATTTCGTGGCCTGTTCTAGAAACTAACCGAGCTGTTACAATGTATTGTTCATCTTGGACCGCCTTGTAAACTTAAAATGTAGACTCCAGAAACCAGGGGCTTCGATGAAGGATTCTCCTCTCACTTTTGAATGGCAAATTTTCCAGAATTTTTTTTTTGCCAAAATACAAAACTTGATTTTGTGCCCTTTCAGAGCAACTTGGTGAACACAGACAGCTTGCAGCGTCATTAACAAAACAGGCCAAATGTTCTCAGGACTCCATTAAAGGAAATTCAGAGAAAACTAATTTCTAGTATAAACGACAGGAGCAGGATATAAATGAAGACTGTGTGCGCTCACTTTTTTTGCAGAGTGTACGGAAAGAATGTAGTTTGCCTGGCGGAGACCAAAACTATGTGAAACACGCACTCATCAAGACGCTCAGCTGCAAAGAGAAAAACGGGTCAAGAAGAGGAGTGAAAAAATCCAGCCTCGTTATCAAAAGATGTTAAACCATTAATATATCACATCTTCTGAAGCACCACTATGAGCAAATAAGAACACAAATCAAAAGAACAAAAGAACTTTAAATGCAAAAGGGGCCTTACTGGTCTAACAGAGGCTAACAGGGGTGAATGCTTCTGCTTATGAGTCACCCACGTACCAAAATGCTCTTTGGAAAGTGTGCCCTAAAAATATTAAAGAATGCATTTTTAAAATGAACAAAAATAGCTGAATGGTGCTGTGCAGTCCATTTCAGCATGCCCTGTCCCTTCTAACTGACTCACACGCTTGAGTCTTTAGCAATGCAAAGGCAGGACACTCCATTGCAATACTGAACATGTGCAAGTGAGCAATACTGCCAGTCACTCCACTCAGCTCACCACAAGAAATAATTTTTACTTTTAGGATGTCAGTGCCAAAATGCCCAAAACAGCTAGAGAAAACAGAAATGAAAGCCACTTTCTTCCTACAAAAACCAATTGTATCCTGTCAATATTGTACAAATTTGTTAAGAATAAATTGAAAGCTGGAGTTGTTGATCCTGTACCTGCAGGCAGGGCCTGGCCCATGAGGAGAGGTCAGCCTGTTCTCTCTTGAGGGTGCCTGTATATAAGAATCATGCAGAAGCTTTTCAGCCCTTACTAAACTTTTAACTAATAGTAGGGAACCCATTTCATTCAGAACTGAAGAGTCCTGCGACACTGCAAGTCAGGGCAGAAGAGCAAGAATTTGCTCCATCAAGTGAATTAAAAGGGAATTTAAAACAGATTAAGCAAATCTGATGTAGAATTTAGTTTTACTTACTTTTACGAATACCATCACATTATCTTTAAAAATCAAGCAAACAGTCGAGACAACACAGTTAATGTTGCGCATGAAGGACAGCACTTCAACACTGTTTCCTGTCAGCAAACTAGGGCCACTGGCTCAGAAACTCCACCCAGAGGGAAGAGCACCACCTGCTGGTCCACCAGTGCCAGTCTCAGCAGCTGGCTCTGCTGGCTGGGCCTCTGGGACCTGACAGGATCAGACCGCAGGGTAGCTCAACTCAGGCCTTCCCAGACTGAACGCCAAGACACCAAACCTCAACAAGAGTAACAAAACTCACAAAACCACTTCTTGTAAAAGCTGACAGTCAAAGACAAATAGTTTGTTGAAACAATTAAGTGTCCTCTTGAATTAGTCTTGCACTTTTTCTGCCTAGCTGCGGGCCTCTGCTTTGATTAATACAAAACCTTTTTCTGCTGCCGACTGCAAGTGAAAAAACACTAGGTGCATATCATAGCAATAACAAAAACGATGTCCCCCCCCCCCAAATCGGTATTAAATAGTTAAGTAGAAAAGAAGTCCAGCAATGACACGCGGATTACATCGAAATACTCAGAGTGCAAATAGAGTAGCCATGGTTGAGAAACCCACAGCCCAAACAAAATCACACACCCCCCGCTCGGGCTACAGTTTGTGGGAGATAATTACAAGCCTACGTACCCAGAGCACCTCTCTCGCTGCCTGGCAGGTCAGCTACACGAGAGGGAGAGAGAGACAGCGCGGGTGTGGAAACACCTGAAACTAACAGGGAGCCGGTGGACCAGCGCGACCAGCGGCTGCTCTCCCGCACTGGCGTCCGTGACCACGCACAGCGGGCAGGCTGAAGCAGGACACCCGCTGAAGATGAGCTCCCGGAGCCCAGCTGGATTCATCACGCACGACGCTCCCACTCACCTGGCCCACCTGCGCGGCGGCGCGTCACGTCACGCACCAACAGGCAACTTCGAAACACAGGCAACACCCGCAAATATCTCGCAACATCCCGTGGGGCCGTTTCACGCTTGGAGCGGATAACCCAGCTGCACACCGACCGCGGGGAAGGGGGAACGACTTCTCCTTTGTTGTACAAGGCGAATACTTCAGGATATAACAAGTTCGTTGTTGGTAAAAATAAGTAAAATAAAAGTTACAAACTTCACAGAAGCATGACCATTCCAAGTTGGTCTCCCTGCCCGGCCAAAGTTCAGATACTTTAACTGCAGCCAGGCTTTATTAATCACCTTAACGGAAACTCCCAGCAACAGCCAACAGTTGATACCAACAAACCCACTTGAACAACAACACAAGTTTGACAGTCGCCCGTACAACTCGTACCTTCGGCTCCGCAGACTGGCTCCCCACACGCACGATCTGGGGTCCGAACGGGGTATCAGAGGGGCTGAGACGGAGTCATACGAGAACCCGGAGCTCTGCTGAAGTTAAACCGAAACCCAGGAAGAAAATGACAGCGACACTCTCCCCCGGCACCGCCGCCTCCCCCCGCTGGGCACGGGAGCGCGCACGCACGGCCGATCCACAGGAGGCGGGGGCGCGCACGCGCTACGACCGACTGCATTTACGGTTCACCGGCAACTCTCATCATCCCTCACTGCTACATGAATATGTACCATCCTGAACGCTTGATACGATTAATTGTAGGGCCCAGAAGTAAACTCGCCGACGATCTGTGCTGTGGGGATTGCATACGTGCCTGGATCCTGACCGGCTTTGGCAGTTGTTTTCGTGCAGTTTCGGTTACCACGGAAACAAAGGGAAAACTACGTTTTATTCAGTATTTCTTTAATGTTTCGTACCCTGGTCGAAAAAAAGTGGAAATACTGTAAAAACACGAAGAGAAGCGTAGCGGGTGCCCCTGTGGAAGGAGACAGGCGGGTCTGTGTTGGAGCTGACCGAGGGCACGGCTCCAGCCCTGCTTCGGACTTCCAGAAACACTGTAAAACATCTCATTAAAAATAAATGCTTTAAAGAGAGTCATTGTCTTTTTAATAATAAAAACATTTTCTTCTAATTATATTACTCTGTCTTGGGTTTCTGAACGAATTTGCAGTTGGTATCTGTCGGTTTAACGTTTGGAATTTTCTCCGTTTTGGAATTATTTTTGGCAGGATATCACTTGTATTACCCGGGCGAATCTAATTTGCTTTGCACCCATTTATTGAAACAACCGTAGAATCGTACAGCGCGTTTCTTACGTCTGTTACGATCTGTTTAAATGACCGGAAGCGAAGCGCCGCAGTTTTCAAACAGCGCGCGCGCCACGCTCGTCCCCGCCCCCCCCCCCCCGTCCCGTGACGTCACCGCCGCCGCGCGCTGCTTGGCTCCTGTCAGTGGCGGGAAGGTCCGGGTCCGGGTTGGCGTCGGTTTGCTGCAATGGAGGTGGATATGACTGGAGCCGAGCGGATCGGCACGGAGGATACGCAGTTGAAGAGGGACCCGGCTGCGGGGAGAGGGTCGGGCATCGCGTACGAGCTGCCGTGGTAGGACAGCCGAGCGGTGATGTCGGGTCCTGTGCCCTGGGTGGGGGTTAGTGTAGGCTACAGAGCAGGGCTCTGCGGACCTGTCCCTCAGCCTGTAGCACAGATCCGTTATTTTAGAGAAGCACGTTTTCTCCCGGAGTCGTTTCAGACCTGTGATTCCCAAACCTCTCCAGATTCGTTTTTTGTGTGGAGGTTTTTGAGCAGCTTGTCGTCAAAAGGGATACAGGCAGGTGGGAGCGTGTGGGCCGGTGGCGCTGTTGTGCTGCAGACAGGCTCTGGGGATGTCGGCTGCTGCTCATGAACTGGTCACCCTGTAGTGGGAGCTGAGGGAAGTCGAGTCACACAGTTCTCTGAGCACAACAGAATGACAAAGCCGGCTGTGTAATGGGGTGTGGGGGCTGTGATGTCTGTTACTTTGTGTGCCTGTCCAGGGTGAATCGTGCAGACTGCTTGCTGTGACCTGAACTGCAGTGAATTTTAAAAATGTGATTGTGTTTCCACAGGGTGGAGAAGTACCGGCCTCTGAAACTGAATGAAATAGTGGGGAATGAAGAGACTGTGAGCCGACTGGAGGTGCGTGTGGAGCAGCGCTCGTGGCCTCTATGGCAGAGCGACTCGCTGCATTTCTACAGTCTCACCCCAGACCGAAAGTGCATGACCCCCAGGTGCAGCCCCACTGCACAGCAGATCAGGGGAGAAGGGGGGCGTTAAGGAGGCTGTGTGAGCCCAGAGTGGACCTTCGTTTGAGCTTTCTGATCTCTTTGGTCATAATAGCTAGTTGATCTAGGGATCTAATTTGGACATTTTTGGAAGTAGTGGAGCTTAATAGCATTGCTGGGAAGTTTGATCCACACTCCCAAAAGCCTTTGAGTAAAGAAGTCCATCCTGTTCTCAGTTTCAAATTCACTTCACTTTCGGTCTTAAGCTGTGATCTTACAAACAGAGCTGTGAGATCTGTAATGACCAAGGAGTCAAGACCTCAGCGTACCGTCTCGTATCTGATGGCTGACCTCCCACAGCATATTATCCCTGGTCACCATACTGTTGATTTGCAAATTCTAGTCCAGAATAGCACCCACTGGTCCAAAAACCTAGTCTAAAGTCTTGCTTAGCTTCTGAGATCTGGCTGCAAGCTTTTAGTGCTGCTGTCACAGTTTCAAAGCTTAGTTATCTTCACAAGTAAATAAATTACAGTTAGAGGTGCCAGATGATGTTTTGTTTGAATGCGTGATCTTTTGGAATGCACAATTTTGAAAATAGCACTTAAGCTTAGTCCAGAAGAATCAGTGTCTAGCCATTAAAAGTGCAAGAGATGCATGCAAGGAAGGATAAATAATTTCAATACACCTGCATTTGCATGCTGAGATGTTGTTGACGATTTCAGAAACTGACCCAAAACTGAATCTTTTATTTTCTAGGTATTCGCGAGAGAAGGGAATGTGCCCAACATCATCATTGCAGTAAGCATGTGCTGGACAGTCAGACAATTTCAGCAGCTCATGGATTAGACTTGATGTTTTTTAAAGATATTGAAATTAAATTTGCATAGTAAAGTTTACTTGAGACAGTTTTATATGAGACCTCGGTGTCCATTTTGCAAAGCCCTGGAAAACAACAGAATTTTTCAGGACAAGTGGCTTGAAAGGCCAGACAGAGTGTGCAGGCTGTAGCTCTGTTTATATGTGGTGAATAATGCAATCATGGGTTTCCATCAGCCTGTATTTGAGCAGGAATTCCATTTAAGCAGTCTAACACTTTTATAAGTGTAACTTTTAAATAAGTGCAACAGCTTCTTTAACCCACATGACTTGTGCTGTTTTCCTATAAAGGAAAACTAAAAAAGTTAGCTTTGCTTTATAATATAGTTATAATAGTATAAACATTTCTAATTAATCAAATAAGTGGTCATTTAGACCTGAGTGAAGCAACCCCAGGTTGGTACAGTGTCCAACAGTCACACCTTTGATGGGCTGGGATCCTGTCCTGGAAGCAGTCCCCCACGTTTCCAGGACAGGCTCTTCCCGGGAATCAGGGAGGGTGACGCCCCTGTCTGCTCTCAGGGTCCCCCGGGAACCGGGAAGACCACCAGTATCCTGTGCCTGGCGCGAGCGCTGCTGGGGCCGGCCATGAAGGACGCAGTGCTGGAGCTCAACGCTTCCAACGACAGGTGAAGAGACACAGCTGCAGAGTCATCCAGACCGGGGCGAGGTTATAATTATTGAGATTTATTCAACAAATATATTAACCTTTGGCAACTCCTTAAACAGATCGGTTTATGACTTGATTTCAAATATGTCTGAAACTAAGCAATTTGTAGAGAAACATAGCAGAGCAAAGGATTTGTTGTAATACACTCACCTAAGAAATAAAGAGCAATCACAGTTCTCATATGTACTTCATAATTGCAGTTACTGGAGTCTCGAATTTGCATTTTAACTTAGGTTGATAGTCAAAATAAGAAGAGGCCATTTGGCCTATTTAGCCAAATTAGTACAGTAGTTGATTGATCCAAGATCTCATCCAGCTCTTTTTTAAAGAAGCCAAGGTATTGGCTTCAGTAACATACCTGGGCATCTTATTCCAGACTGCTACAACCCTTTGTGTAATCGTGAGCCTCCTGGTCATATTTACAAATGCTCCTCCTCGCAGTTTCCACTTATGTCCTGAGGTTCATGGTTCGGTTCGTGGTTCATTGACAATTTTGTTAACAGTAAATAAAGCACAGAAGTGTGAAAAGGTAAATGCAACAGCTGTCAAGCATTCTGTACTTTCAACAGATTTGGTACAGTTTAAAAACTGATAAATTTCCAAGCACCAGTAAAGGGACAAATGTATAAATCACTAAGGTGGTAGACTTATTCTGTAGATATAAAACAATATTATACTTGTTTTCCTCCTTAGAACTGAGTAAATGAAAACATTGTTTGCTAAATGTTTATCCACAGAGGCATTGATGTCGTACGGAATAAGATCAAGTTGTTTGCCCAGCAGAAGGTGACTCTCCCAAAAGGGCGACACAAGATCATCATCTTGGATGAAGCTGACAGGTAATGGAGCAGCACTGTCGCACCTGGATTTGAACCTGCAACTTTTTGATGAGGAGCTCAGAGCCCAAACCCCTGGTGGGCTGTGTAGTCTAATGGGAGGTACTTTTTCAGCTGTAATCCTTTTTGGCTCATGTTAGTCATCGTGAGATGGCCTGAGTGTCTCCAGAAGAGAAAGAAGAAGGTTTGTGTTTGTTTGCTGTGTATGGGCAGCCTGTCCACATACAGAAAAAGGAGGAATCCCACAGAAGCTACTAGATCTTCAAGCCTTGTACTAGGACTTCAGATTAATTTTTATCCTTTTAATTTGAAAAAAATCAGTTGCAGTTGCACTTAATGTTTTTCATTTTCACATGACAAGAGTGAGAGAAGACTTTGTGTGTCTCCCAGCATGACAGACGGAGCCCAGCAGGCCTTGAGGAGGACCATGGAGATCTACTCCAAAACCACACGTTTCGCTTTAGCCTGTAACGCGTCTGACAAGATCATCGGTGAGAACCTGAGAGCAGCACCTGGCCTCTGCAGAAAAAACTAAAAGAAGACTCACCCTGCTGAACATGGGACACTTCTAAGGGCCGAGTAATCGCCAGTAAAAACACTTTCTAGGAGTGCAGGTTCAGTTTGGTGACGCTGCAGTTTTTCTATTTTATCAAGTACAGTTGACATTGGGAGAAGTGGTTACTGTAAATAACAGGTGTGAGTGATCAGCTGAATGAGAAAGGTGAGCTTAAATGTGATATAATTAGTCAGCTTTTGTGTTTTACATTTCAGTGACTATGGCATATAATTTACAACATAGTCTCTTTGGGGTGATATGAGTCGGCTCCAAAGCCCTGTTTCAGTGTCAGCTGTGCAGGCACTTCTGACCTCCCATATAGACTCACTGGGGGCCAAAGTGGTTCAGACTTTGACAGTCAGCAGCGCGTGAAAGGTGCCCAATGCGTACACTGGGACAGCTTCTCCCAATGCAAATACAGATGCAAAATCAATCAAAATCAAAGGCTGAGGATTTGGGGAATTGGCTGAGGATGGAATTATCTGATTGATCTGGGGTTCGCCAGCCTGCACTGAGCTCTCCTGCCCGCCCCTAATTCCTCTGCACTGTTAGTCCCATGTGTGATGGGCTGAGGGAGATGTGTTTCCTGTTCCTGTGCGCCCCAGAGCCCATCCAGTCCCGCTGCGCTGTGCTGCGCTACACCAAGCTGAGGGACGAGCAGATCATGATGCGGCTGATGGAGGTGGTGGAGCAGGAGGGGGTCCAGACCACTAACGACGGCCTGGAGGCCATTATCTTCACTGCGCAGGGCGACATGAGACAGGTGCCGTTCTGTGCTCCCAGCCAAACACAATGCAGTTGCGTTTTTGAGTTTTGTCTGAGTTTATTTTATTCAATTTCTATTACATTATTATCTATTATTTTGTAACCTTAATTTTGTGATTTTAATTCCCCCCCCCCCCGAATTTCATTGCCAGCAGCTACTGCTGCATGCTGTATTGTTGCATTTGATTGATTGATTGTGATTGATTGATGCAGGGGGCTTGAGTTCCTGCCATTTCAGGCCTGACCTCATATTGTCACATTGTTTTTTTATATTTATCAATGGACAAAGAAAATGAGTCTCATTCTGGGTGATGTTACATCATAAATTTAAATAAATGTTGGGTTCAAATTAAAATATTTTCTCATGAACACCTAAATTCCGATTGACACGAGTTAAGAGATTCTCCAGCACTTTTTTTAAAGACGCTTCACCTTGAAGATGAACTCTGTCTTGTTCCCTAATCTTGTTTGTTTGCCGTGTTGCAGCAGCATCAAAAATGTCTGTGAGTACATGGTGTTATAAACACTGTTGCCCTTCTTTATTTTCTTAACAGGCGCTGAACAACTTGCAGTCTACAAATTCAGGGTTTGGGTTTGTCAACAGCGAAAATGTTTTTAAGGTAATTTAATTTGTTTTGGCCTCAGTTTTTTTATGCTGTTTTATGCTCCTCTTCCTTTCGCATACAGCATAAACCAAGATACCTGTAGAATGTCTTTCACCCTCTTTATTTTATAACTCCTCAGGATCTTTTTCAGTATTGCAGGGCTGTAGCTGTGTCAGAGAACCGTGTGTGAAGTGAGATGTGCAGGGATCGATGCTGTGCATGCAGTAACCCTTTGTCTTAAATTTACTGCTGTTCTGTTTCTGCTTCTTGAAGGTGTGTGATGAGCCCCACCCTCTCCTGGTGAAAGCCATGCTTGAGCACTGTGTTAATGCCAAAATTGATGAAGCCTACAAGGTACATCAGAGTAGTTGTTCTCACACTTTCCCTGCTGCTTTTTAGCATGAGGTGGCCGTATGTGTGGAATTGTGAGGAGTGGTTTAACTCATCTTGTTTCTCCTTAAAACTTAGCTATACGGGCTCCTGTACAACTTAGGTTGTAATGGGTTTAGCTCAGGGCACGTGCTGATCTGTGGCCCAGGTGTTTCTGGGTTGAGCATAGTCTGTGCATTAGCCCACTGTGGCAGCTGGAAGTGGGTGTGCCACCCAGCCAGTCAGACAGGTCTTTGCTGCGGCGGGCATGCCTGGGACCTGATGTCCATGAGAGACGCTGGTCTTCCACTCGGTGCTGTGGGACAAGCAGCATGTTGACTGATGCATGGCTCTGGCGGGCGGGCATGTCAGAGGCACTTGTACCACACGGCGAGAATGAGGACCTGTGTACCAGTTTTGTAATTGCAGATAACAGACTGGGTGGATATTGCTACCTGAAAGCTGTCTCAAGAATGTCCACTGCTTATTAAAAAATATCAGCTGTATTCAGAAAAGTCATGCTTTTGTTGTGACTTTGAAAAGTCGTGTGTTCCGCCAATAGATTGTTGAGCAGCTGTGGGCGCTGGGCTACTCCCCTGAAGACATCATTGGAAACATATTCCGAGTCTGTAAAACCTTCCAGATGCCAGAGTATCTCAAGCTGGAGTTCATCAAGGTGAGCAGTTGCAATGGCCACCGTGTGACCAGCTGTCATGTTCTTCTAGGACTTCGTTCTACATTAGAACTTGGCTCACGTAGGTGAGGGCTAGTCAAGACCTGTCAAAGCCTGACCGTGGAGTCTGTGGGTTCTAGTGCAGCTGTAAGAGATAACAGGCCCAGCTTGAGCTGCAGAATTCTTCAAAATTCTGCTCAAGCCTGGAAGAGATGCCTTTGAAGTGACAATAATAAGTGCTAACCAACTCTTTCTTTCCTTTATTCACACAGCTTATAAGTGAATAACAAAAAGACCTCAATGTGTACATTTATTCAAACCAATGCTCACGTCCACTGCTCACAGAAGTTATAGGTTCCTCTGTATTCAGGCATAAGAAGAGAACAAAGTATGAACTGACGGACCTAACTATACATTTGTTTTAAAGAGACAGTTTAATTAAAAGAAACGGGTAAAAAAGATACTAGTAAATATAACTTGTCACAGGCGGTCAGTGCTTCTGAACAGTTTAGGATAAAGCATCTCAGAACAGTACTGCTTGTTATTACCACCCTTTTGTTAGCAGAGACCGAAATCACCAGCTCCTCTGTTTTTGGAGTTAATTTGGAAAAGGCAGATGGAAATGACGCAGGTGTATGTAGGAAACTACAATGTCCCATCTTCTCTTCCAGGAGATCGGCTACACCCACATGAAGGTGGCCGAAGGAGTCAACTCTCTGCTTCAGCTGGCTGGGCTCTTGGGCCGACTGTGTGCCAAGACTGCTGCCCCCGATGTCAGCTGAGCCCACCCCTGCCCTTCCTGGAACAGGAATGGTTTCCCAGGTCACTAACAGGTCACCAGCAAGACCTGGTGTCTCTCGCTGGGCTCTCCCTTTGCTCTTGACCAGACACATTGACCGTGATAATCAGACTGCTTCTCATACACTCTGCCTGCAGAAAAAGACCGTCATAGCAATGGCCATATGTAGTTAACTCCCTTAGCTCTTTTTGAAGCTATAAATATTTCTGGATACATTTTTTTAGGACTTGAGATTTTGTATATATTCCATTGTTTTTCCATCATCCTTGTTTTGTAATAAATGTCTTATTAATGCATTTTGTTACATTAAAAAAAGCCATATGAAAGCAGTTGGAAATTGACCACCTGTTCCAGAGCAGTGTTAAAGTGAGTTTGTATGAAGACTGAGCATCTGACATCATGGGGGAGTGCAGTCTGCGTCTGCTGGACCTTTTCCCTGTGACTAAAAAGGAAATGACTACAAAGGGCGGGCTCAATTAAAATGTGTGCAATGTATTCTTTAAAAAAACAGGTCGCTCTGACCCATTTCAGAGCTTATTGTTTTAAAAGACATAAATCCCTGTTATATGAGAAGTTTTATGTAGCCTGATACCCCATTGTGAAAATTGCTGGGGAACAGAATGGAGCAACTGTAAGATACTGTTGAGATAAAAAATTAAGCCTTAATCAGATAAGTGATTCCGAGCTGCTATGATATAAAAATATACTATGTCTGCTAGTTGAAAGTTTATCACACAGTATTTGCTGAAAGAGCATGTAATGTTTTTTTAAACATAAAAAAACTCTTTAATTTTAAATAACATTTACATCGTTCATACAATGCATGCATGTTAGTAAAAACGTTATTACATGGGAAACAATGAGCTTAAAAAAGCTACATAGAGTCAGTTTGGTGTTGATATTGATACTTCAGTTTCAATGTGAGTGAGCAATATAGCATGGAAACGTAATAATGGAGTTGGAAGTATACAGACATTTTTTAACTTTAAGGAATACCCTGTTCTTACAGGCCAAAAGATGCAGGCCTTTCTCATTTTGAACAGAGGATACAGGAGAGCCAGATTCAAATATCCCAAATCCTCAAAGGCACGGACAGTCAGGCCAGTGGATTTCTTCAGAATCAACAGTCAAGTGCAAACCAAATGGACAAGAGGAGATTGTGGAAGTGCATCTAAAACTTTGAACAGGAGGCACTTCTTTAGGTTACAGGCAGGAGGTTATCCAGTCCATCTAGCCTGTTTGGTTGAGAGTGGCTAATTGATCTTAGGATCTCATCCCCTTGTTTCTTGAAAGAAGTCAAGAGCATTGGCTTCAACCACATGGCTGGGAGTTCCAGACTCCTACAGCCTTTTGCACAAAGAAGTACCTGCTGTTCCTGGTTTTAAATGCACTTCCTCATAGTTTCCACTTATGTCCACTGGTTTGTGTTTCACTGTTCATACTTAAAACAGCCACAAGGTTGCCTTTATAGGACCTTTGAGGTTTTTAGATCTCGGGTCCCACCATACTCTTCTCTATTGAAAACTGAAAATGTTCCTTCAGCCTGCTGGTATGAGGCTTGTGGGAGTCTGAAAAAAGCTGCACAAGCATGTTGTCAAAGCTGATAACGGGAGCAGATTTAAGAAAAGGCCAGATGAGACTATAAGATCTTTGCTGCTAGCAACCAAGTGATCTAGAGGGTATCTATCCTTTGTAATTTACTTTTAAGAAAGTAAAATTCAATGTTCTTAATGCTGATTGATACTTCCCAGAGTAAACACATTTTATTTACATTTTGTAAATTTCAGCCTTTTTAATGGAATGGAATGGCTTGGTTTAGGTGGTGTTTTTTTAACTATCATTTATTAAATATTATGTATATATTGACTATTAAATTGTAAGAATTATAATTGTTGCTAGTGGTACTGATTACATCACACTGGCGGCTTCAGATGTTCACATGGCAGTAGCTGTATATTTCAGTAAGAACGAGCTCCTGGTCCCTGTCGGTGCTCTTCACCCACATCCACACACTCATTTCTATAGATCCCAGTGAATTACTTTAAAAATGTTCAGCAAGTAAAAAGAATTGAAGAGAAATATGAGGAACAGATGTTTAATTATTTTTCTAGGTTAAGACAAGGCTTTAAAAAAAGTTCATGCACAAGCCTGTCCCAGATTTTGTTAAAAAAATGTTCTCATACTGCACTGGAAGCCCAGTGGTGTGGTAACTTAGTTCCGTTTCCTCGTCCTGCATGTGATTCTGGTCACTGGTGTCTGTGACGTTTGCATTGCCTCCCCAATTTCTGTGCGTTCCAGTTACCTCTCCTCTTGCAAGGGCATCCTGGGGAGGATGGATTGGCTGTTCTGTTCCCCATGGCCCATGCTGTCTAGTGGGAGAGCAGCTATGTGCTCTTGGTCCTCCCTTGCGCCCCCTGCTGTTCAGTAGCCACTTGCTGTGGCCGACACCAGAATAAGCAGCTCAGGCCAAGGGTGGATCTTCTTAGTCTTCAGTATACAGTAGATGCTGTCTTGAGTTTTACAGAGCAGCACTGAAGTCACTCCCTTGCATATTCAACACAGAGATGTGCAACACACTGATTGGTACAGCATGAGTACAGTGCAGTAGGTAAGTTAGGAATCAAGGGATTTTTTTTTACGAGGATGGGCTGTGGCTCACTCTTCTCAATATATTAATATATTAGGGCTATTCCTCTCACTGGTACTGAAAAGGGCTTGAATGATTAACAGGTTTGCAGTGATTCTCAGTTTTGTCTATTTAAAAAAAATCCAAGCAAAAATATAAATTAAGCAGCATGGAAAATAAGATTAATTCAAAAGCACTAAATAACAGGACAAGTATTGGTTGATCAATAGAGAACTGAGTGCTTCAGGGAGGCCCTTGTATTTACAGGTCTATGCCACTAGGGGGTCTACACATGGCATAAAGACAAGCTGCCTGTTTTCACTAGCAAGTTATAGCTCCTTAGCTGGATAGTTATTGGTTTTTAATTTAGGGCCTCCATATCTCCTTGTATGTTACTATGCAAGTCTATAAGTAACACAATCCCCATCCCCTTCACATTTCAGTTTAGTTACATGGTGAGCTCCGTGTGGACCGGTGCTTGTCCGTTCTCCGAGTCCTTCCCTGTTTCCATGAACTTAGGATCCCTGTGCGGCTTCCGTGGTGTCAGAACTCGGGCTGCTTGTCCTTCAGGGTTTTACTACTAGGGCATTGACATAGTCGGGTTCATCTGTGGTGCACGAAGAGGTACACAGAACGGCAAATCAGTTTTTTCACATGGTTCTTAAACACCTTGTGGTGCCATAGGAGTTTGTGTCTATTAGTCCACAGTAAATGATGAAAGATCAATGATATATAGATTGTATATAATATATATGGTACTAGCTCTGTAAAACATTCAGTGAAAGAGCTGGGCAAAGCTATAAGGAAAACAGCCTACCTCCTTCTTCATCAGCGCTGGGTGCTGCTGAACACCCTCTCCTTTTTACAGTTTGCAGGAATGTGCTGTTTTCGTAGTCTGAGCCATCTGAGATTGAAAAGAATGCCATGTTTGAAATCCCCAAAGCTGACACTTTGTGAGTAACTGCAGATGTGTATTTGTAAGAAGGCTCGATCTTAGTAACTCCCTGTTTCGCTTGTCCTTGAAACAAGACTCAGCACGTAACATACTATACGTGCAACTAAAAATACATTATTGTCCCGCCACCTTTTTTCCAGAAATTGCTAAATCAGCTTAAAAAAAACACAAACGTTTTAATTTTAAGAACCCTTAAACATGCAGAAATCCTTAAAAACAGCCTTTGCAATTTCAAGACAAGTATGTGCAAAGTTACAAATGTTTCTGATTCATTGTGAGCACCAGAGACACAAGAAGACACGATTTGAAAAAGAGTTCAGCTGAAGTGTAAAATGAGTTGGTTTGCATTGTGATGGTTACTGCAGGGGTGGAGGTACTGTAGGATACAGGAGATGTTTGTGAGGAAGACTAGGTGATCATGTACATTATTACTAATGTTGTAGGTGAGAAAGTGACGTCAACAGTGACTGCGAATTACAGTCACTGCCAATTACTGACAGGAGAGTCTGATTGAACTTGCCTGTTGTCATCCCCCTGAACTTTTGTTATAAACTTCATTTGGTTTCATTTTTTACAGGTAACATAGTGAACTGCTACTATAGACATGCATGTCTGGTGAACTGCAACTACTGATTTAGAATAATCTGATCCCTGCAGGGTCTGATGTATGTTCAGCTGTTACATCTTGTATCAATGCATGAGAAAGAGCCTTTTAATAGTTTCAGAGAGGGACAAATCTCACTGCAGCGGCAGGATTCTTTAGGTTCTTTGCCTTCTGTATGAAATCAATATGTTTGTGGTTTTCTTAAATGTAAGTGTGAAAGATAGTCTTGCTGTACAGTTTTCCTCCGCAAGTATTTGCTGTTTTTTTCCTGTTAGTTAGGTGGTCTGTGGTTGTAAAAACATTCATCCATCCATCTTCTAACCTCCAAGAGGATAACATTTGCCGATTAATACAAATTTAAGGAAAATGCTTTTAATAAGTAGCTAACAGAGTAACTATAGAGTAACATGGATATACTGTATATCACAGCTGATGTTTGTTAAAACTATTTTTTTAAACGAATATTCCCTTACACACGTAACTTGTAACTGCAATAGATCACTTGAAGTTACTCAAAGGAACATTCTTCAGCACTGGCAAGGACACTGGTGTTTATTTTATTCTGCCAGGGCAGAATATGTTTATATGTGAATATGTCTATGTTTTCCAGTACTTATTGGTGCTTCTCCAAGGTTAGGTGCAATTCAGACAGGTTCAAGAACAGGCCGGTTCTCCCTGCTGCTGTCTTCTCTGTGTGTATAACCCCAGCCCCAGAGAAGGAAACTTTAATGGAAGTAACTCACCTGAGTCCTGACTGGTGGTTTTCTCTGTGGTGGGAAACACGTTTTCATATGAATTGCTATCAGCATCTGCAAGGAAAATAACCAAAAATAAACCGGAGACGAAGGTGGACTTTAAGATCCCAAGCTGTAAAACAACCCTGTTGGATTTGAGTTGGCATTTTTAGCAATATTAGAAAAATATTTTCATGTATAGCTTGATGTCAAGGCAGAACACTGGCAGATATCAAGAATTGTAATCCCATATCAAGTTGGCCAAACTGTCTTTCAACACTCTTTCTCTCACAGGGAACACATAGACACACACTCACACCAGGGCCAGTTTTCCCAGAAGCCAGTTAACTTACCAGCATGTCTTTGGACTGTGGGAGGAGACCCATGTGATCATGGGTAGAACATACAGGCTCCACACAGACAGCACCCCAGGTCCAGAACTGAACCCAGGACTGAGCGCTGTGAGGCAGCTTTGTTGAATATTGTGCTACCACACTACCCACAGCTATATACAGTCTTGTTTTAAGACATAGCTGCTGCTGCTGATAAAATATTTTTCCTTGTCATGTTCTGTGCTTTTCATATGGATCCTAAACACTGGGTCAATTTGACCAAATCTTCACATATTCTTTTGGCTTCAGTTGAATTCAGTGACAAAGGAGCTGATCAACGCTGCTTGTCTGTGGACACGCGTCCGTGTGCACGCTGTGTACTGTATGTGCATATTAAAGAGAAATGACATTAAGCAAAACTGTACCATTAAATACGTTAAGAGTTTCACACCCTACCAGTCCGATCTCTTTTTTTTGTAATGTCAAAAAAATCAGAAAGACCAAACTGCTGTTTAGCGATGTGCAGTGTGTGTAGCTTTCATGTGGGTTTTCAGTGCTGAGCTGCAGCTCAGGCTCATAGCCTTTCTGCCACTTTCATTATCACCTGTGGCTTTTGGAGAGTTAGAGCTCTGGTCTGGGGGAGTGATATTTCTCACCTTTGCCTGGACTGAAGAAACCAAAAGGATGTCATCTGATCTGTCCTAATTGTTTTCTTGAGCATTAGGTTGCAATGTTAGACAAGATGAGGAGGTAGGGAGGCTTATACTCAGTATAGGCAAGCAGAATTATACAAATCAGCCTCTGCAAACAGGAATCTTAAAGAATTTGTTGTAAATTAAACTTTTTATTCAAAATTAATTTGACTTGTGCAACAGTCCAGAACGGCGTGCACCCTATTGCATTTCTCCAGATGTTTTCTTTGTTGCAGCTGGGTGGTAGGGCATGCTGAGTTCTGAGGGCTCTTCAGAGCCCTGGGTCACAGGGTTCCCTCTGGAAGGTGCAGGAAAGCCCCCTTTCAGAAAATGTGGAATCACTAATTATTTCTTGTTCTGCTCTCCTTTGAGATAGTCATATGGAAAACCCTGTAGAAGAAGGCACTGGTCTGAGTAATTAGCACTCAGAGAATGAAATTCCATGTGGAGCCTATCCCGATGCCCCTTTCCCTCCTCTCCCTCTGAGTGGTAATGACTCAGTCAGAGCAGGAGTGTCTCATACAGATCCATTTCCATTAGCAGGTGGTTCACTGCCTCCCACCAGCCAGTGTGGAGTCCCCAGGGCTGGTTCTCTTGAGTTGGCTCAGATACATACTCACACAGGTGAGAAAGAGGCAATGCAGGCGGCTCCCCTGACCTGCCTATCGTCTATTAACACGTCACAGGCCGCTCAGACACTGCGTGCCAGCACCCTGCAGGGGGCGCTGTGTCTGAGAGCCAAGAGAGCCCTGACCCACTTAATCTCACCCCTCCCCTCGGCGGCACTCTGCCAACCGCGGGCTCCCGCTGGGGGAATCACATGACCCAGACTTGAACTCACAACACACGGCCACAGATCACCTTTACCAGCTGAGCCACTGGAGAGGCCCCAAGAAAATGATTCTGGAAGTATTTCAAGCAAATCAGTAAGTACACAGATGACTCTTGATGACAGGACAAATGTCTTATCCTATCCAGTGTCCTTTTCATACCCTCCCTGCTGTGTTTGTGTATGTACACCATTATTAGTTACTAAGCAATACTCAGAATATTTCAGAATGTCATAGAAGCAAAGAACATTACAGCTGTCAGTTTAGCTGAATTTGGCTTTGGAAAAGTGCCAGTGATTTGATTTGGACTTAGGCATTGGAGTGTTTTAATGGAATATTTTTTTGTCTTTGTGAAATATCTCTGGATACATTTTCTGTCTTTTTTTATTTATATCAGATCTATTTTACTTTTAGACTGTTTCTAAGAAAAATGACTTTGATACAGCTCTGAATCCATTAGACCGAAGGCATCCATCCAGTCAGTTATACAAGAACATTCATCGGTTAGTGGTACAGTGGATGTATCGATGAAGCCATACATTTGTTATGCTGAATGATATCGCATCACTCTGAATGTTTCATTCTCAGAAGAATCACAGAATTCTGGGGAAGTTCAGTTTCTCTCATCCAAGTGTTACTTACCTTTCTCCGAGGTCTTTAGTATGCAGTTTTGATATGGTGATCCTGCAATTGGATCCCTGTAAAACAGCATTGAAGTATTACACTTAACTAAGTAGCAAGAGTCACATAGTGGTGAGGTGATTAATTCTGCTGCCCTGCCTTTCTTGGGTCCAGGGTTTGAGTCTAGACTGTGCCTCTGTCTGTTTGGTGTTTGCTTGTTCTCCCCAGGCTTTCTCCCTCCTCCCAAAGACATGCTGGCAGCCTGACTGGTGTCTCTAAATTGTTTTTGTGTGTCCTCTGAGTGGCTGGTGTCCCACTTAGGGTGCAGTCCTGCCTTCTGGTGGCTGAACAATAGTTTATACACCAGATTGTGGTCAATGCTCTTGGCTTTGATACAACATCAAATTCAGTTGTTTGGTCATATTCTAGTAACGATGAAATGAGAAGATAAATATAAAAGTAGTGCATATCTAACTACTTTAACTTTAACTCGCCTGGCTGAGGAAGTGACAGCTCTGGCCAAAGACCAGTGCTGCCACAACCTCCCCTCACCCCTGAGGAATGAACTAGGGAGGCAGCTGCAGGGATGAAGTTGGGGTGGAAGGTGGATTTCTAGAAGAGATGTGCACATAGTTCTGTGCAGCCAGGGACCATTTATACATTGAAGAGTGAAATCAGAATTTGACCTCCCTTTGAACTTTTAAATTAACACCTTTTAATCAACCTGTCTTATAATATGGGTGTTTCAATGAAATCTTCATAGAAATCATAATGCATGTTCCTGAAGTACCTTTATAAAATACCTCACTGTCAGTTAGCATTAAGAGATTACAGAGTATATTTAAGATGGTGTAATAACTGCAAAAATCTCCATAGCAAAATGTTGCAGGGTGTAACTTCCACCCTGCATTTATCCTTGCGAATTCCAGACTTTAGGTGCACAAAGGGTCAGTTAGGTTTTTGCTTTAATCAGTTGAGGCATATTCTTATGTGACAATGGAAATATCATGCATAGCCATTCACGGTGCAGTGCATTAGCCTCTACAACAGCCATGCATGGAGCGGAGATAAGGTAAATCTGAACATGACTCAATAGCAGGTATTGCAAACGCGAGCAGAGCATGAGGCGTGACTACGCCCTAAATGTCATCTCGATCTGCTTTCTCTCTAAAGGGCAAATAGCTCAGCCTACACATTTCCGCCCCTTCAACAGGTCTCCGTCTTGTCAAACATTTTTGACTTCAGCTCTCTTATTGCAATTCTGAAAATCAGGCATTGGAGCCAGCGTCAGAGTGAGGTGAAGTCCAGTGTCCCGGGGCACTTCTGTACAGCACACTAAACCAGCTCGGGTCCTCAGGGCAGGACTCTGCAAGCTGTTGGCAAGGTGAAAGGGGTTTTATCAAGAAAACCTGAAATACTTACACATACATTGGTTCACAGCCCTCTTTTGCCACTGAAAGTAAAGTAAAAACAGAGTTTTTTAGTGTTTGATCTAGGTTTAGGCTATGCCTTGTCACATGTGAGTCCCCAGGAGATTCTCCATTCCCAAACTCACACGGTGACAACGCAAGCTGTAACAAAGACATGATTGTGGAGTGACTGCTGTTCCTGTTTGGTGTGGACATCAGATACTTTGCACAAGAGGATCTTGTACAGAAGCAAAGTTCGTTTGCTCCCAAAATGAAAAAGGAGCACTGAAACAATCAGAATTCTTAAAAAACAAACATAAGCTCAAAGAAGCTACATGTTTGTGTCCTATGCTTATTTTCAACCTGTCTTATGTTTGCCAACATAAGAAAATTTGACTTACAGATGGGGACATTTTGATATTTTGAGTGTTCTCCATTGACTACTGCTGAAATAAAGAAGATCAAAATTACATAAGTAAGAAAGGAAATTACATTAAAACTGAAAGGGCTGAACAAGTCTCATGGGCAGGAGTCTCAAACTTCCTGAAGCACTGAGTTCAGTCGTAGATCGAAACGGCAAAGTTTCTATTTAAATTGCTTGTGCTCGTTTCAGAATGAACTCGTTAAGAAACATTTGGCCTTCTATTGAAAGGCTTAATGAATATTACAACAGGGATTGTCAACAGTTTTATGAAAGCCTTTTTAATGATGGTTTATGCATAAAAAGAAAACAAGACATATATACAGTATATAATGCAAAATGCATAATAGATCCCCAGTCTAAATATTAAATAACCCATTAGACACTTGAACAGACGTGAATACAAACCTTGCGTAATAAGCCTACTTAAGCGTGTAATAAGTAGTGCATAATCCAGATTTTGTTATGCTCTATTGATGTTATCAATCAGACAGAATGTGCATTTATTCATAAAGAGAAAAACAGTTTTTCTTATTAATAATAGGTTCCATTTACATTTTCTAAATATATGTTTGTACATACAGTATACTTTACTGGAACAGCAGAGATGCATCTTTGGCCCCTAATTTGAGAATTTGAAAAAACTTTATTTGAGAAAATGTATAAAACATCTGCAATTGTTTAATGGCAGTTTTAAATAAGGCAGATTTCAAGCATGTCATTTCACAGTGAATGTTTTAGACAGGTCAGCAGTGCTTACCTTGGGCATCCTGCTCAATCTCCAGTTGAGATTCCCTACAAAAACAAATATCATGTTTTACACACAAAGCATATATACTATACCTATACAAAGTCTACACACCCTTGTTGTAAAGAAACACATTTTGTGGCCTAACATCCTGAAATCAAGACACATTACATCAGAATGTATTTCACCTTTATTTACATATTGTAACACACCTCCTCCAAGTGGAAAATAAAAGCTCAAACATTCTGAAAAGTAATTACATTGGAAAACCTAGAAAAATGGGTTAGATACATGTATTGTAACAGCAATTGTAAATTAGCTCTGGTGTAACAGACAAATCAGACATCAAGCTTATTAGCCTCCACCTGTGTCCACCCTGTAGTGATTCTGATGTTTCAGAATAAAATCAGCTGTTCTGTAGGTCTGGATCTCAACTATGGGCAATAAGGAAAGGACACAAGTACTGTTGCCACCTAAAAGTATCAGGTGGTTTATTCAGTAAGCAGATATTGTTTTAGCATTTTAAATCGTTTTTAAATGGTACAGAATGTTATACAGTTTACTATACTGTGAGTCAGCAAGAACAAACTCCAAAACTCACTTTTGGACACAGATCTGTACTTACTCTGGGGGTAAAGGGGGCGGCGCTCTGACAATCTGATTGGGCCGTGTCACTGGAGAGAGAACAAACAAGTAAGGAAACCTCATCAGTACAAGGCTGCTCCTGTTTGAAAAGCTGCTACTGCATCTCAAATACCTTTAGCATCATTGTAAGGGTTTGGCCCAGTATTACAAAGAAATAGGAGAACTGAGTTGAAAAATAAGAAAAAAAGAATCATGACTGTTAAATCCTTCTTGCGCATTTTATATGAAACAATGAAATATCAGGCTATGCTCAGCTGCTGTTGGTGTTAGCTCAGTTATTTGTCATCACAGTACAAATTAAAGTGGGCCAAAATAAAACCACTCACCTGTTTTAGATCGAATGACAGTGAATCCCCTATCTTCACTGTAGTTAGAAGAGAAAGTAAAATTAAGAAGTTGGAATATTAGGGTATTTATTAAATAACATGTTGCACAAGAGATAAGATCATCATTGTGGTCAAGTGAGGTGACTGCTCAACCGGAGGTGTTGCAATCCAAGAGTTTAATCTCTGTCCCATGCTGTGTAAAGAAAGGGTTACAGCAATCACATCTTCCTGACCTGATGTGGAAACAGGATCATCTTAGTAAAGACATACATCCACCCATTTTCAACTGCTTATCCAGCATAGGGTCACAGGGAGCCAGAGCCTTTCCTGGCCAGCAATATGCTCAAAGTGGGATGTACCCTGGACAGGATGCCAGTCCATCACAGGGCACACACAGACACACACACTCACACACTTGCACCAGGGCCAATTTTCCCAAAAGCCAATTAATCTATCATTATGTCTTTGGACTGTGGAAATAAACTGGAGCTTTCATTGTGCCTGTGTGCCTTTGCTGTTTCCAGAGTTTGTCCCACACACGAACCTGTTAGCTTTATTTTAAATTCTGCTTTACTTACAATAGCTGTGGGTCGTAAATTTGGTTTTCTTCTCGTATTTTCACTGCGAAACAAAAGAACATAAAAATGCATTTGATTTAGTGGAGGTTTTGGATAACATGTCTGCTCATCAGATTCAGTATGCCATAGAACACATAATTCCCACTTTAATGTGTGGCCTCATTCACATTAAACAGACATCCATCTATTTTTTAACTGCTTCATCGAGCAGCTCTGGGAGCTGGAGTTCATCCTAGCAAGCAACAGGCACAAGGCAGGTTCACCCTGAATCAGACGCCAGTCCAACACACACTCCTTCAGAGTAAAATCTGTTACAGAGGTTCGAAGCTGAGAATACAAATTCAGAATTAGGGCATCTGAGCAAGATTTTACATAGAGATTAAAATATGCTAACTGAGCAAAACAGTAGCATGAACTCCTGCAACCTGCTGCTTTCTGACGTAGTCAGCTGCTGATGAGGACAGATTGTGTCATCAGAAAAAGGATTTTTAAAGGATTTTATAATACTTGTATTTAGACTCGCAGTCGTCTATGTTCTAAACTAACATGGTTCAGTTTCTTCAGCTTGTCAATGCATCTGGTTGCTCTTCTTGATGGATTCCCTAACAAGAATAACTGTTGTTATTGTGACCAAGGGCGTTACTCAATCTAAACATTAGATCCCTTGATTTAAACTCTAAGCTTTTAACTGTACACCTTAGCATTTTGTTTGCCTTTCTATTGCTTTCCCCACATTCTCTACAAGGTGTACAAATGTAAGTATAAACACTTGAACCTTTTCCCCAAGTACTCCCTCCCATCTCAGTGTTTCCCATTTTGTATTTAGATGTTTTAAAACATGTTTTACTACATTGCAGCATATGTTTTTACTACACTACAAAAAACTTGTCTACTTCAAGTATCATCTGCTGTGTGTCTGCTCAGTCTTGAATTGCATCTACATATGTCTGAATTTTATTTGCTACTTCTAGAGAATTTGATTAAACTCCTGATGTTTTATCATCTCCAGCGGTGACTAGTTTACAAATTTCAGACTGCAGCTCCACAGGGTGAGTGTTACTCTGAGGGAATTCAGCTGAATTAACTGTCGGTTGTGAAGAATCCAGTGGCAGGTTATTACCAACACCCCACCCCACCCCCCACCCCAACATAGTCTAGAAAAGTGCAATTAAGACTTTTGGGGGTTCTGATACCTCCGAAACATTAACAAACTTCAGAACCAGGATTTTAGATGCTCAATTTTAGAAGAGATGTGGACCATCAGACGTTTTCTATGTTGGCCAAAGTGGTGCTTAGAGATGTAGCCTGTGGCACCTCTTTGCCTACAGGCTCTGGAGAGTGGGCGCTGGGCTACATACTGGATCTCCTGTGACAGCGCAGACACATCAGCAGGATGACCAGGAGTGGGGCGGCAGACAGAAGGGCCAGCAGTGCCCCGTGGGGGTTAAATTCTGCACTCATCCCTGTAAGACAAAAAGAATGGCCGAGTGCTTTAAGAGGATCACAAATCCATATTCTTTCCTAAAAATGAAAACAGGCAAACTATCTAAAGAGATCCTGTTCTGACCTTTTGTGTTACTGCAGCTGGCCATGAGTTTTCCCCAGCAATCCTCAAGGAGCCTTTTACTGTAAGAGAGTATTCAGCTATGAAAAAAGATACAGTACCCCTCATAACGAAAAGCAGTGGCCTTGATGACTAAGGTGAAGGGCTGGTGGCTGAGTTCTCTATGAGAAAGAGGTAAAACAGTAAGACATCAGAGACCCTGGCTGGACTCTATGAGGCTTCAAGCTTTCCTGCAATCGACCAGCAAGCCACAGGATGTGTGTGGTCAGTGCACAGAGCTTTAGCAGTCAGACATGAACGGCTCAGCTCACTTGTGCCTGAGATATCTAAACACACCAGCACTTTACAAATGGTGATTATGCTTATTTCACCACTTCATTAAATCTCCATGGAAACTCCTTTCCAATCTGCATAGTGCAGATTAGTGCTGGTGTTACACTTTTACCAGGTTTGGTGAGGGAGGGGTACTTTCAAAGATACAACATCATTTCATTCTTCAGAGTCTCGGCACACTCTCAAGGAGGAAACCTGTGGTTGAAAGGTTTCTTTTTCAACAGAATGACTCATAGCAGCTCAGCAGCCAGACTAGTCTAAACACAAACAATGTGAAACTCAAGACAATTTTGTAGCAAAGTTTTGATAATGTTTTCCGTTACATTTTATTAGGAAAAGAAATGTCCATAAGAATTCAGTGTTCGCAGTAAGGGCATTGAATTGGGAAGGATCACCTGACAAAGATGCTCGTTTGAGTGCAGGTTGGGTTCTATGATCACGGGTTCGAGCCTTGGTCATGTGATCAGGGGAATCTTGAAAACACTGTTACAATTTGCCATGAAACTGCTGAGTGTCACCCATGCCATTGCTGGGAATTCGTTGTGATTGCGACATGCTGTTTACTTTCTGTTCTATTCCTTATGGGTACAGTACTGTCACGGGGGAAGTAGTTTACTGTTCATGACACCCAGGGGTGTTTGTGGTTCAGGAAAGGCTTTAAAAGATTGTTGCAGATCTGCTGGCCAGTTCACAGGACTAGCAGGTCACATTATATGTTGTACAACCAAAGTGTGCACTGTGGTTTTCAGTCTTGACAGGTTATTGATTACTGTAAATCTTTCTCTCGTGTGGACTGCAGGCAGAGCTGCTATTTGAAGATCTTTTTCTTGGCACGAGTGTCAGATTTCAAGTACAGTAGTTAGCAGTAATTTTCTGATTTATTTCACCAACATAATATATACTGATTACAAACAAGTCTCAGTCTGGAGTACTAGTAGTCTGAATGCATTTGTGACTCAATGTGGAATATTATAAATATATTTTGCCACACAATCCACGCTGATGGAGGACAGTGAAGGATATTTATATATATAGTAGGATCTCTGTTCTCTTACCACGGAGACTCTGCTGCCTGATAATGAATGGATGGAAGTCCAACACTATCAATGAATATCTGTGAAAGCAGCACAATCACAATCATTATCATTGTCTTAATAATATAACACATCTTAATAATGAGCACCTTAATAACAACATGTCCAGGGGAGGTAAAACATATAGTTATTTATCATCTGACAATGAATCTAACAGGGAAGTTTAAAAGGTCAGTTTTCTACTCAGTTTTAACCAACCATGTTGTTTATTTCATACTTAGTGCTTCAACTTTTTGTACGGAAGCTTTCATCTGTCCTATCTACAGGTGATCTCTGGGTTATCAAGCACACTCTGACCCCTGGTGAGGTTCCAGTCCATATTCACAGTACCAATAATTACAGGCAAGTTAGTCATTGCAGAACTGAAACTTGCCAATGGAGAAATAGATGGAAACATTTTTTTAAATCTGTTTTCTTGTTGAAATGCTACTTGATTCAGACTACATTGTCTGCTTTAAATGCCTTTTTGATTTTTGTACAGTTATTACAGAACAAATTTGCTTGTTAATTAAAATCAACTTTGTTCTGCTTTTCTAGAAGTTCTTAATCAATGTGAATTTCAGAACTTTTCCTTCTCAAAAAAACTATTGCTTTGATCTCATGATCATCATATGTGTTTCTACATTTAGTTTTATTATTTCAGTTTGGTATATAATTGCAACTGTGCGCTTCTTCTGGCTGCAAGAAGAAAATGGAGAACGGAGGTGGGCAGCTGTGTTGTTCTGGAAAGAGAGCTGCTGACAGGCAACACAATGAACACTTACAGTAAGTGAACTCACTACAGTACTTGAGTTCTCTCTGTGTTAATGAGACAGAATCATCTCAGTTGGTGGAAAATGACTTGTACACACATGGCTGGGCTCATGACTCAGGGGTGATTTGTTAGATGAAGGAATCACAAGAAATACTGGCTGTTCTGCCAGCGTGGTGCTATTTGACCTATATTCACTGTTGAAACTCATATTTCACTGATTTCTTCATATTTTACTTCATGAAGTCTCTGTTTTATTCCAATAAAAGTAACAGGGTATTCCGTCATGGAATCACTAGAGCATTTTTAACTGCAATTTAATTTCAGTACAGTACTTTTAGAAACGGCTGTTAATGTGTCCGTAAAACTCCATTAAGGAATGTTCTTTCACTCCCTTCAGTGATGCTTTTACTGGTACACATTGAGTGGACCTGTTTCATTTCAATTCAATTCAAAACCCTTTACTACTTCTATAACACAACCTTCAACACAAAACAAACAGCAAAACAATTGTTACCAGCCAAACATTATAATGTTTAGAATGACGCTATGAGTCATAGCTACTTGTCTTATGTGTAGCATAAGACAGAAAAGGAGACACAAGTGTTTCAGAAAAAATTCCACTCATCTGCTATGACTAAGACTGGCTGTCCAGCACAGAAGCATCTGACATTTTCACATTATTTTTTCCAAGCGCACGTATTTCCATGAATGTGATAATGTACCACCAATTCGCTCACTTGTCTGTTGTCTGTTTTGTTTAATACGACTTTTTAAAGAAATCCAAGTTGGCAACAAAACATTTTTGACAATTTTAGTTTTTAGTCTTTACTTATTTAATAATGGATATGAATTATTCAACATGTAAATTTGTGTCTCTTTCTTATATCCCAAATATAAATGTCTTTACCAGGTAGCACTTTGTTTCGTTAATCAACAGCATCGCACAAGCTCTGCAGTAGTAACAAGAGGTGGAAAAGTCTGTCTCTGTTATACCTGTCTCAAAACGTTATTTTAACATGCTGTTAATAATAGAAACATTCTAAAACTTATCTTAGGGTTAAGATTCTTCAGGCTGTGCTGCGGATTGAGTTTTTTTTTACTAGCATCTAATTACTCTATGATAAAAATGTCTGTCACTCCATTATTTCTTTAGATATATACTTCATTTACCTATTCTTCAATGTCTTAGAGGAAACTCTCCAGAAACTCTCTGCATATAGTAACTGATGATTTCTGTAACTTGACTTATTCACATTCAACATCTCTTTTGATTCTGAGCCCTCTAACAGCTACAGTTACTCCGTTACCTCGAGCATCTTAAGTGGATGTCTTTTTGAAATCCCTTCGCCGCTCTGTTTTGTATAGTTCCTGATGGAGCCACTGAGAAGCAGGCAATCACACTTTTTCTTGGTTAGCTCATTATCCAATTTAATGGGAAACCTGTAGCCCTATTATCTCCCCAGTAACAGGTCAAGGAAGTCATACCAGAGCTGTGATTTCAAAAGGTTAAGTAGACTTTATTAGTTGCACAGTTTAAAAGGGTCAGTACAGAAATTCAGTTTGGTCCGGCTATCCACTCTGCTATATATTAACAGCCTCTCTCTCCTGAACTTTCAGAACAGTTAATTTGTCTGTTTTCTGTATTTATATTTTAGATTTTACAATATGCTGTATTTCTTCCCAAAACGAATAACTTCTTGAAAGTAGATGTTAGTTAATTAATCACTTTCTTTTATCTATCAAAGTATGTTGCACGTTGTGTTTTTTGTAGATACAGGGTAACTCTCTGCCTCTTACAAAAATATTTTGCAACTCGTAAGTGCAAAGCATTCCTTTCACAAGACACCAACAACCTGCAGGGTTCATGTATGACCTAAACCTTTTTATTAAATTTTATTAAACTGGCCACTCACTTTAAAACGCGTGTTCTTGATGTTGCTAGTGGAGCATTACAAATACAGGACACTGACTCTTCACTTTCAAATCTAATTCCCAAGGAGCTGCTCAGTCATCTGGATTTCTATCATTCCCCTCAGCATTATGCTAGTCTGACTTTTGCCTATTTACAAATGAAACCAGGTGATACAGACTAGGCTTCAGGGAAACACGTGAGCCTGTTAAAAATCGATTTATTCAGTCTCTCTTCTTGTCACCACTGTGGAACACCCAGACCACGCTGTGTGCATCAGCGCTCACAACTTCCTGAACAATGTGAAGCACAGTTTCCTTTTATTTAACAGTCTCTCAATGACTCAAGAGTTTCAATTTGGAGAAGTGCCTTCTGCTTTTCCAAACTCCTTTTCTCCCCATCCCTTTGCATCACCTCATCATTACCTCCCTTCTGTCTGGGTTTGTATAGTTTATCCCATTCCTAATCATGAAAAGGAAGTTATGTGCTGTAGAATAGGAGACATTGCTTTACCAAAAGGGTTGTGTGAGAGTGGAACAGGCCATGTTGTTGAAGCCGTTATCCTTGCTTTTTTGAAGATACAGCTGCATAGAATCCAGGGAGTCATTAACTACTAACTTCGTAACCATTCTTACATTTTTAAAATGCAGTGATTTAATGTAGTGAAGAAGAGCTTACTTATGTCTCACCTTTCTCTGCATGCAGAGTGATTTGTGGGTGCTGTTGTGCTCTCCTATTATTATTTGTGACAAGGTTACCTGCACAGCTCTTTGACTGAGTCAGCCAAATCTATTTGTATGCAATTGTTCAGAGCAATCGTGGTAGAGTGCTGGTGTATTGAAGAGAGACTAACACTGACACCTTCACCTGCTGGGTTCCCCCACTCCCATGAGGAATCTGTGCGTCTTTTGGAGTGGTTAATGAGAATACTTTGTATAATCTGTTATACTCTGAAATAACAATTCAATAAAAAGAGCGTAAAAGAACAGCCAAAAACCTTTAAGAAAGCAGGTAATAAGAATACATGTAGACTATATCAAGAGAAGTTCAGAAAATGTCCTAAAATAATTATTTTATTCATTTTAGTCAAGGGAATCAATAAAAGCATAGGTATATTTTATATATTAGGTATATTGAGTGCCTGGCCAGAAATAAATAAACCAAACCCATGGCCGTAAAGTGTTCATTTACTAAAATAATCAATTTCCCAAACATTGTAGACAACAAGAAACTGTGAGTTATTTGCTTAAAAATCTGATATATTTGCCCTATGCACCCTGACTCAACTGTAATAAATATTTCTCTGCAGATTTTTCTTATTATGGTTTGATGCTAATTTCAAGATATATTTAAAAATATTTTACAGGCATAGGATACTCCTATTTAAGCAAACAATAGCTCTGGGTATAGTAATCTAGCTATTCAGCTCACTGTTTAACAAAACCAGGTGGAAATAATCATCTGCCTAAAACAAGTAGAGCCAGTGCAGTAACAAACTGACACAATACACACCACTTGCAGAGAAGACGTCCCTGAGATTTGTGACAGAGAACAAGGGATTCAGGGACGTAAGACACTTCAGGTGTCTTGACAGAGCAAGTACTACTGGCATACTACAAAACTAATCACTCATCAGCCAGCGAGTGTGGTCCTCTTTATTATGCAGTACCATACCTTTGTAACTAATATCACTTCCCCGAATACCTGTAGCTTTCCATCAGATATGTTGTATTTTACTGTGTAAATTCAGAGACAGTTACAATATATGTTATGAGCTTAAGTAATTGTCTCTCAAACCTCCTCTAGAGGATTCTGCTAATTTCACTGTTAGTAATTATGAAATGTTAATTGAATTCAATTATTCCCTGAATTCTGACGAGGTGCCAGAGGCTTTTGAAACAGCTTCAGTTATTTCCTTGCCTGAAAAATAATGTTTTTCGATTACCTGGATATTTTTATTTTTCTGACTTGATCTTTATTGCAAAGATATTCAAATGTGCTGTTGAAGTTCAACTCCTCAACGTCGAAAAGATATTTCTCAAACCCTTTCAATCTGGCTTTAGATAATTACAGAGCAGTGAAGTTGCTCTTGTCAAAGTTGCTGATGATAATTCTCCTTACGGCAGCTGATTTGGGTGTAGTACTAATCTTCAGTTCTCTTAAATCTCAGTGCTGTGATCATGAGACACTGAGTAGTTTGGCATCTCTTGTACTGCTCTTCTCCGGTTTAAATGTAACCTTGATAAGAATCAAGTTTGATTTTTTTGGTGGTTTAAGGTCTGTCTTAAGACTGCTTACATATAAAATTCAACAGGGATCAATGCTACTATTCCATATTTAAACTTACTCTCAGTCAGATATTACAAATACATGATCTGAATTAGCTTTTTCACAGATAATACTCAAATCTCTCTTCTCTAAACCTTATACTGAATTAGTTGTTTCACTGCTGTCTGATTGTATTTCTGATAAAAAAGCTAGGATTACACAACGTTTTGTTATTTAATTGTAATAATTCAACAGTGTCCTTTGTAATGAAGAATCTAGTGGTGATCTTTAGTCCTGAGGTCTGAATTGGAGAAATATTGCCAGCCACTGTCCTGTGCCATCTGTTTCTGTAGCTGGAAAACTGACTAATGCATTTGTTTTTTCAAGGATTAATTGTTGTAAGGCTCTACTTGCAGGCGTATTAAGCTAAACTTAATGAATAATGAATAAGCTCAGAATGTGTCAGCTGGAATCCTGAACAGGTACATACAGGTGATCTCGTCACCCATCTCCCCCGTATCTAGCTTGTATGTTATATGTTCACTCCCCTCTTTGTGACCTCTCTAAAGTGTGGCCTCCATTCAGTATAAAAGTATTTTTTCCTGCAGCGCTTGAGTATGCTGTAGCTCAATAGGCTAAACCACTGCGATTGAAGCTGACAAGAGCACCGGCCTGACTCTTGCGTCTGATTCTGGTTTACTGTGTCCCCCTGTAGAGGTGACAGGACCTCAGGGTCCTGAGCTCTGGTTGCCATCCCAGAAGAAATCAGACATTAAATCAAATCGGGGATATCTGGTTATTTTCCGCAAGATTTAACTTTCTGTATCTACTTTGTTTCTTTTTTACTTTTTCATTTTATTTCATTTTTTTAGTGCACAATATGCTTTTTATGTACTGCAAAGCACTTTAAAATGCTGCTTTTACAGACAGTATATAAAATAAGGAAATTAAGTATAATAATAGTATGGGGAAGCAGACCAAACTTGTCATTTATCAATCCTTAATTCTCATTGATCGGAATTGACCACGACCCTGACTAGGGCAAGTGGACTGATGATCAGGACCTTCAAAAACCTGAACACACTTCACGTCAACTGTGCATGGACAGCCACCATCAGTCCTGCACTTTCACCACTCCAACCTCACTGACTCGCGCCCCGGCAATCTTCAACACAAGAATAATCCCTTCCACTCTACACAGCCATACAACTAAAATGTCACTTTTTTACTGTAAACTACAGATCTTTTGGGAGAAACTGTTTAGAAAACAGCTAAAATTTCAGAACATTGAATAAATAAAAACTATGGAGCGAAAAGAGCCAAACAAAGCAAAATGTCTGACAGCTGCAGCGCATGTAGAGAGGAAACAGCATCACGTCCTCAAGATGGAGAGAAGTTCATCTCTGTCAGACTCCATGAGGACTTTCAGATTATTTTCAAGTACCTTTACTCCACGATACGTTAAACACAGCAACAGGTGTGTTGAACACATTCTTAAAAAAAGCTTTTTTTAAAAAGGCTCAAAGGCGGCACAATGGAGGTCGGTGCCTTCATCATTGGACTCATCATGACAGCTGGGAACGTTTGTTCTTTCCTAACTGGAAAAACAATTTAGACAATAAGATGTAAAAAACATTGGGGAGTTTCTAAGGTTTTAAAAAATAAGTTTGCGGCTGTCCAGATTATTTTTGTTTTCCTTGAAATTATGACATAGCTTCTTTCCAACAGAAGAAATGGTCACCAAATTGAGAGTCGTCAGTTGTTCCCACTCAGCTTCAATACAATGAGGTAAAGTTGGAGGAGAGAAAATTACTTTTTTAATGACGTACGTCAAGTGCGGGCTATATCTGTGTCTCCAATACCCTGGGTAAAAGGTAACAGGGCGGAAGCTGAGTTAATAGCTGATTTATTTACAGAGAACAGGTAAGTTCCTACTCAATGGAGATATGCATTGGATGGCATCTGTAGGGAACTAAAGACTATATAAGTGGCCAGTGTAACTAAGTCACAGCGCCTGTCATGGTGTATGTACATGTTGAAACAATACAGTATAATTTAACCATTTCAAAGTGAATAAATTGGGTGAGGCTGGACTATGTTTCAGATTAGCCATGCATAAGGACTGTAAGTGCTCATCTTTTTAGATACATTTATATGTAAACTTAGTTTTAACAAGCCAAAACATCTCTTCATTCAAAATTATTCAAACACAATCAACATGCTATAGGTGAACGTTCTCACTGATGGGTTTCATTTATGTTTATTCAAGGCGAAAGTGCACCTTAAATTAATTTACCCTTTTCACTGTATCCCAGTCTTCATCCACAAAGCATTTTTATTTTCTTTAGATTGTATTATGGCATCATTTATTTGGAATGCAACAAGTTCTCGAATCTGCAGATTATCGTCACAGACTGAGGCTGCGTGGTGGTCTTCCCAACTTTCAACTTCGTTTCTGGGCCGCCATCAATAAAACAATTACAAAATTCGAATTGTTCATTTGAATGTATAATGCAATGGAAAAGGTAATTCTTAAGTCTTAACATTTGAGAAAATGTGGTTGTTTGAGAAAAAACAAACCAGACAGTAAACTTTCACAGCTTCTAAATAGCTAATTTTTTGGGTAAGAAAGTAATGGTGGAGAGGCTGGTGCTTCTAAGACTCGACTTCAAAGACAGGTTTCAGGTTCACTACACACATATCAGGTGGTGAGCTGTGTGGCAACTTCTCTAAAATATGTTTCCAAAACTTCCTCATCTGCACACAGCTTTAAATGTTTTCTCACTTGTACTTTAAAAAAGATTTCAAAGTTCAAAGTAAAATGATACTAAAGGTCATACAGCAAGTGTTAACAAATATTTTTAATGAAAAGATAGTTGGAAGCCAAGAAAATAATAGATGAAGCCCAATCCACCCCAAGATTCATCCTAGTCATCTAGAAACCTGGTCAAGCAGTTTCTTTCTGTAATATTAAAGCTGTATGAAGGGATCATCAGAACGTAAGGTCCTTCGGATTTATTCATTTTGAAAAGTCCTTTAAAAACTTCCTTTCAATAGAGCAGATAGCACAAAATCCATTAACAAAAACAGAAAACTGATGAAAAGCTCACCTTGAGTGAGTGACCAGCACGCCGTGGTCCAAGATCCTCCAGACGCGATTTCCACGAGAAACTGAACCCCATCTACTAAACTAGTTACGGGTAGAAACAGTCAAAGCTAACAGAACCATTACTACGGCTACTCATCAGTCCCAGGGAGATGTATTAGATAAGCTTAATAAAAGCATCTGTTCTGCATGTGAAGATTTCCTGTTTCAAACCGCTCAGCCCCACCACATCCGTGTTTTAGCTGGACATCAGGGAGGACCATCGCAAGTGCACTGCCCCACATTTCATCTGTGCACATCACTCTCACTCCTGAGGGCAGCAGCACTGTTCTTGGTCCCTGAACGATGCTCTGCAGCCTTGCAGCTCCCCTGCCCCCTGCCCTACACATGTATGCTCAGACTCTGCTCCCTGCTTCACACTCACACAAACCCCACCCCCTGCTCTACACTCACACATAGGCACCACCCCCTTTTCCACATTCACATTTGCATTAAAGCATTAAAGCGTTAAGCACCAGTGAGCTCTTCAAACTGTAAAGCTGGCAAGCAATAAGGTCTTTTTTAGAGATGCTCATTTTAGAGACCGCTTTTGAGAAACCTACATGGGCAATGCTAAATTCCGCCCACAGTAGCTCATCAGGCTGTAGATCAGGTTAGGAGTTGACAAGACTGAAAAAAGTAGCCCCCAGATTAAAAAATACAAAGACTCGACATTCCATGATACTCAAAAGTACAACAGGAAGTGGTCGCACAGATGCACAGCACAGATGATCACAGAGCACTAGTTTAAGAAGACTGGTGGTTACCCATATCAGCAGGCAGTGCACCTTCATTTACATTAATGTAGGTCTTGGTTCTTTAATGGTGGGGAAGATACCCCACAGCTGCTCAGCAAGACTGACTGCAGGGAAACACGGCCGAGAACAACAGCCCCTGCGTGGGGCCATATAGGTTTCCCATGAGTGAGGAAGTGGTCTGTACCTCAAAATGTCCTCTTTGAATGGGTCATGCAGAATGTCAGATGCGAGAACAGAGATAAACCTTCTCTTCACCAGGGCTGCCAGAAAATGATATTAGGACAGCAATATTGATATCTGGAAGAAGAAAAGTGGTTTACAGTCGCCCCCCTGTGTCTTTTAATGGAACATCAGGGACAGTTTTAAAGATAAAGATAACAAACATGAGAAGCTGTTTGACAGCCTACAAACACACTTATGGGTGGAGGACATGTGTGGAAAATGACATCTTCCAAGACTCCAGAGACATTAACAGCTTGACTGGAAAGTCTGGTCCAGATACCAAAAAACACAAAGGAAGTGCCTCCAATTTTCAGTCTTAACAGTACCTGTGCTTCATTTTCACTGTAAGCCTTGTTTTCACAACTCTTCAGATTGACTTTGTTGATACCACTGAAGATTACAAAGTTTTAAAAAACGTAGATCCACATTCTTTAACCTGTCAGACATGCATCTCAGACCAGGAAATAGTCTGGTCATTGTTTGCTGAAACTTGTTCCAGGTGGCCAGTCAGTGAATGCACAGAGGTCTCACCAATGCAGCATATTCTTTTAAGATTGAAGAAGATGAATGTAAGGAAGAGTAGGGGTCCAGATAATGTGTGGGGCAGTTTTGCAATCTTGTGCAGATCAAACATGTGTGTGTCTTTACACAAAGAGTTCTGGGAGTATAAAACAAGCTGACTAGCTTTTCCATAGTGGGCATGATGGTCTGTCATTTGCAACTATGTTCTTTTATTAATATTACTTCATTTAAATACTCGAACACCAGTGTATAAACTATCATATTTAACCTTTTGTTTCTAGGTGATCAAGAGACTAAGTAAGACATACAACAAGCACTTTTGCTTGGAACAACAGCAACACAATCACACAGAAAGGTTACTTAACTTTTCTTTTATTTAAAAGATCATTCACAAAATACCAAATCCTTAAATTCACTGTTTTTTGTCTTTTTCATATTTATTTTTTCCTTACGAAGCAGAATGTGTGAAGTGTTGGGAGTTTACTTTGTTACATTTAAAAGTCAACTCAGTTGACTGAAGAGTGAAACAATCATTAACATGGGATGGTTTAATTAAAAAAAATAAAAATATAAATCTGCCTCCCCTCCCCCCTCCCCACACATTCAAGACTTAGTTTCAGTCTGACATCAGAATAATCCACACTGAAGATAAACCAAACAATGCATGTCTTGCCAGTTTGAAGAAGTGTTACACAAATGGTTCTTATTTTTGAAATGACAGCTTAAAATGCACAAGTTGCATGAAAGCGAAGCTCTGTTGGTTGCTAGGGTTACTACAGGGAGGTGGCAAGTTTACAGCAGATGCCAAATCCAAGAAGTCACGGAAACCAAGCCTGCCTCCAACGTGCCGAGGGAGTCAAACACCCACACCTTCATGACAGCGCCTCACTTACGCTGAGCACAAGAGCCTTTACTTTTGAGATTTCTTTCCCGAGACTGAAGTGCGTCTCTCTCATCAGGGTTGCAGTGAATGTCCAATGTGCAGGCTGATGCCAGGACAAGTCCAGACCAGTAATGTGTGAACTAACCAGATCTGTAGACCCAGCTGTCTGGGAAAAGACCAGTGAGGGCCAGCGCCAGTTCAAACTGAACAAGGGACAACACAGCCGTCTACAGCCCAGACGTTTCCAGCCACTGATCTTGAGTACACAAGCTTACACTAGCTCAGTTTAAGGACTCCTACATTGTATCATAACCACTTCATTTCCATAGTTGTATTAATATTCTGTGTTGCTTTCTTTTCTACGGCCCTAAGCAAACAATTTAATTTTAATTTCACTAAAATTTTCTTTAAAAAAAAGACTACCCAAAATTTGACGAGGCAAACAAGCAGAACAGAATATTAATTTTAAAATATAATGTGCTCAGGGGTACTTCAAGATTATCTAGAACCATTTTGAATAGAAACTAAAATCCATTGAGACTTGAGATTCTTGGCATTCATTAACCTGCACGTTTTAACCTACTCAACTCAATTCAGTCAGAATGATGGCTTTTAAAACCAAGAGAACTCTTGCCTGAAACTTCAGACCCCTTTCAAGGTTACCCATTTGCTCAAACAGAGGGCCCACATAATACTCCAAGTATTTGAGGAAAAATAAATATATATATAAATCACTTGGGAAAACTGCCAGTTATTGGCTGAAACTGCATGAGAGAAATTTCAGATTTTCACATTACCTCAGGGCCTCTTGATGTTACCATTACCTAGTGTGATATAGGACTGTCAATTTTAGAAGTTCTCCTAAATTCTGTCATTAATCTGGTAACAATTCCTAAACAATTCTGGGTGTGCTACACTTTAAATTGTTAGCAAAGCACAGCCAATAAAAAAAAAACATATTTCCTGACAAGAGAAACACTTCAAAGCTCTGGAGAGAAATTCTTTAAAAAAAAGGCAAGTGCCTGTTCTGACTTCTTACTGTTTACTGAATATTGTGAAAGCTGCAACACCACCCCCTTAAGGAAGCACTCTGCACTGAGGGCAATGGAAGCAAACTTGGATTCCCCTTACAAGTGAAATCAAAGATCCCCCCTCCCCCATCACCGGTGAGTAAAGAGGCTTCAAGACCAGCATGTGAAGGGAGGACTATACCAAGAAGCCTTCAGATTCCAACTGTCCTCTAGCAGCACCAGCAGGTTTACTGGCAGCTAACATTGCTGAGGACAAAGGAGACCTGTGAGCCAGAGAGGGAAACAGCTCTCCTGGACACATCAGCAGCATCAGCTCCGGAACACCCAGCCGCTGGGACTTCCAGCAAACCGCCTAGGAACAGATTCTTATCCGATACTTCAACACATTAAGAGTGTCTGTAAGATGAGATATGTTTTATTGCCATAAACAGTGAGGAAAAAAAGTTAGACTACTGACTTTTCTACAGTAAGAATATTCATCACTATATCACGTCTTATCTAGGGCTTAAAAGAGATGTGAACAAAACTGGCCACAACACAGATTCCCAAGCTTTGCATGTTTGATCAGTTTTTTTTTTTTAATTTTGGCGCTATCTGGAATGGAGATACAAGGAAATGGTTTGCTTTTCTTCAATAAGCACCCTGTGGTTTGCTTTTGAATCAAGAGAATTTCTTATTGGTGCTATTGCTAGCTGTGGAAGATAAATACATATCGGCGCGACTAGGACTGTAGCGTTTTTCACCATTTTCCATTTCTAACTACTGTGTGTTCATGCTGCTCTTCTACAGCAGTTGGGTTTCTGTATTGCTTCATTACTGCCGAAAGCAACTCTACTACTCTGCGCTGCACTGCGATCAAAAATCTTTCAAATACAAAGAATAACAGAATGCAAAAGTAAAACATTAAGACAAAAAAGGTGAGTGTGGTTCTGTTGTGGTATCATCATTTAATGTATAGGACAGTGGAACTTTGATTCACTGAATTAAGTATTTTAGAAACTCAAAAAAAGACAACGCATATCAGCCTTGTCTGTTGTGTCTATTTCATCAGTATGCAACATAAAAGATGCCTTTGGAAGGGGAAAAGAAAAGGTAAATGTCATGACGTCCTTACCCAAAGGCAACAGAATCAAACTGAAGCCACTGTCTGAGCTGCTTGCCTTTGGTGTCGGTACACCAAAGAGTTGACACATGCCAGGGTCGTACCCACCGCCCAAGACTCCACTGGCACTGTACCAGCTGGACGAGGGCACACCCTGTGCACCTGCAGAAGGGATGAGAACCCAGTGCCTTAAACACACTGGGCTTTCTTTGGGAGAAGTCTTTGAAAGATTTTTGGTCAACAAAGCCAGTCGCGATCCAGTTTAGCCTTCCGGAATAATGCAGCCACATGGATTTATTAATTCTTTAAAAACAAAAGAAAACAAAATTAGATGCAAAGTGGCAAAAAACAACAAAAAGAAAATATATAGCTATAACCCAGAGATCCAACAGATACACACTAGTCTGTGCCTGCTATAAGTTCCAAATATGAAGATGAAGATTTGTGAATTTAAAACTATACACCTTGCGAACTGTAAGATAATTTTTTTTTTAAATGTATACTGTTTCCCCCGGGACTAAAAATCATCTTATTTTTGGCCGATCCTGTGCATCAAAGACGCCTAGAAAGCTTTGATAATCGGCTGAGTGGGGTCACAATACCTCCAGCTCTTTCTTCATCTGCCTTCCGAGGGCATCACTCAAGGTCAGGCCCTGCATCTACAGGCGTGCCAAATTCTAGTCAGGAAAATTGGCAGACCCTTGCTCAAATCCCCTTTCTACCCAAAACAAATCCAGGTCAGCTGTACACTTCTGATGAACAGAAAGCCTCACTCCTGTTCAGAATGGGTCCTTGACAGAGGAAGCCAAAGAAAGCAAAGCTCACCTGTAGCCACCTCTGCATTAAAACACAGGCTCTAAACATACAGCGGTCATTCGTTTTTCTTTAGTCCCGTGAGAATAGGATGAGATTTTTTTTCTATTGAGAGCAGCTAACTTCTTTTGCCTTTTTCAAGTCAACATGAACCAAACATCCACCCCCCCACCCCCACCAAAGTAACTACAGTACAAAGCAGGCGCTAAATACAGGGAAGCAGAGGTGTACGTAAAAACCACTTGTTAACAGCTGACATGCATTCACGAGCTGCTTTTTTGTGTATTGTGTGTTTTAATAATATTGTTTGTTTTCTCAAACTGAGCTCAGAAGAGGAGGAGGGTCAAAGCTCATCTAACGGTAGGAATGATAAACGCAGTGTCAAAGTTGCCCACTGGCGCGATCTGTTTCTACAGTTCCGTGCCCTCCTCCGTGTTCTGGCGAGCTGCGGCTGTCCGCCGTGTCTTAGTCTTTCTCTTTGGGAATTACCTCCTCCCTGGGCTTGGCCCCGCCGAATATGGCCGAGTTGGGGTTGGCGACTTGGTTAAGAGGAGCGTCGACTGTGCGAGGCTTCAGCTGTAGTCTTGGTCTCTGTGCTCTTTCCTCTGGAAAAAGCACACGAGCGACATCAGACACAAAAGAACATCTGCATTTTACTCCATGATCCTGAATGTATGACAGACTAAAGAACATATCACTACCCATGAAAGACCTGCCTTCTCTCTCCCTGCCTCCCAGCGAACCCACCTGGGATTGCCATAACCCTCACCAGGTTCCTGGCATGGGCACGGTATGCCAGTCCACCTCGGGGCCAATTTCAAATAGCCAAGCAAACCCGGACCTTACTGGTCTTCAGCACACACGAGGAAACCACAGCACCTGTTGAAATCCCATACAAACACCCTACGGACAAATGCTGAAGGCCGAGGACCTCAAACACCCCCTTCCCCTGCTCTCAGACACAAAATGTACTTGTGCCGCGCCTTATGCCAGCAGAAGGAGTGGATTTGGGTTCTTAAGGAGTGTGGTTTGTGCTCTGTGGTGGAGCAGAGAGACAGAGGTGGGCCGTACCTTCGGAGGGCTCTCTGAAGTCCATGGAGCCGCCACGCGGGGGTCCCTCCCTGTAACGACCAATCCCACCAGCACTCGCCCCCCTCCTGTCGCCTGGGCGCCCACCCCCTCGACTCCTCCCACCCAGGAAGTCATCATCTCTAAAGCCTGTTAAGAGATGAACAGGGAGGAGAAAAAAAAAGTTGACAGCTTCCATCCATTTTCAGCTGGAACGTCAAACATGGAGAAAAATGATAATGTGCATGAAATGCAGGCACTGTAGATTAATGGAATTTTAAATCAAATCTGGAATACATGTTTCAAAAATGAAAGAAAAGGCTCTGTATTTTCACTTGGAAAGATCAAAATCTGTGAATTTTGAATTCACTACCCTGAAGCACAGACAAGTTGCTATAAAAGTTGTCAGGGACTTGAATGCACTTTCAGCAACATACTGGCTGCAGTGCTGAACAGGATGACCGTTGTGCTTTAGTGACGCATTGAGGTCCTACACGTGCCAAAACAGCAACAGCGGGACTGTAGGTGTTCAGTGCCAATGCACGGAAAATTGGGGATTTGGAAGTAAACGAAGGGTGAAACATTGCGCACCTCCTCCAGATTGGCTGAAGTCCTCTCTGGAATCTCTGGGGTCCCTTCCCCCTCCTCTGGGACCTCTGGGGGCACCCCTCCCTGCAATGGACAGGGGCCCTTGTTAAAGATGGGGTACAGCCTGCAGAAGGGGCAGCAGGCCTCTGCTCCAGGCACACTGTGACGAAGAGCTCGCCAGCCACTGATTGCTTATTGTGGGTTAGTAGGGTGGAGAGAGAAGTCCCTAAATCCCTATTTTAGGCAAAGCTGGGAAAGAGCAGGATAGTCTGAAATATGCTGTGGAGCTCATCACAGATTGACTGTGGCACTTCAATTACACTGGCATCAGTAAGAAGTGTGTGAGGTGGACAGCCGGATTACTGGAGAGTAGAAAGTGACAGTTCACAGCAGTGTTAGCACTGCTGGCTTACTGACTGGGAAAACTGTATAGTGACTAAGAAAGGAAAACTGAAGGATGGAGGTGCAGATGGATGAGGAATGAAGAATGAAAGCATGATGAAAAGTCCATAAAAAAACCTTGTTGTATTGTTATCTCCGTTAACTAAGTATCAGACACACTACAAAAATGTTTGTTAAAACAGACAGATGCATATTGGTGAAAGCCAACATCCTTTTATTATGCCAAATCAAAATATTAAAAGTGTCACTCAGGCGCAGATTTAAGCTCAGAACACAATACTTAAAACTGCATCAATGCTGTAAACCCATTATTAATTTCTTAATTGATTTCTAAGAAATTAAACATTCCAATTACTGTACTTTGAAAAATTAAAAATGACAATTAATTTAATGCTCTCTGGTATAAACCTTTTTTAGAAGTTCAAATGGCATGGGTTCTAGCCTGTGTTCTATATGAGACCAGATTATAAAAGAAGTATATGAAGTAAAAACAAACCACAATTACCGCTCTGGAGCTACTGACTGGGGTACAAGCAGCTACTTGTACCCTCAAGCTGCCCCAGCAGTTCTGACAGTGCCAAGGAAAAGCAAGCAGGTACCTCTCTCATCCGTTTTTCGGAAACCGAACCCTCCTCCACCTTTTTCTTGCCGGCGGCCCTCTGCTATGTCCACTCGCAGTGACCGATCTCCTAGGAGCTGAGGACAGTGGGAGAAGAAGTGAGGCACTTCAGATCACATCTGACTGGCTAACTTCAGGCCTTGGCTTGTGTGGGACTTACAGAGCCGGCTGCACTTGGCATTTATTGTGGCTCATTCACTAACCCAGGGGGATTAGTAATCCAGGAAACCACATTTTTTGGTTGTTGCAAGAATGTGGGTTTACCTTCTTCAAAGAAAAGTCAAAACCGGCACTTCAAGTTACAACAATCACGAACAGGAACCGTGCAGGGGACACGACCTTGTGAAAACCTCAACACCGCGGACTTGTTGCCGTGCTCACTGGTGTATTCACACAGACATGGCTTCTGAACCACTACGCCAGATGCTCTGTTAGGAACAGCCAATACTGAAAATAATGCAAAGCTTCAAGATGACTTATTTTGTCTTTCCTACTTGAAATAAATGCTGAAAGCATTGCAGTTACACTACATCGGCCTCTGAAAGAGATTGCCTTTCCACTCATGGTGGAGGGTGTCGCAACCCTGGAACCTGCGCGGTTCTGCAAGCGGACGTGCCCGGCTCCTCCTCCAGCTCCGGACCGCACACCTCCCTCACGAGCCAGCGGCTCTGCGCCCAGCTGGGCGTCCAGACGCACGCGTTCGTCACAGGAGCAAGCTCACAGGACCACACTGTTTTCAAGAATGCACTTTTTAAATCAACTGAGTTGTAAGAATTTAATTACAATATCTTAATTTAATTTGTTAAATTAATAAATTACAGCCATTAATGTGGCAGCAAGAAGCTAACCCCTTATTTCCCACTGGCTGCTTCGCAAAACATGGAGGTTTTAGGAACTTAACCCCTGTAAAGGGTGAGTTAATATTTCACACAATACCTACATTCTGTCTGGTTGACAGCTGGTCTACTGTTAAAAAAATCAAATTAGATTTTAATGGTTCAAGTAGAATGAACCAAACTGCTCATCCCGTGTGAAGAAGTTCACTTGGGTCTTGCAGAGTTTCAAACTAAAAACACTGATAGGTAAGGGATTAATTAGAAATAAATGTTAAAGTCCTAATGACAGCAAATGACCAATCAAAATGTATCTTTACATTTAAATGCTTTCCCATTCAAGGTCCAGAAATCAACTACCATCTAACTAGGATTTTGGAGAATTTAGTCAATGCATGTGAGCAATAAGTCAACACCTGCTACAATCAAAACAGCTCTGCAAGCTTTGCTTGGTCAGCGTTGCTGCCCAGGTCCAATTACAGCAAGCAAGCGAACTACTTACAGCCCCGTCGTATGTCAAGGCTTCCTTTAGGGATTCCAAGTCATCAAACTCTACGTAACAAAACCCTGGAAGAAAGGGGTAGAAAGGTTACTGTGCTGAGTGCTCCACGGGTCCCTGCCCCACCCCTGTCAAACAGGACCTGTAAGCCACATGCAGCTCACAGGAAGGGGTGCAAAACCACCTCGACCGTTTGGAAGGAAAGATTTCCCAGCAGCCCTGCATGTTCAAGGGTCAGGGGGCTTCAGCCAGCAAAGCTTCTCTCCGCTTTTAACACGGTGCAACATCGGGACACCAGCAGTCGTGCTCTTCTTCTGCCCGTGTGCCGACCTGTAAACACCTGACAACACCAACCTGGGAAGTCAACCAGACCCCGAATTCCCTATTTTTGTTTAAAAACCTTTTAATAACTTCAGCATGCCATCAAGATGAATCTAATCCTGAGTATGAATGAAATTTAAACGTTGCTGCCTACACATAAAGCTTGTGCAAAGCTGGGGGGGGGGGCTCCCTGTGCAGAGTTTGGGGTGTCACTTTATATTTGGAGATCATGAGTGGCTATGACATGGGGAAACATTCTTTTTCCACATTTTCTACAAATAAGAGAAGCAAAGCCAGCTGTATCCAACGTGACAAAGTACACATCCATGGACAACCCACAGGGGCACAAAATGGGTGGGGAGTTCAAGCAATTTCCTCTAAAAGCACAGAAGACTGCGTATAGAAAGGAGCTTGTGATTGGGGTGTGTGTGGTCTGCTTTTATCTAACCTTTCTGCCATGAGCCCTCTCCTTCAAAATTAAGAATTGATAACAGACCCTTATTATCGAAGCCTACTTCATTTCACAGAGGCTTAAATTACTTTAAACCATAATTATGTTTAATCTACAACAGCATTAGAATGCAATCAAAACTAGAGCTGTAGGACTGGTCTGCGCTTGGATGCCACACTTCAGAATAAGCAGAGCCAGCTCCAGTAGCCCAGCCCTGGCTACTCCGTTATCAGAAAAACAAACCCAGCCCAGGGCTGGAGGTCCTCACCTTTGAACTTGTCTGTTTCTTTGTCTCTGACTAGTCGGACGCTCCGGACACTGAGATCCTTGAAAATGGCGTCTATGTCTCCTTGCACCGTGTTGAAGGGCAGATTTCCTACATAGGCTGTGTAGGGAGGCTCTGCGGGCAGCTCCTTCTGTTTGCGGGGTCCTCCTGAGCCGCTACCTCCTCGGGATCTTCTGTTCAGAAAAACCCCGTTAGCAACAGATGAAAGGGTGAACAGCGGCGGCCCTTCTACACCAGGACCTGCGGCCCCGGGTCCCTCTGCACTCACACACTGGTGCAGACACAGCAAGGCCAGAGCTCATGTGGGGAAAATAAGAAACTTCAAGCCACATGGGCAATCTGTGGAAACTGCTTTAAAAAGGAAGAGCAGACATTTGTTTACCCTTTGTTTCAAGGAAATGAAAAGGCTTTATTTTGTGGACAGAAGATCGGATGCCAAGACACATGCCTCAAAGCACAATAATATCATACTCTATTATATATAATATGTATTATAATACATAGTAAGTACAATACAATAATACAAAAATAAAGTAGTATATACAATGTACAGTAATAAAGTTAACTTTACTTGAACTGAGCCTTCAGTACAACTAGTAGACAACAGGTAAAATGCCTACACAATGTTATTTCCGCTGAACAATGGAGAAACAAAATATAGACTGAACCTTTATTGTGGTGTTACACAGTATCAACTACCTATAAAATGCAACATTTAATTATACGTTTATTTTGTTGTAGATATTTTTATTGAATAATACTGTAACTTTGAGTACAGTATAAACACACAATCATTTCTCCAATACCTAGGTTTACCATAGAAGCTAGGCTCACTATGCATTGAAAATCCCGTATGTATAATGCACTGCAAAAATCTGACATTTGTCAAATTCAGGTTAGGTAGTAGGTGCAGGAAGAAGCTGATAATAAATAATAAATAATAGTTTGCATTACATCTTGCCTCTGTTGCAATGTCCTTTTCCCATCTTCCTTTTAGCAATTCTAACATTTTTAGCTGTGCCTGCAACTCTGTACACTTCACCATCTTTGAATCCTGGGCTCTTTTTCTGCTGTCTAGAGAGAAATCTCTTCACTTATTTAAAGTTCAATCATTCACTTTCAATAGACTTTAAATTAATATTCATCCATTCCCAGTTCAAAGCTTGTGAGCTCTGTCTCATTCTTAGTCTACTTTTCTAAATTTATAAAAGCTAATTGTAGAGCTCAGCTTCAGAGAGTTAAAAGTCATATGATAACACAAGGTCACAACTTCCCACCTTACAGTGTATATATTGCATATGTTGTGTATATTGTGTCCACACTGCCCTCACAATAAGAGAGTGGAATATTCCATGGGAATAAGCGAGTACATGGGTCCTCCCAGAACTGAAAAGCAGTAGCAGAGTTGACCTTTTCTTCAGCATGCTATGCCAGTGTCTACTGAGTCTGCAGGTTTTAATTTCAACAGAGCTCCACCTTCTCAGTCCTAGCTGATGCCTTTAATTTGCTTTGCTTATTTGTTTAGATTTCTGGTTTACTCGCTTTCTGTTTCATAATTATTCAACTTCAAACATAATGCTTGCTGTAAATAAAACTTGCTGACCCTTGTTTCTGACTAAATGGCAGCCAGTGCTGAAGTTAAATGTACTTGCATTTAAAAACAAACTGCAGCCAATTACATTTTATTTTATAAGTGAACTTCAAGCACTTGCTTTTAAAATCAACTTCATAAATATTGCAAATGCATTATGAATACTGTTCAACAATTAGAAAAGGTTGCATCCACCTCTGTATAAGAGATCGACAGTTCACATCTTGATCAACTGGCAAGCTCTCAGGTGCGTGCGAGTCACCAGCTCAATACCTCAGCCAGTGTAGTGAGAAAGAAGGTGACAGTTTGTATAAACTCAAGTTCAATAAATTAACTGCCATTAATTGGATGCTTAATTATTTTAATTAAGCACCAGTTGTGAGAACTAAAGACTATACCCTAAAATGTTCTGCACAGAGTAGAAACTATAGAATTTAAACTCAACTGAATATTGTGGTACCAATATATAACTTGCTACTTCTATTGGTACATATATAGCAATCAATAAAGTGCATATAATTAGTGTTTATAGTATAAACTGTACACCTTGTACCTCAGATTAAGGTACACCACCTGCCAAATTAATGACAAAACAAATTGCATCAATGTTTGCACAGAAAACATTTACAAGTCCAAAACCATTAAGCATTAACTCATGCAGTATATACATCCGGATGGCCTCTAAGACATCTAAAACAGACTGGAATCCCTTACAATGAATTTCTTAAAGGCCTACAGAGCCCCCTGAATTTTCAATCCAACTCTGCACTTAGTAAACTAATTTTACTAATTAGTAGCTTAATTGATCCACTTTAACTGCTTTTCAGCCTTAAAAAATTCTGCCTTTACAAGACTTGCATTGTGCACCTGCAGGCAGGGGACAAAACAGTCGAAACTGCAATGTAAAACTACTTAACAGTGTTGGGTCACCACATACAGCCCATAAACACAGTGGGAGGCGGCGGCACCACTCTTCCACAAGAAAGTCAGTCAACTCACACCTGTTTGACGGAGGTGGAAAATGCTGTCTCGGGCATCACACCACAATATCCCATAAATGCTATACCAGGTTCAAACCTGGTGAGCGAGAAGGCCGTGACATAAGGATTACATCAGTGTCCTGCTCATCAATCCACTGGGCTCTGTGGATCTGTGCACTTCCGCCTACTGTTGCCTGTGCTGATGAATTCCAGTATTCATCAGCCTGTGAAACTCTGAATTCCAGTATTTTTATGACCTTAAACATAGTAGGGTTTATGTGCTTATTAACACATGATCGACACCTGTGTGGAAGCCAATGCTTTCAGTATAATTGGCATTATATTATTATAATCTTAATATAATGCCATAATATTATATCTTATTTACTTACATGCTTCCACTATTTTGTCAATGATCTACATATTCAACTGTGATATTTATCAAAAAAAGATCAGTTCCAATCCCATGTGTTCTATCATACCTTACCAGCCAGCCACTCAAATATACAATAGTAACACCTTCAAACAGAAGTAGAAATCTTTAACAACTACATTATTCAACTCATGCAGCTCAAAGGAAGGTGTACTTAAATCTGCACAGCATGATCACAGCAAGAAAAGACAGCTCATCTTCCAGAGCTAGAGATTTAAAACACACTACCCACTGTCTCCTTTGTGCTTTTCTCAAGGGGACACATCTTGCACAGCAGAGATGCACTGAGGAAACCACCCTAACAGTACTTCAGAACCACTGCACACCACATAGTCTACACAACACTCAAACAAGCTAACTAGTGTTTGCAGCTGCCCTGCATGGAGCTAGTCAGTCTGTGAGGGGTATCAAAAGCCTATTGTGAGCTCCAGACCCCTTATTTATCAATTCTTCCACAATTAAGTCTCTTCACTGGTCTCTGGTACAGCCCCTGTTAGCCCTACAAAGAAACCATCTCAATGCGATATACTGACTTTGAACTGGGTTTAAAAGAACATTTGGAAAGGATGAAAACAGCCAAGTTCACCGAGCCTCATCTTACGGTAATTTGTAATCAATCATGACATCATTTCTTCCCTTAAGCATTATAAATACTGTATGTATTCATACTCCTTCTCTCCCTTGCATCCGTCTCCTGTATCCCTCATCTCCACCTCTGCCCCTTGGTCACTCCTCACTCCGCAGGGGGTCCCGGCCTCCTCGTCCTGTGGCCAGCCCTCCACACAGTGGGTTAAGACAAATTACTGTAACCTTAAACAATCAAATCTTTTAATATGTCTAATTCCTGACTGTTGTTATTCCCAGTGAAATTTAAAATAGAGATTTTCAATAGCCTTGCTAAACATGTGCAGAAGTAAAATAAACTTTTCAGGATTAACTTCTACTTGTTCCTTTGCAACTTGCTTACTGACGCAGCTTCCTGCACAAACCTTCCCAGAAAATAAAGAAGTCTCAGGTAAAGATGGGCTGAATAAAACCGAAGGGATCTTAAGTCTTGAAAAGAAAACTGCAGTAAAAGTGCCAATAATGGGAAAGCATGGCAGCCTACACACCATTGTGCTGGCCAAGCCATGTGACATTGACGCAGTGTAGTGCAGACGGATGGCTGAAGATCAGACAGTGTGCCAAGATCAGAAAGAACTGTGACCAGAGATTTCAAATCTCACCTTGCCTCTCTCCTGCTCCATCCCACTCTACCTGATTTAAATCCTGGGCTGAATCGGAGATTCCCAGTGTGAAACTATTGTGATCCGATTCCCACCCTCCACTTGCAAGTCTAACTGAAAGTGAAGAGGTGGTTAGTAAATGTGCCAAGCTCAGGCCCGAACCATCCGAATGGCAATGACGAGTGCAAGCCTCCTGGTCTCTGGCATCATTCCTGCGCCCCTGAGTCATCAGCAGCTAATAAAACCCCTCGTCCAAAGAAAGTCAGATTTCAGGTGAAAGACTGCTCATCTACAAATGAAGCTACCCACCACATTTTAGTACATTTAGCAAACCCCACCAAACAGCTTGTAAAAAGCAAGAAACATTGTGTCAATGAACAATTATAAATAATTATTTATGAGTACTTAAGCAATTTCTTTCACAAAAGATATTCCTATGAAGTTACCACCAAAACTCCTAATGCAATTTCACTTAATATTTCTGATCATAACTAAGAATTCTAAGATCTGGTTAAAAAATGTAAATTTACAAAAGTGTACTGCAATATGCTTGCAAGAAGAGTATAAAAACACTTTTCACACACAATACGAATGACAACGAGTTAATTTAAATTCCATCTCAGTTACAACCTCGTTCTACTAATGGAAACTCAGGACTTCCACAAACCACTCTATTGCTAACCAGCCTCGTTTCTGCGAAATTACTTTTACCAGCTACTTTATGTTAGTATTTCCTGAGGGACACTACTGGTTTATATAACAAAATGAATAATCGCATGGTAATATTTGTTTAGGTATTGTGGAAACAGGGCCGCCCACGGAACAGGAACCCCCTTTGTGTAAGGGCAGTTTTCTAGATTTAAAGTAAAAAAAAATCTGATTTTTTTAGCATCGGACGAAAAAGGGGGGGGATATTTAGTGTTCAGACACCTCATATTGCAGAAGAATCATTTCATATTTGTTAAAACGTATCCGTCTAGCAACATGGACAGCACAGAATGTAACGGATACTGATTTTTGGGTGGAGAAACGGGACATCTAGCCGAGTTTGTATAGCTCCGGAGAGAGCAGCGGGCTGCGCGCAAGGGCGAGTCTCCTTCACTCCGGGGTGCACCGCGCCCCCCAGCCCCGGCACCCACATGTGGCGCTGCTCTCCCGGGCTCCCTGGCGCCAACTGCCCCGCTGGCACCACGCTACAGCCCGGCTCACCAGCCGCACAGCTGCACGCCGCCGATCCAGCTGTAAAATCGCTACTACTCCGAAGTTAAAAGTCAGGAGCACATTATCGCGCTTCCATAATTTACAGTTGGGGGTCTCGGATGCATCACAAATCCCAGCGATTTCCTAATCCACCACACCGGCTCCCCATTCATCCCAGCACGTCTCCCACACCGTCCCCCGTCTCCCCCTGACAGGCCTACTCAAGTTGGACCCCGAAACCCATCGGGGCATCTCGCCCCCACACAGCACCACTTTCCTGGTGCTGGCGCTGGCACTAAATAAACATCCTGTTCCCATGGCTGTTTTCTTACCCCCTTCCACCTCCGAAGCTGCCGTAAGCCCGATCCCGGTCATCGTAGTTATCGTAATCCGCCATTGCAGTCTGTGCAGGAGAAAGCAGGCAGGAGCGTGAGGACCCGCAATATAGAGCAGGGCAGGGCTGTCCTGGCCGCGCCTGGCCAAAAAGCGACACCGCGACTGGGGTAGGAGTCCACAACTCAGTCCTGAACATTAAAAAACAAGAAATACAACACATCCCAATATTTTAAAAGCAGCGATTCAAATGTTTATTTGGTTATTGATTTGTTCTAACGGCACACGTGCCAAATGTATATCAGGGAAAAAAACATTCAATGCACTAAGAAAACTCGAAATGGTATTCCCAATGAGATTTTGTCTATTGTCGGTCATCTTTCTGGACTCAAGGTTTAACGTGTCCGGTTTCTTAAAATAAGCTTCCTGTCACAAATAATATTATTATCATTATAATAACGGATTCTTATTTATCTGTTCTCATTGTTCTAACAATTAAAGGTTTTAACCTGAAAAACAAACATTTCACAGCCAAAACCAAGACTAGAAAACTGTTTACATTTCTCATTAATAGAAGGTATTTCTAATAATAATGTGATTTTTTTCTTATCAGTAACAGTCGATTCCAGGACAAATGCATCCAAAATTGGTGGACAAATTAATCCTGTGAAGGAACAAGTAGTTTGGTACCATTGGAAAGAAGACATTCAGCTTTGCAGCCAGCCTACACTGATGCAAATCCTTAATTGAAATGAATTAAATATGTGTAAGTAAAAAGGAATGAAGAGCAGTTGGATAGGAAGCTTTTTTAAAAATTCAGGAGATTTCCTGCTTGCTTACTGGAAAAGAAACTGAAAGTCTTGATGGTAAAGGGCCTGCTATTACCTTCTATTTATGATAGTTTCATTTTAAGATAGATAGATGGATAGATACTTTATTGATCCCGTGAGGGAAATTGCAGAACTGTACAGTACAAAATGAAGCGTGAATTCTTCAAGTAAACCTGACAAACACATAACAGGTCTGAGGTCCTGTCCACCCAGTATACTTAAAACCCAGGGGTAGTCTACAGCTCAAGTCTATCTACAGAGTAGGTCGTATCGAGTGGTGTGCCTTGTCAGAGGTGTGGAGTCTACACATTAGGCATGAACAAACTTCACTCTGACTAGCCAAGACACACTACTACACAGGGGACAACCTCAGCAAAGCTAAGTAGAACATTTTAAGGAACAAGTAATAGGTTTATTCCATGCTGAAAAGAGAAGAAAGAAAACACAACATTTCAGCTGTGGAGCCTTCTTCAGGTGTATTTTAAGTACTGGTTTAAAGCTTGGTTATGTAGTGGAGGCGTTGCCTGTATCTGGAAAAAATGCATCTTTAGATTGCTGCTATGTTTGGCTTTAATTTTTAAAATATTTCCAGATATAATAGAGCCAGGTAATTAATTGTATTGCTAGTGGCAACCCGGTTATTGTTTAACTGTATATGGGTTTAGCTTTGGACTCCATTTTGCACCTCTCTGCCCACGGCCTGGCAGATTCCTCTGCAGACACTTCTCGTGCAGAGGCCTCCTGTCCAGAGTGTTGGCTCAGCAGATGGTCTCTCCAGCCAAGGGGACACCTGCTCCTGGTTTCAAATCGCAGGCACAAGGGGACAGCCAAAGGCAAATGATTAAAAATCCACCCTTGCAAGTACAGTGAAGTTTTATCCGAGTCCCCATCCAGTCTGGTTAAACAAGGTAGTAATATAATAATGGTGACATGAAATATTGTTAAGGTGTAACTCAAGGGCATTAAAGAAATTCAGCCATGAAACAGAAAATGACAGATATTTATTATACTAATTTCAACACAATGTTATAGTTAGCTTTTAAATATCATGATTACAGTCAGACACTTCAAATAATCCAAATAGTTTTATAATAAAACTGTTAATGCCATGCAAATTATGCAGTGAGTTATTTTAAAATGTCACTTTTTTTAGACTGCTTTTCAAATAAGTTCTAAAATTGCTGAGTCAGGGCCCTTTATTAAAAGATTTCAAATGCCTTATATCCATATCTCCTTATGTTTAATCACTCTGATTTAACAAAAAAATAAAAAATAAATTCAAGAACCCTAACAGAGGGTCTGGTGTGTCAGAAAATGGTGCACGATTTGTTAATTTGTTTCGGTATTTAACTGTAAAAAAGTACCAATAATGTGCACTCGATTTTTAACATCTACCCATTTTCTGATCACTTCTTCCAATTAAGGGTTGCATTGGAGACGGAGACTATCCCAGGAAGCAAAGGCGCAAGGCAGGATAACCCTGGATGGGACACAAGTCCATGGCGGTGCAGACACACACACACACACACACACACACACACACACACACACGTACATGCACTTGCACCATGGTCAATTTTCCCTGAAGCTAATTAACCTACCAGCAGATCTTCAGACTATGGAAAGAAACCAAAAGCACCTGGATAAAACCCATGCAAATATGGGGAGAACATACAAACTCCACACAGACAGCACTCCAGGTCTGGAATTGAACCCAGAGCCCCAGCAGAGTGAGGCAATATTGCTAAACCCTACGCTATCATGTTGTCCTTAATTTATTATATTAAAAAGATATAACAGCTCTGGAATTACTACAGAACAGCACTTAGATATATTCTGTGAATTTACCTTACTCAACATCCTACATTGAGTGACATGAGGGAACTTCAACTTGAGAACTGAACCTTTTTGTCTTGAACAGAGGGGACCTCATCCAAATATTCAAAGTCATCAAAGGCACAGACAAGGCCATCCCAGAGGCAGTGAAACACAAAGAGAGCACAAGTGGAAACTATATGGAAGTGCATTTAAAATTGTGATGAGGAGGCATTTCCTTACACAAAAGGTAGTGGGAGTATGAAACAAACTATTCTTTTTTGGGTGGTGCTAGTATTCCAGCCATCAGCCATGAATTCTTACTAGTTTGTGTTCACCACCAATTGCTCATTCAGGTCTGGTCTTTGTGTGCTGCCATTTTGTCTAAGTGTGTTATAACACAGGAGTTTCCAACTCTCAATAAAGCATATTACAATTTGATTTTTTTAATTTGAAAGCAAAGATGTTTTCAAAATATTTTGAAAAACTGGTAAGGAAGTATACAGAAAATGGTAAGAGAAAAAAACATATAGGTTTTCTAATGGAAATATTGCACAGGTTTCATTTCCTTGATGTTCTAATAACTTTCACTGATTTCTTGAGAGGCATGGGCCAACTTTACTAGTACCATCAAATAATGTAAATGGTATGAAGTTTTGATAATTCAGCATAAATTCTAAAATATCACATAAAGTTACAAAAAATATTTTTTTTTTTACAAAAACTACAGGCTACTCATTGAACACATCCCTCGGAATATCCACTGCCCATTTTGCAAAACATTAGGAAGTGTAATATTCATTTTAGGTTTAGATTTACTTTAATTTATGTCAGGGAGACAATATTCATTTTTAAAACAAGACATTGAAGACACAACTCTGTAAATTTAAATATCTGTTATTCGAAGATCAAAACTCCCTACAGTACTAATACAGCAACTTCTCCTTCAATTTCCTGAATCCGTAACTCCACCCCCCGCCCAGCTGCGTGACCCGGAACACCTCACAATTCCTGCTCAGTGACGGCAGGCAAAGCGGCGTGAAGATATTTGTTAAAACTTTTTTTTTTATTGTAACAATAACAAAAAAGTATGTAGTAGAGTACATATAGCGTCATCAAGGTCGTGAAACGTGCACCATTAAGCAGCGCGAATGAACCGGAAATGTTTGTAAACAGCCGAATTTCAATCAAAGTAAAAGTCCTCAGTAACGAGTACAGCAGCGCTCAGCAAAGCAAACACCTGCGTACTAATTTTTCTCTTTTGTTCTTTCCTTCACCTGATGGTACCTTTGTTCTATCACGTTGTGACATTTGTGTATTTGTATGTATATACCCCTGTTTGTTGTATTTCCCTTTTGTGTTTAAAAAATAAAAACATTAAAACAAACCTGCGTAGTAATTTCGTCTAGGTTACTTGTAACTTTTTAACATTCTCTGGAATTTTTCATGTTTTTTTGTATTGCAGATCACCTCTACTGATGCCTACGTTTCGTTTCATTTACGCCCTCAAATCTGAAGAAGGTTCTGCAGCCGAAATGTTCTTTTCTTTTCCTCTCAGCATGAACTAAACCTTTACCTGTTCCTTTGAAGCTGACCCAGCAAACTATTCTTTCATTTATACTCCTGTAAATTGTCATTCTCTTTAAACTGTTTTTTTCCCCATACGATAAAAAGGGTTTTGAGATGTACACAGTTTTGTTTGGTCAGAAGCGACTCTTTCCCCTGTTCAGCACTGTACCAATTTGCCAAGAGGAAGTGATCTAAAAACACAAAAACATTAGCAAGGAGGTAAAAACGACTGAAGACCGGTCATTTTCTATTAGCTGCGAGCCTTCGTATCGCATTCCACCCAGTTCTGAGGATGCACAAATTGTTGTTTTGCCAGAAATGCAACTTTACACTGTCCAGGAGTTTTAGCGTGTTTTAGAGGACTTTTATTGTGAACGGCACCGCAAATAGGAAGCCAGCTCCAGCGTCTTCATGCCGCACTCGGGCTGGCAGCAAGCGCCCGGTCACTCAGTAGGCACAGCAGATGCACCTGTTTGTTTTTCGGACAGCGTGACTGGCGTAGCTGGCTCATTATTACCGCACGGTATGACTTAATGTTTTGTTTTTATGGTAATTGAAACTTTGTGAATCGACCATGTTCAGATTAGCAGGAAAATATATAGAAGGAAACTGATGCCTCTCTGGCGGATCCGTTTAGCCTTTATTTGATCGGAGAGGAGGGGCGGTGCTGTAAATACGTGATTAGTCAACTGATGCGCTAATCTGTGCTGTCAGAGATGCCTTTAAACTTATTTTGCGACGTCTGCCTAGAAGTCGTAAATGTCTGAAAGATGAGATTATTTCTAAAATAAAGGAAATCGTGGAGTGAACGGGCAGCATGAAATTCTTTTCTTTCCGCGTTTATTTGGCTCAGCCTGACTCAGCTATGGGAATAACAGTATCTCACAGTGACGTACGTAGGCGAAGCAGCGCAGTGCTTAGTGTTAATGTGGATAGTAATAATGATGTTAAACACGGTCGTTTGCCGTCTAACGTGGGATGCGTGATTGTGCTCTGCGTGTTTACACATGCTCTTATAGTAGGAACGCTACTATGTTGAAGCTGTTGGCACTTTACCAGTTGACTGATGTTAAAACTGGAACTCTTAAGACGGTAAGACGTGTCAGCTCGTGTATTGCAAGTCCGGTATTTATGGAGAGTGGCATCAGGATGATTTAAGTTTCCTACAACGCGAAGATCTATAATTATGCTCTCGTTGTTCATGCTGTAAACCACTCGTACCCACAGGTGTTTTCCGTTTCGTGTCGCGTCCTGTCAGTGTTCCAGTGTCACGCAGATGTGGGTCTGCGCTGTTTGATTAACAGATGTCTACTGTGAACGTCATAGGCTGGTAAAAAAGATTTTTTAAATAAAACTGTACTTGAACAGTTTTTAATTAAAAATTGTTTTAAAAAGAATTCCACTTGTCATAAACCAGGCATTCAAGATGTCTCTGGATTTAAATATTAAAGGGCTGAATTATAACGCTAAATATTATAAAATGATTAAACAGCGTGCTATTAATGTTCTGGTTCCATAGATAGATATGGCACAGCTATATCAGCATTGGAGTGAAGCGGAAAAAATCACGAACATATAAAATCTTTTCTGACAGCAGCCCTGGAAGATGGAGACGCCCGATAAATAATGGGAGACGACGTGAGAGTGCCTGTATCACGAGCACAGTAAAAGCGCAGACCTTTACCGTCAGCCCTGTATAAGAAGGAATTCTGGGGAAGCGATTCTGAAAAAGACATGCAGCATATTGATCAGATTGTTCTGGTCCAGGCATGTGATGGGCTGTGAAAAGCAGACATCAGAAGGATTAGAAAAGGCGATTAGACACAGAGAAAATCCAGGATGTGGCTAATCTTTTTTATGAATTAGCTGTCTGTTCCATCATTTGTTTTCAAATAGTGTTTTGTAATATACAGAGAAGTACTGCATTCAAAATATTAATATTTCACAATAGTTAGGGCTGTAGGACACAGCACAGAAACATCAGATTGAGCCTGACCCTTTCGTGGTATCTGCACACACCTCAGTTGTCAGCAGTGCAAATGATGCAGCACTGATTTCTCAGGCTTCTCCCAGAGCACTGGACTGTGTGACTGCAGGGTCCCTGGGAATGATGAAGCTGCGTCCGTGAGCTGATGTGGTGTGTGTCTTCACAGGCTCAAGGATGCATTTAAGCCCTACGTCAGAGACCCAGAACTCTCTGTTCCAGGCCAAGATCAGCAGTAAGACTTCAGCCAAGATGGACACTTTCAGGTACGTTTAGGGGTGAGGATGATAATGATGCCAGTGTGAGAGCTGAGTGTTTCTGCAATGTGTAGATCATGATACATGATTCTAATTATGGTTATTTAACCTTAGATGTTGAATGTTGTTATCTGATCAGACAAAAGGCTTTGGGAGTCTGAAACAGCTGAATGAGATCCCCAGCTTGAACATCTACTATCAATCACATGAACTATTTGGGTAAAATGGCCAATTGATGACCTTCCTCATGCTCCAGGTGTCTTCAGCACGTGCTGAGGGCAGGTTCACACCTGGCTGCAGAAACCTGGTCTTTCCCCTGTGAGACCCTTATGCTCAGGGCCCTGTCTCCCTGGGGAGCTGCCAGAGCAGTGGGGAGTTTTTAGTTCCATTGCTGTTGCCTTGGAAAAGACATCGACAGGAAGATTGACATGGATGGTTGAAGCTGCAGACCTCTTTCCTCTTGTAACTTGTTACCTCATAAGAAACCTGCTTCCAGGAAGTGAGAGGGTTCTGGTGCTCAGAGCTGGTCAGGTGTGGACCCATGTGTCGCCATGAGGAAATACCTGATCCCTCACTGCTGGAGAACACAGTCTGTGCTCTTAGTTCTTCATTTGCTCTCACTTCTTCTTCCTTCTTGGTCACGGGTGCGAAGCTGGTGCTCATTGCTCTGGGGTTGTTAGGGTATTGCCGCCCGGGACTGTATATAGAGCTTCTTACCACATACATATGGAGTTTAGGGATTAGTAACTGGTAGGTGCTGTAGAAAGAAGAAAAAATTAGAAAAAATGGGAAAGATCAGTCCTACTATTCAGGCTGGACCAATAGAGAACTTTTTTGGCATTTTTTCCATATGTTATTATTTATATATAATATATATTATGTTTTGTGAGACTGTTCCTGAATTGATAAAAAAATTATAATTGTCAATAATTTTCTGTTTATGCACTTCCGATCACAGAAATAATCAGTTTGACTCACCGATACAGTCCAAGATCAGAGGAGTGAGGGTGCTCATAGCGTGCTCTGTGAAAGCGCGTGTTTCTGCTCCTTTGCCTGGTCAGGCAGCGCGAACTGTGGAGCCTACAGCAGAGCGAGCGCTCCTCGGAGACCACACTGGACACTCGCAGGCCCTGGCCAGTCACAGGGGCCACTCTTGCACGACAAGATGAGGGTGTCCTGGTCAAGTTAAGTCCACCCAAGTTGGCAAGTGTTGCCACTCCTTGTTGAATCCAAGTGACAATAGGAGAGGTAGGCAGGGTTTGGCAGTGTAGGCAGCAAGAAGATAACTTGCAGATACAAAATGGGAAACTGAGATAGAAGAGGCTACTGATGTAAACGACAGATGTGTGTGTTGATGCAGGTTCTGCTTATATCTTCTAGACAATGAGGAGGAGGAATAAAAAGGAAATCCTAAATATGTATGAAAGAATATATATTTAAATTTAAAAGTGCAGAATTTAAATCAAGGGATGTTATGTTAAACTTCTTCAATGCACTAGCATGGCTTCATTTAGAAAATTGTGTACAGTTTTGTACACCATGTTGTAGAAAAGATGTTGCTTCTGTGTAATCTGTCCAGAAAACAGCAACCAGATACATTCCAGATCACAAAGAAATTTCCTACACTGACAGGCCAAAGGAACTAAATCTTTACAGTTTTGAACAGAGAAGACAATAAGCCGACCTGATACAAATGTTCAAAATCCTCAAAGACATTGACAACATCAGCCCAGTAGATTTCTTCCGAATAAACAATTAAACGCAAACCCTACGTGAAGATACAGAGGCTACAAGCAGAAACTACGAGGAAGTACATTTTAAACTGAGGACAGGAGGTATGTCTTCAGCCAGAGGGTTGTGGGAATGTAGAACATGTTACCCAGCCTTGTTGAAGCCCATACCCTGGCTTCTGTTAGAAAACAGCTTGATCCTTCAGTTAGGGACTAACAAAGAGACAAGATAACCTGGGTGTCCTCCTCTTGTTTGTAACTGTTCATATTAACTTAATTACGTTTTATATTATTCACAAAATCTGCACCTCATCTCGCAAATGTGCTGGGCTTTTTCTAGTGGGAGCTTTCCTTGTATCTTTCTACATACATATGTCAGAATGCAGCTTGCAGTGCTCTCAATTATGGCAATTTGAGAAGATTGAGAATGTCACTATTGCATCCACTGGTCCTGACTAATGGAGACAGAGTTTGGCCAGCTGAACAGATCATGCAAGTTCAAATGGTCTGAACTGGAGCTCAGACCCTCACCCTGCTCCTGGCCCCCTGATCTGAAGAATGCCTCTGTTGTGATATGTTCAGGAATGCTGGAAGCACCTTGTGACAGAATTATCCAGTGAACTGAGGGGATTAAAGTCCTTGTGAAAGAGGTATTTGTGGGTTTTGTGTTACAGTCTTTTTCTGGACATCTGAGCACTCCAAGCACAGTTTCAATTCATTAGCCAGGAGTTATGCCAATTAAGAACCAGAGCTCTGCTGTCACAGGGGAAAGCGGATTTTCTTCTTTGTGTGCTTCAGCTCCAGAGCTGTCCTGGAAGGAGTGGGGTGACGGGGGGGTGAGGAGTGAGCTGAACCGCAGGCCTGTGGCTGTCTGAGAGCTCTGGAAAGGTGTTGGATTGGTGCAGCCTTGGTCCCAGCAATCTTTTAGCTTTATTCTAGCAAAAGAAAACAAGTATGATGGGATAAATGGGCCATCTTGATCTTTTGCTTCACTTCTTTCTGCACCTATGTACCTAAAATCAGGGCATTATGACATCTATGAGTCCTGTTAATACAGTAAAAGCAAAATTTAACATTCTGTTGGGGGAAGGGTGGTCTGTTAATGGGGATAGTCTGTTAAGTCATGACGCATATGCTACATCTAATTCATACACAGATACTACTCTCTGAATAATGTAATGTAGTTACCTTCTTTTAAAATGCAATTTTAAGCAAAGTAATTGTAAGAGAATCTAATTTTCCAATAAGAATTAAAGTAAACATTAAGGTTGCCCAGTTTGGTATAATTTTGAACAATTCCATACTGTACTGGGCAAGCCAATGGATGCTGTGGCGAAAGTTATTCTGATAACTCTTCAGTGACATTGAAAATAAGCCAAAGGTATCAAATGTAATTCAGACAGTTATTTACTTTGCCAATGCCCTTTTTAACCTGCTGACTTAATTTTAATGTATTTTGTGGCCTGACCACCACAGTGGACCAATAGCATGTTAAGAGGCTAGGTGGGGGATTGGGGCTAGACTGGGGCTAGAGGGGGATAGACCCCCTTTTGTCGTGATTTGGCTTGGAGAGCAAGACTGTTGGTGTTATAGAGTCCAACTCTTACGCACAAGACAAATCATTATTTGCCTCACTGGAATATTAACCGGATTAGAGCTCAAATGTCTCCTAACAATGGGCCAGTGATGCTGGAATCAGCCAGTGCCCAGCACAGACGCATTCGCAAGCCTCTGGTCACCAAGGCCTCTCTGTCACGTGGGTTCCTGGAGATTTAAATAATCCTCCACTTGAGAGGCAGAACATCCTTTTAAGTTTTATTGTTGTTTTCACCAATTCATTTGAGGAGCACAATTGGACCTAAAGGAGAAGTGGACTTGTTACTTCATTAGGAAGTTGGTCTTTTGGTGTTTTTCCTTCTGTCTTTTTGGTGGTCTTGCTGGGCCTGCCAGTCCTGGTGCTGGAGCTCCTCCCGTGCTGAAAGAAGGAGGACTTGTTCACCTGCTCTGAAACGTCCGACTACAGCTTTGTAAAATGCAAGAAATTACCTTTTGACCAAAGAACTTTGGAAAGGATTTTATTCTGGATGCAAAAGAAGTTCAAGAAAGAGAACAAGAAACTGTTGTTTGAATTGCAGTTGCTGATTCATACTGGAACCATTGATTGTAGCTCATTCATATATTTTTAAGAACTTTTCACTGAACACTTGTACCAGTAATTGAATCATCTTAATTTTCATCGATCGGCTTGTTTTGCATTGCTACTGGCTTGCTGCCGCAATCGGCTAGTCTGAGCAGAAGTGCCGGGAGGCAGTGTGTGATTGCGTGTGGAGCTTCACTGCCAGCTCGCCCTGACCGACCCAGCCTGCCAGCGGATGGAGGATGCGGAGGGGCTCCCGGGGCTGCGTGCCCGCTCCGACAGCATGGCCAGCACAGCCTCGGTGTCCACCAGCGGGAGGCTGCTCCTGCGCCAGCGCGTGGTGCAGCTCATGACCTGCGTGGAGGACCTGAGCTCTGACGAGGAGCTGCAGGAGGAGGTGTCTCGCACCCTGAATGAGGCTTTCCTGCTCTGCGGGAAGCGGGGCGCCCGCGAGGAGGAGCGCTTCAGGTGCCTTGGCTGTTACCATCTGCTCCCTGGCATCCTGGGGGGAGAGAGAGTGGTTTAAAGCTCCAGAAATTCACATGTATTTCCGATAGTCCAGGGAAGGACAACCAGGGCAATGAGCACAAATTCCTCCTCCACTTCAGTACTCAGAATGCTTTAACTGATGTGATGCGAGAGGTGCAGACATACTAAAAAACAAAATGGGAAAGTCTCTAGTCAAATGTCTCAGTCATACGTATCATAAATTTACAGGCACATCACTGAGATTTTTCATAGTGAGGAGGGGATGGAGTAATGTGGTTTCCAGCTGGACTCTTGTTGGATGTTTTTGTAAAATTTCTGAGATGCTATTTATAGCCTTTGGAGACGCAGTGCAGCGATGTTCCTCTGAACCAATGCAATGCAAGTTGTCCATGTCTGGAATGTGTCCTTCTTTATGTACCAGCGGTGCTGTGGTTCTGCTCCTCTCTCTCAGGTTGCACATGGTCACCTGGAATGTGGGGACTGCTGCCCCCCCCAGCGATGTCAGCTCCCTGCTGGAGCTGGACTCTGAGAAACCTGCTGACTTGTTTGTGATTGGGTGAGTGAGTGTCCAGCAGGTGGGACATCCTGCAAGAGGCTTCTTCCCATCTACATTTCTATTTCATCACTTTCTACTGCAATTACAAAATCTGTTCTCCTTTTAAAGGAGTATTGCTTATTCAGTTTCTGCCATTCCTTTAAGACCACTTTCTCTTGAGATCTGCTCCATGGTATTGTCAGCACCCTGCTTACAGGACTGTTGTGTGTGACAAATGGTCCTACTTCAAACAACAGTAAAACAGCTTGTTGTACAAAGCAAAATTAAATGCCACATAGAGACTCCATTAACATCAAAACATGCAACATCCTACCTTGAAATTCACACAATCTATTCTCTGTAATAACTATTTTAAAGCTCTGTTTCAGAGTGACATGAGCCTCTACTTTATGTATCATTTTATGTTACCGTTTGACTTTTTTTAACACCAGCTATAAGGGCATCAGTTTTGCCAGTATCACAGTACAGTCATAGCTAACAATAAGAACTTTAAGTCACAGAATAAAAATTAAGTCCCAGTTAAAGACTAAAACAAAATAGACAGAGCAGACATGTATGTTGCAGAAAATCCTTTCTTACTAAGAATTAGGCATATGTTTCTAACATATTCAGCCCGAGACATGCAGTACTGTACTCTTACCTCAACCACAGCTGCTGATGCCCGAGAAGAGAATAATACCTCTGATCACTGCTCAGAAGGCAACAAAGTCCTCACACAGGTCTCTGGTGTGTCAGTTGACATCTGACATGTTCAGTCATGTTCGAAGAGGAAAATAAAGAAGCCCTGAAAGGCGTGTGCACCCATTCAGGAGCTGCCAGTGCAGAGTGCCCGCCTAGAGCTGCACTCCGGCATGCTGGATGCGGGTGGCATAGGCTGGTATCACTGGTGCCTTTGGCAGCTGTTCTGTGTTTTCTCTGCAGGCTGCAGGAAGTCAACTCCAGGCTTCTGAATTTTATTAATGACATGACGTTTGAGGACCCCTGGAGTCGCCTCCTGATGGACACGCTGGCCCCGCTGGGATATGTGAAGGTTCGGCCTTTTACTCTTCTCTGCAGCGTCCGTCTCAGTTCACACCTTCTAGAGTTCTAGAGCTTCAAACATGAGCGTAAAAAACTGATGAAGAAAGTAAAAATGAATTCCATGCCAGTTCTCTGTGTAGCACCATCTGTGCCTGCAAGTTAGGGAAAGCTATGATGCTGTAACAAAGCGGTCTTCTCCTCTCACACATGAAGACTTTGTTTCTTTTTCAAAATGCAAAAACATAAAATTCCTGAACACTGACACTGCTGTAGGCTTGTGGCAAACTAAGAGCTGGTTAAAAGAGGTGCTACCATCTTTAAAGAATTGTAGTTGAAGCTGTATCTCCAGTCAAGGCTGAAACTAATGGTCTTGATGCAGGACCTTTTCATTGCAGTACTGGGCCAGGCTGCCATCCCAGCAGCTTCAGTGTCTTTCAGAGACATGTGTGTGCTGTATCTCTCGCTGCTGACTTGGCCTTCCTGAACAATGGAAGGCATTGTCATCCACCTCATTAGGGGGCTGTTAATACAGTGAGAGGGCATGGTTTGTTTATCAAACAGAGTCTCATTTGTGGTCCAAACCAATTAATATTGTTAAGCCTTCATTTTTTATTAAACTTTTTATTCTCAGAGTGTCTGAACATGTATGTCTTTGTAGTGTCCTCTGTTATCTGGAAACCTCTGTTTGCTTGAAAGGAACAGTGGGATAATACTAGCTAACGTAGTTCACACTAGAGTTCCCTGCAGTTCATACTGGCAGCACATGGAGTTGCTCTTTTGCCTGTATGATCTCTCTCATTCTCCTGTCTTCTGAATGAACCTGTCAACCCTAAAGTGCTGAAGCGCTGTACACTACCAGTACCCAGAATGGGACCTGAACAGCTGACAGGTGCCCAGGAGATTCGTCTTTCATTAAGAACAGACTTTTCTCCAAAGGGACCACTTCCTTTCAATGTCCACTCTAGACCCGTTTGCTTGCTTTATTTCTGGACAGCTTAGAATCTGCAAAGCAGTTAGTGAGAAGCAGAGCACATGCTGTCTCATAACAGAAATGTTCAGGCAATTAGTTGGGAACCAGTGATAAAGCCAATTTATAATAATCGATTTTCACACATATTTATCCCCTTTCATACTAAAGGAGACCCATTTCCTCCTCCATCGTGGGTGATGCTCAGCATCTGCTCTGCAGGAGCAGATCCAGGCTAGGAGTGAGGAACTGCTGCACCAGGGGGAACGTTAGGGAGGCCAGACTGTTTGAGCACAGTGACATTTAGCCAGATCACCGGGGTGCATACTCCTGTTTGTGTGAGCAGTGCCTTGGAATCTTTCGTGACCAAGTGGCCATGTTGTGCTGTGACTCAATGAATGGCCAATGGCCAGTTGTTCGCTTAGCTGTTTCATGTTGAGCCCATAACTTCACATACATTTGTCTTGAAAATAAATATTTTCTCTTCACCTCACTTTTTGATTAATAGCTTTGATTTCAGAATGGAGGCAAGCTCATTGTCCCCCAACCCTGTCTGTCCCTTCTCATGCAGCTGATATCCATCCGCATGCAGGGACTCCTGTTGCTCCTCTTTGCCAAGCAAGCGCACATCACATTCATCCGGGACATCCAGGCCAGCTACACCCGCACCGGCATCTACGGATACTGGGTAGGAAAGAGAGCGATTCCTGCCTTCAGGCACCAGCAAATGATAAAACCAAGTTAAAACTGAAACAATATAAAAAATCTAAATTTTCTGCCATGCTTATAAGTAATCTGGTGTCCAGTTCTACAACTCAACTCATGAGTTTGATGCAGATGAACAGAAGGGGAGGTGAAGGGCTGCCTGCTGACTGCTGCTGTCTTTCCAGCATGCTGTTCAGCAGTATTGCATGTTTACCACGAGTCTTAAAAATGTTGAGTTGGGAATTGTCTTGGTCAGACACCGCAGCCAGTGTACTCATTCATATTAACAGTGGTGATGCAAAATCTCAGAGGTCAAAATGAAATATGCAGTGCACATTTGTACATCATACCTTGAGATTTTCAGAAATGCATTGGTAACACAAACAGAATGATGGGATACTTTCTTATAATTCCTCTGTGTCTTGTGTATTATACCTATGTGTTCAACCTGGGATTTTTGTTTATTAAAACATTTAATTTTCAAGTACATTTCGCGAGTTCTGCAGTGCAGTGTTGACTAATTCCTTGTTAATCAGATTGTCTGCTACCTGCTGGAACAAAGCCCTGCCTGGTTGCACTGAGTATTGAGAACTGTCGATTTGCCTTCAACAGGGGAATAAAGGAGGTGTGTCTGTCCGCATGTCTTTCTATGGTCACTTGATCTGTTTCCTCAACTGCCACCTGATGGCACATATGGAGAACGCCAGTCAGCGTGTGGACGAGATTGAGCACATCCTGGAAACGCATGCATTTGACACGGACAATGTGCCAAACATTCTCGACCACAAGTAAGAAACAGGGCTTTTGGTGAGGGGCTGTTGCATTATAAGCTGGACATGTCTTCTCATAGTGGTGCTTGACTAAGGTGACACTTGGGAAGTAGGTGGTCTGTGTGGTGGCACCTGATTTCTGGGTTACAATAAGTGAGGGGGGATACTTGTCAATTATAAACTGAAAGGAAAAGGAATGGAAACTTGAACACTAAATTTTTGTAGCATTTTCTAAAGTTCTCTGTCTTTGTCTTGGCTAGGGTGGTCTTCTGGTTTGGAGATCTGAATTTTCGCATTGCTGATCATGGCATGCACTTCATGAGAGAGGCCATCAACAACAAGCGCTTCCATTTACTCTGGGAGAAGGACCAGGTGAGCAGCACTTGCTCAGAGGTGGGCTGTGTCTTACGGACACTGGGCTCAGACACTGAGCCCAGACGCAGGCCTCTGACACTGTGAGACCGACTAGAAATGTGGGAATTTGGACTCTGTTGTTCTCCGGTATAACATTGTCTCCTAAGGTATCAGGTATTAAACAGGACTGGATTAGAGGAGAAGGTTTTCTTTAGATATTGTGATGGGATTTGGGGATTTTCTTTAGGGCCATGTGAGTTTTGACCAAGCCAATTATTGAATAACGCTAGTACTGGCTACATCTCCAGGCTGTTAGTTTGGGAATGTGTTGGTCTCTGTGTGTTTTGTATTTCAAACTGATCTGTCTTTTTGTAGCTGAACATGGCGAAAAAGAAGGAGGCCTTCCTGAGGGAGTTCCAAGAGGGCCCTTTGCGATTCAAGCCCACTTACAAGTATGACCTGCACTCGGAGACTTATGACACCAGGTAGGCTGAGGGTACTGCTGAGCTACGGGTGTATCTGTATACTTACTGTAGACATGCTGATAAGACACAGTTACAACTTGATGTCAGTTTTCCCTTATTCATTCAGTGTCATTTAACTGCCTCTGTAAGCTTTTGTCTGTAGATATCGCCACCTATTGGCATTATAAAACTTGTTTAAATTCTAAATTGAGAGTACAGTCTGCCTTTTAAATCTATTGAGCTACTAGTTCCAATCATATAGAAACACAACAAAATCATGGTGCTTGTATGAGCTAGCAAGCTGCACTAGTGGTACTATAATTACTAGTGGTACTATAATTTTCTTTTTCTCCCCTGAGTGATCTGAGTGATGCAATGATTCATCTCATGCACTATCAAATGCTATTGCTTTTTTTCTGATCTAGCACAAACTAGAGCTTGGATTTATCAGCACACAGAGGATATAGATGTGAACTTACTGATCAAGTTTTGGGGGGAAGTCAGGAAGAAAAAGACCAGTCCCTGAAAGTTTACAACAGTTCTGTGTTGGGTTCTGTGCGAAGTCCCCATGCACTGCTAGAAACTGGGATAGAAACCACATAATGTGTCATCTGCAATGTCTGGTGTATTGTACAATAAGTAGGACCCTAGCCATGATGTTATTTGACAGTTCTCAACAGGGAAGCACATTGTCTCATGCTTCACTGGATGTATTTTATACAAACCTCTCTAAATTACACACCTCTGTCCTAGTTTGATGCCCTGTAACGTAGCTGTGTCTTGCATCTATTCCTGGATAACAGCACAGCCTCAGTAACCCCTAGAATGCACTCGTCTCATGTCAGTGCATCACGATGATCAGAGGCCACCATGTCATGGCTGGGCTGTCTCTAGGACAATGGCTGTTTATGCTGTGCCTGCTGGCATAGAGAAAAATGTCTAAGAGTGTTAGGAGGCCCAGCTGTCACTCTGTTGCTTTTTAGACATACAATTCTGTTTGACAATTTACATTCCATCCATCCATTTTCTGAGTGCCTCATCTAATTTAGGGTTGCATGGGAGCTGGATCCTATCCCAGCAAGCAACGGGTTCAAGGCAGTTACACCGTGGACAGGACGCCACTCCATCACAGGACACACACAGACACTCGCACTCACACAGTTTTCCCAGTTTGGGCCAGTTTTCCCAGAAGCTAACTAACTTTCCAGTATGTTCTTGGACTGTAGGGGGAAACCAGAGCACCTGGAGGAAACCCACATGAACACTGGGAGAACATACAGACTTCACACAGACAGTATTCCAGGGATTGAACACAGGGCCCCAGTGCTGTGAGGAACCAATACTAACAACTGCGCCACCATGCAGCCCAAGTTTACATTCTTTTAGATTTTTATTTGCGCAGTTTTACTACCTACCAAGCACACAGCTTTAGCCATTATTTATTCTATATCTTTAAAAAGCTAGGGCATACACTAATCAGCTGTCAAGACAATCTGACAGCCATGGACACTCAGATGCAAGGTTTCTTTAAATGTAATTTCTCTCTGTTAGGGGTGTGTGCTTGGCTTTTTATTTCTGAATGTTAGCTGTTTACAGTTCAGGTGGCAAATCAGCCTTAGCCCTGTTAGGGAACCAGATGAAGTGTTTCTTCAAATATTATCAATGTTGATGGGTAATAGGGACAATACAGCTTTGAAAATGAGTACAATAGTAGAATCTCATTATTCTCATATCTGGAGACAGACAGCCCTGGATTTAAGTGATGACTTGTGAAGTAGGTGCTCAGAAAAAAATCAAGTTGTCATTTTGAACTTACATCCAAAGTTTTTACAGTTGTATTCCTACTGCTCCAATTGTGAGACCCTGGCTTCTGATAAAATATTAACTTGTGTTCTTTTTGCAGGGAGCAGAAGACGTGGTTGGGTTTTAAGTAAGAGTTAAAAAGTTCTTCTTGAATCCCTCTCGTATCTCTGTGGACTTTACACAGTGCAATTTGTGCTAAAGTAGAAAACCAGTTCAATTTTTTTGCTAGACCAGCAGGAAATACTGAACCCCAGGAACACTGCCCATAGAATGAAAGGCTCCAAAGGACCCAGAAAGACCTTCTCAATCCCTTTAAAGGGCAATGGTACATTGCCTTGGTGTTTACTTCAGTGCAGAGGTTGCAGTTGTTTTGCTGTCCTTTGGGTGGATTTGTGCAGCTGCAGTAGCACCTGCTCAGCTGACCATGTGTTGACCAACGCCTTTAATTCAGCTTTTTTATTACGTTATATAAGCAGACACTGTACTGAAGTATGCCTTCAGAAAAACAAAACTAAAATAAAATTATGAGGGAAATACTCCAGTTAAAATCAGAAATATACAGTAGTTCAAAGCCTTTTATAAAGCAGTGTGTTAAATTTAAATAATTTAGTGATTAAAATAATTATTGTTTGCCTTACAGTTAGAGAAATTTTAGACCCTTATAATATTACTATTTTTAATAATGATCTTGAGAGTATCTCTTTCGCATAGGGAGCACGTGGTGCTATGTGGCAGTATTCTTAGGTATAGAATGAGCCTTTCTGATTCCAAACTAACCTTCGGACCCTCCTTTTCCCACTCCAAGAGGGGTAGTTAGCACCCTCACTTGTCCCTGTTATCCTCTTTTGGGATGGAAGTGTGTTTTTCATAAGGCACCCTTTTGCTAAAAGAATGGAACAGCTGTTTCTATCAGTTAGTGTGCATGTCATTTTCTGCTTGCACTAACAGTGGTCACGACCAGAATGTGCCTGCATCACCAAGCCAGATGGGGGGAACTATCTAAATGCATGAATGATTGGTTGACAACCAGTCAGAAGCACTGGTTTCAGGCTATATTTAGAAGAAAATTGGTAATAATTTAGTCTTAGTTTGCAGAATTTTCATACAAGGATAAGAAACTTTGAAGTTCATTCAAGTCTTCCCAGACATTACCAGCCATCCCTGCACTCTCAAATGCCCCCTGTTCCTGTTGACAGTGGTAAGAAAAGGAAGCCAGCCTGGACGGACCGGATACTGTGGCGGGTGATGAGTAGTGACCAGGATGCTGCTGAAGAGGCGGAGACTAATGTGAAAGGGGAGGAGCAAGAGGAGGAATGGAAAGGGGAGGAGCAAACACAAGTGAAGGAGTTGGTATCTCCAGTCAAGGTGACTCTAGACTCCTACACCAGTCACATGAGCTATGGCATTAGCGACCACAAACCAGTCACCGGCACTTTCATTCTGGAGGTGAGAATCTGATTTTAAGGGCTACTTGCAAAATGTGAGATCACCCTGATAAGAGAAAAATCTAAGAGCATAAATGGCTTAATCTTGCTTATTCAGTTGCTAACTGCCTAATGGCCCAGGGATCTTCAGCCATTTCTTTAAATCCCAGAATGGCCGGATATTTTTATTTAGACACCCACATCTCTTTAAAATCCTTCTATTTTCCAGTTGTAAGTCCACTTTCTAGTCATTTCATAAAACACCCAAAAATGTTTAACATCACTTTATTAACCCTTACAATTTCTTGCTTTGGGAATTATCTTTTCACATACCCCAGCTTGCTCTCCATGAGACACACAGACACACAGATAGGGAGAGAGCCTTGCGTCAGAGTGCAGGGTCTGCCATTGTACAGCGCCCCTGGAGCAGTTGGGGTTAAGGGCCTTGCTCAGGAGCCCACAAGTAGGATTCCTCTGCCGGCTGTGGGATTTGAACCGGCAACCTTCTAGCCACAGGCACAGATCCTTGGCCACAGAGCCACCGCTCCGCCCCATCTTAGCCTTAGGAATTATCCTGTCTGTGATGCTTTTATGGGTGTGTAGTTATTCTGCATAGTCTTGAAAAATAAAACTTTGCAAGGCCCCAGCAGAGCTCTGAATCTCCTGGTCACACTGTGACATTATTTCAGAAACCTTTTTTCGTCCAATTCCTACAGAGCTACTAATCCCTTAATACATTACACAAGCTACTGATAAATTAAATGTCTTGTCATTGCATGTAAGAAGTTTACTGTAAATTAGGGGGACTGTCAGCCTGAAGGAGGTAGTAGAACACTTACGGAATTGGTGTGTCTCCACCCCCAGCTGAAGAAGATGTTCCAGACCCCGCTGGTGCAGCTGTGTGCGGAGGGCGAGTGGAGCGCTGACCAAGATGCTCTCATCACCTACAGCATCCTGGAGCCCTTCCCCAGCAGCACCTGGGACTGGATCGGGCTCTACAAGGTCAGCCCTCAGCTCATCCTGGGCACAGGCTGCCTGTGCTCTGTTCATCATTCCATGGCTTAACCAGCGCTTGTACATTACACTTCATGAGGAATAATAACCCCGAGAATTAGATGTGTTTGAGGATGTTTATTTTGGGTACTTGGGTGGAATGAGATTGGGTTTAACAGCCAGCTGACCACAGGACATGAAGGGTTGGACCCCAGCAGAGAGAGGAGTGGACCAAGGGACAGTTGCATAGGAGGACAGGGGTGAAATGAGATAAGAGGGGGTTGTGTATGACACACACAGCTTTTGAGAAAGGGTGTCAAGATCAATTATGTTTTAGAACAGCTCTATTGTTGTCACACCTCCCAAACTTCGGTTTAAGACCGTTAAACAGGGAAGCTTGATATTGAATTTCCGAAGGACAACAAAGTGAATTATCATTTTAATTTTTTACCGTCTTTGAGAGGAAAGTTGCAAATCAATGCATTGTGTTAGTGGTGGGAGGGCTGCATTAGAAACGGCAGATGCCAGAACTGAGATGTCGCCCCTACAGGTGGGCTTCAGGAGCTACAGCGATTACGTCACTTACGTGTGGGTGAAGGATGATGAAGTGCTGTACAATGAAGAAGCTGTCCAGGTAATGACCTGCTTGCCCATGGTAACTTCGCTAAATGTAATGACCTCTGTACTAATAAAACAATTACAGTGCAGCAACATGTATCCAACTGCCTGGGTATCAGTTGAGCCTGACTTAAACAACAACAACAAAAAAGTTTTGATTTAAAAGTAAGAGAATTCACGTAACATTAATTAGAATTACATTTACTCTACTGCTGTGCAAGTTAGAATGTAAGGATGAAATGGACACTCCATGCAAATGGTTTCAAGAAAACACTTGAAATATACATTAAGCATTCAAACTGGAATTGACATTAGATAGCCTCAGTCTTTAAGATGTAATTAATAATTTATTTGAAATCTTTACTATTGTCATTCTAACAAATCAACAAAGCATCCACTGCGCAGGACCTTACCAGTCTCTTTTGGAAATGCTGTGTTGCTTCTGACCATTCCCTCACTGTGTTTTATACACCATATACAGGCACAGTGTGAAGGTCATTGTCCCTGATTTACCTGTGGTGGTTTGTCTCCTGTGCAGGTGTATGTGGGCATGAATGAGATCCCGGTGTTGGGTGGAGAATTCTTGCTGTGCTACTACAGCAGTAACTTGCAGTGCATCATTGGGATCAGTGCCCCTTTCCAGGTGAGATCCATCCTCTCCTCTCTGCCCATCACCACACAGACAGGTCAAGGTCAGAATTCCTGACGTCGTATGCATTGCCTTTGCAGTCATTTAAAGCTTCTTTTAAAAATATGATCCAATGAGACCCTACAGTAGCTTAAACAGGACAGTGATGCCCTGCAGTTCATCCTCGGTTTGCACACATGGGCTGTGGCATTAGCCTTGTGGTTGACAAGAGCCTGTGTGTTTTCAAAATATTCCTTACTTGTTTTAGATTTCTTTATATAAACGTAGCAAATTTAAATCTAGAAGTTCATGGACATAAGACATTCCTTTAACGCTCCATGATTCCTGACTAAAATGAAACTTGGTCTCCTTAAGGAGTTCTGAGCCCGTGCAGTCTTGCCGGCTTGGACTGTGTCTAACGTGTGAACGTATGTTCTGCTCAGATCCACGAGTCTAAGGTTGCCATAGAAGAGGGACTGGCATCGGAGAACATCGGTGGTCTGGAAAATGCAACCAGCTTGAATTCCAACCAAGATTTCTGAGAACCCTTCCCCTACTTCACTAGAGATCTGTCCTGTTTTTGTCGGCTAAGCCACTCACCCCAAATCTCAGTGCTCGAATGGTGTTTTCTTCCCTCACACCGTCACAGCGCACTCTCTCCGTGTACGTATACTACAGGACGGCACAGTCTGGAAAGGCCTGAATAGGGTCCAGCATGTCTGTTTCAGGGGCACAGCACTGCCACTGACTGGCTCCACATGAGGCTTAGGAAGAGTCTTCTCTGGTGCTTCTGTGAGCTTCTGAGCTCCTCCTCCTAATGCACCATAATGTTATTTGATGAATGCATTGTGAATGAATATTTTGGCAATGAGTGTGTATATAAATGCTTCAGAGACATTCATTATAAATAGTACATACACATCAATTCTGAAGAAGGAATACTTGTTAATTGAAAACTGATTTCAGCCTCCTTCAGGTAAGATTTTAGCTGCGAGGAGACATTCTTACCACTCCCCACATACATTCACCAGTGCCGGCAGGCATTGTCACAACCACAGAACACCATGGCATTCTGGGAGTGGGAGGGGGGATGACGTGGTTGCACTGTTCAAGGGGCAGGGGTGTAACCTCAGGGTTTTTCCAGGGGTTTTTATTCACCTGAAAATAGCCTCCAGATTATTTTAGATCCCAGATCTCGTGCCTCACCTTTGTTTGCATTCCCCATGAATTACCTTCAAAATCTTTACTTTTGTTTTTAAAATGTAGAATATAAGAGACACTGATTTCAAATTGCAAAATACAAAATTTGTGTTTCTTAAAGTTTTGTTTTCCAATGCCCTTTTCAGTTACAGGCATAAACTGCTGTTCCCTTCTTTTAAAAGCAATTCATTTCAGGGTCTTTGTTTTAATCCTGTTGAGAATGAAGAATGTGATCTACTTAAACATAGAGAAGAAAGAATGACTATCGTGTTGCACAGTTGTATTTAATTTTATCTTTAGATATATGTCACTTTGTGCAAAATTATATTATTTTAAATGTATTGCTAACATGCTGTTGAGTGGATATCTTTCCATGTTCAGTCATCCTTGCTGTATTGTCTGCAGTGATGGAGTATGAGTGTAAGAGAGTTTCTTGAGGAGTCTGGAGCCACAACACCCAGGCTCTCAGGCTGCCACTCGCCGCTTAATGCTTCCAAATGCACAGAGGAGTCACGGCAGAGTTACATTTTACAATACTGAGGGCCTGTCTTTTTGTTTTAAATGTTTTTTTTTCTAATCACTATTTATATATATATATTGCTGTAATGTACTTAAAATGCTTTCTAGTGTGCAATGTTGATCTGTAATATTCCTATATGGAAAACCAGAAGTGCTCTATTTTCGTAGTGACAAATGCTAATAAAAATGTTTTATTATTTTTAATTTTATCTGTCTTGTGTTAGCTGTTCTCAATTTTTAAGCTTTTCTTTTAAAAAATGTTTTTCAGACAATTTCTTGCAGACATTAACTATAATACCTTTTGTTTGTTAAACCTTTTTTATGAATGAGCCCTCTTTTAAGTTTGAGCACTCATCCCCTCTTAAGACATTTCATTGCCAGCAACTACTGCTGCACGCCGTATTGTTGTGCATTTGATAAATAGACTTTGATTTGATTTGATTACAGATTTCTTATTGAAACTAGTTTAAGATGGGGGGCAGTTTGGGGGAGAGCATGGGCCCCACACCCCACTTTGGACTGTTGTTGGAGTGGGGGTATTAACAGCTTGACCTGTTGGGCGATTTGGCTGCCATCTGCTGCGAGATGATAGGATACATCTCAGGTGCTTACTGTGAACCACAGTGTAACTACTGTGCATAATACAGTATATAGGGTAAATGTTGTACATAGGTACAGCTAACGTTCACTGATACTGTCTCCATTTAAATACTGTCTACATTCTGGAGTATTGTGGTTATTTCCTTGTATGTCTTTCATCTGTGTACAATTATATTGCCTCCTGGAAGTGAATTTGGTTTGAATTGTCTTTAGAAAATTGTCTGATATATCTTTGGCAAAATCTAAACACAGCTATTGGGTGAAACCTGCACGTTTTAAGGGCCCAGTCCATCAGCCATCATACAGAATCTTGCCATCTTTTTAATCATAATTGTGTGGCAATATTGTCTAGGTGACGGTCTTATTTAAAAGAACATAACGGTCCGGATAGAGGAGAGATGTTCATCTTAGTTGCTCAGTATTGCAATAAAATAAAAAGAAAAAATAATATAGGATGTAGGATTAGTTTTGAAGGCTCAAAGCAAACGACGGAAACAAAATCGACTGTTGTAGCACAGAAAACGGACTTCCTGCGAAATCATTAAAACACCCCGTACGCGATCAGTCCAATGCTAGTCAAGCTTCAAACTTAGGTTTTAGTAGACACGAACATATTCCTCACAATACTCTGTAACAATTGTGCAAGTAACTAACACAATACATATTCACAAACGCTGGAGTGAGTTTTCATAGCATTCAAGTGATTCGTGCGAGAAACGAACAAGACAAGGCTTTAGAGAGCGCACACCGTATTCCAGACCATCTGCCAGCTACCAGCGCACTAAGGGCAGCAAGGGGAACACGTCCAAAGTGTTAGGGTGGATACGGTTCTTGAGAAGAAACGGGGTAAACAACAACTATGTACAGATTTCTTATTGACCACTATTTGCATAGCCAGGGTCAGCTAGTGGTCAGTCTGCGGACCCTCAGTCCGTCCCCCGGCAGGGGGTCCCAGCCTGCACCGCGGCGAGGGCGCTGCACTGTTTTTAGTCATTTCAGCTATTTGTGTAGTCATCTGCATTTTTGCGCTATCGAATCTACACCTGTGTAGACTGCAGTAATCATTTAGTTGATTTATCCTATGTTACTTACAGAAGTATGATTTATTTTTACATGCGAATTCTGTTATATGTTTATGCAGCTGAGATTTATTGAAGTGAAAAAGTACATTGCTCAAAGCTACAAGTACAACATATTGCTCATGTTTTCAAATTGCGTAAGTTAATGTAGCTTTAGAACTTCAGCATATGAAATATATTTCATTTAAGTGAATTCAAGTTATAGTACATTTTAATATAAACGGAAAATAAATTATTTCGTTTAAACTCCGTATATGACAGATAAAACAAACACCACTCACATAAACTTAAAATTATATACAAATACGTTGTTTTCATTAATGCTATTATTATTGATATTTCATTTTAATTTATATTTAGCACCACGGTTTCACTCCTCCTGGTGTTTGCCCTGGTAACTACAAATAGTAACGCATAGAATCCAAGTATGGTTGAGCTGTTCATTCCCCTGATAGTTTCAGTGAACTAATGCCTAGTACTGGATGCGTGCATTTATTTCAGTCATATATAGTAAAAGTACTTAAATATAGTTTGTATTTAGTGAAAAGTAATAGGCTGCCACAGGTTAAAGGGGATAATATGCAAAAATAAGAACATTAGTTAATCGTACAACTCTGTAGCTGCAAAATGATGCCTGTGACAACTGTTTCCAGACTCCCCCGTCGATGACTACCTCAACAGCCCTTCTCCCTGTCGCAGGGTTCTGTCGTCATCAGAAAGCGCTGCTGCGTGTCTGAAGTTTCACGCTGCAAAGCTTGACAAGGTATGAGAACTGATCTGTGCTTCGTAGTAAACACGCGGTTTTCAATCCATTTATTGTGTCGACTTATTTGCTGTTAATATAGTGTCTCTTCCTCTCGGTTGTTATTTTGTGGTACATTAGTAAGTCCAGTCTGAAGGCGCGTTATGCTCCTGTGTAGCCCTTGTGGAAGAATTCACCAGACTGAGGCGTAAAAAGAAGTGCTTTATCTTTAAAAAACGTTGAAAGAAATTTTGAAATTTGGATTAGGACCTAAAAATTACATTTTCCAAAAAAAAGTCGTAGAACGTGAAGTGTTTTCATCTAAAGTATTTGCTTTTCTAATGATTCTAGTATTGATATTTTACGGCCACATTAAGTCTTACCTCCTCTCACATGCTTAGAAATAGAGTTAAGATCGTGTGGGATCTGCTGCTGTGTGCAGGCGAGCTTTGGCTGAATAAATGACTGTATTCCTGTGTCCAGGTACGCGATGAGCGGGGACAACGAGCGGCTGTTGATCCAGTTCAAAGACGAGAGTGGGGAGATACTGGGCTCCCCCTTCGATGTACCAGTTGACATCACCCCGGACAAACTGCAGCTGGTGTGCAATGCGCTGCTGCAGAAGGTACCAGTCTAGAAGCCCTTTTTCTTAATAAAGGAGTTAACATCACCTGGCTGGGCAAAAAAAAATTCAAGTTCTGATTTCTATGCCCAGATATTAACAGCTATTATATATTTAATGAAAAACACACAAATGAGCAAAATAAACTACTTATGTCTTAATATATTTTAGTGAGTAGGTTTTCTTGTATTCAACCCTGTATTTGAATACATTCTTATATCAGATAAAAAGTTTTCCTCCTTTTTTTAAGAAAAGGTTGTGTTTTGCAGAGTTCAAGCTGTTCTGCAGGATTGTCATGGGCCCGAGTTCCCTCGTTTCCTTGTGTTTCTACCACAGCCGCTGAGCCGTTGTGTTTCTCCTGCAGGAGGAGCCGCTGCCTTTGGCGTTCTACGTGAACGAGACCGAGATTGTCTCCTCACTGGCAAGCTGCCTGGCTGGCCAGGCTGTGGAGACAGAGCAGGTCTTGGATGTGGTGTATCAGCCCCAGGCTGTGTTCAGGGTGCGAGCTGTCACACGCTGCACCAGCTCCCTGGAGGGTCACACTGAAGCTGTCATCTCTGTGGCTTTCAGCCCCACAGGAAAGTGAGTGTTGTCACCATCTCGCCTGCTCTTTTGCCAGCTACTGGCTGGTGCTGTCCTCTCTTTACACAGGCTCTAAAATCTCCCGGCTTTCATATGCAATAGAGGAAATGCCTCAAACACCTTGAAAAATACTTCTGTTACAAAGGTTTTTAATGTTTCTCCTTTCTTTGGCGTGATGTTTTCCTTTGGAACTCAGGATGCAGCATGGTTGTGTTCTCCCCTCCTGGTGGTGGAGAGCTGCTGATTCTTCTGGCTTTCTTTCCAGAATATTGGCTTCATTAGTAAAACTGTTAAGAGTCCATTTTCAGTCAGTTAGTGAAGGACCCTATAATCCCTGCCTGGGGTTGGAGTACAGTGCTGTCGGTGTTCTAAGGTTTTCATCTTTGACTTCCTTTGTCCGGTCAACGTTGAACAGAAAAGAATCGTCATGTTGGATGTTGTGCTTGGTGCAGTGGTCCCACAGTGCGGTGTGCCTGGTCCAGGGAGGCTGTAATACGAGTGATTCAGTTCCAGGCACTCCTGCTGACTGTCACTGTGCTGTTCTCAGGTACCTGGCGAGTGGCTCTGGAGACACCACTGTGCGATTCTGGGACCTGACCACCGAGACGCCCCACTTCACTGCCAGAGGTCAGGCCCCACCCTTGGCTAGGGAGATCCCGGGCTTCTGCACACACTGGATCTCCTGGTTCTGTAGAACTGCAAGAGGATGTGTTAGAGAGGTTTTGAAGGAGTCCAACGAAAGGACTCGTGAACATTCTTCTCTCTGCTATGAAAACTCCATGGATTTCTTACTCTTAAAGTTCTTCTTACTCACTCCGTATTGCCATTATTATTGGTGCAACTTTTTTATATACCAGTACACCTCTAATTAACCCATACAAGAATGTGTTTTTCAATCTCATTGCCAATAGTCTACTTATCACCCAGTGAGACTATCTAGTAATCACTGACACTTTGGCGCCCTCTAGTAACACTTTGTTGATACTGCATCCCAGTGCAGCCTAAGTTAAATTTGAAATTTGCAAAGGTCTTTTCAGTGCTTATCAGTGTCCTCTTCAGACTTCTGTCCATCATGCCTCATAATCAAGTATTCAGACTGGGAACTAGCTAAGGTGTTGCCTGTATTGGAGACCCGTGCTCTGTTGAGCATTTAAATTGCTACCTTCCTTCTGTTCCCTCCTCAGACGTTATGATGTCTTATGACTTTAGATTTAGCTGTACACCACTCTGCATGACTTCTAATAAACTAAAAGCACATAGATACAGAAACACAATCATTCTATAAAAACTAATTATATGAATGAATTTAAAAACAAAAATATTTTGTAACAGCACATTTTAAAGAACTTAGTTTCAGGAATTGCGAATGGTCACTCTTTTGCCCGTTGTGAGTTAAACACAGCTTGATTACAAGTGTAGTGTTCTTTGTTTTACCTAGAAATTCACAAGTGAATGTTGTGAGTGCTCTTCTTGTGTGCTGTATTGTGATCCGTGCTTTGGTTTTTACAGGACATAAACACTGGGTTCTGGCCATCTCCTGGTCTCCTGATGGGAAGAAATTGGCATCTGGGTGTAAAAACAGCCAGGTAGGGTCTCACTGCCACATCTCAGCAGATCCTGGCAAACACGAGAGCTGCAAATGCCAGGCATAAAAAAAAGATTTCTTAGAAAAGGAATAATTATCAAATATTTTAAAAAAGGCTGGGATACATTTCAGTTGATTCAGTATTTAGTCTGAGCAGATACCTGTGTTTTAAAAGTGTTGTGAAGAGCTGCTGTGTCATGAAACTTCTCGGGCTGTGCTGTCTTGCAATCCTCAGATCTTCATGTGGGACCCCTGTTCAGGACAGCAGGTCGGAAAAGTGCTGACTGGACATACCAAGTGGATCACATGGCTGTCCTGGGAGCCTCTCCACCTGTGAGTGACCCCTGTGTGTCTGTTATGCTTGGGCCACTCTGTCCAGGCAGCTGGACAGGACTAAATTCTCACAGCTGTAATTAGACAATAGTGTCACATTTTTACATCAGATAAATTGAGATGAGGTAGTAATCTCATTGTTCCATTGTCCTTATGGGCTCAAACACTGTATCCTGCTTACAGACGTGATGTTCACAGATGTTAAGATGAATCCAGTTGATCATGGTTGGATCACAGAATGTTTACTGTCATATGAATCTATGGTTTAGTAGGTTCTTTTTGCCATTGGTGGTTGTAATAGTAATTTGCGAAACAAATTACAAATCCTTTCCTGTATCCATCAGAAATGCAGAGTGCCGTTACCTGGCCAGTTCCTCCAAAGACTGCACTGTCCGGATCTGGGACACTGTACTAGGCCGGTGCGACAAGATACTGACGGGACACACGCAATCAGTCACCTGTGTGAAATGGGGGGGTGACGGTCTGTTATTCACCTCCTCCCAGGACAGGACCATCAAAGTGTGGAGGGCGCAGGATGTAAGTGGGGGTGGGGCCTGAGGTGGGGCACCAAGTCTTGCTGTAGAAAATAAAACAAAAGCGTTAAAACTGAGGAAGCATGTAATTAGGGATTAAAATAAAATTTCTCTTTTCTCGTTAAAGACAGATAAGAGGATTTTAATGGAAGCTTTTAATTTTTTTAATTTGAAATTGTCAGTACTGTTCTAGTTCACTCTTGCTAGATTAGGAATCGCCAGCAGCCTGACAACTTGGCTTACTGTTGGAGTTCCTGCACCACATGGGACAGGGCAGACTTGTCCAGCCCCCATCCTACTGCCCTGCATTTCCCAGTGCTGCACACCTGATCTCTGTGTTTAGCTTCAGAGAGTAGAACATTAAGACATAACTGAAACCTTATTCAGGTTAATTTTGCATAGAAACTAGAAAGCATTTTTTACAAAGAAAATTATGATTGCATAATTTATATTACTGAGTCACTCTGTGCTGGGATCTTTAGCAGAAGTCACAATGCCTTTAAAAATCACATTTCTGGAATCTACTGAGCTCCGTTAGATAAAATGAGCTCTTTGATTCCTGCAAGTTTTCACTGCTGTTTGTAGTTATAACAGAGCCTTGTCCTTTACTGTGCTGTGGACCAGGGGGTGCAGTGCCGGACTCTGCTGGGTCACGCCCACTGGGTCAACACACTCGCGCTGAGCACGGACTACGTGCTGCGGACCGGAGCCTTTGAGCCTGCCGATGCCAAGATCAACCCCCAGGATGTCAGCGGCCCCTGTGAGTGTGAAATTTCCATTCTCCTGCCCCATTGCACATAGTGGAGAAGTGCGAATACAGGTGTTCCTGAATAGTCTCCTTGCAGTTCCTTCCCATACCCATTGTATTTTATTTAAAAGTACTTTGACTTTTGAATGAACTACAGGGGTAATGGTATACTTGCTGTCTTCTAACAGTTTTAATTTGAAGCAAGTGATGTTTGAAATGCCCAATAATAACCTGTTATGCTTGCATTAAGTCTGATGTCGGATACCTGCTGCCTCTAGCACCTTCTAGCCCTCAGGGGTGGAACTCTTTCTTAAGAAATATGTCACACAATAGTCAAGAAAACATTTGCTTGCATGTCCCTATCGCACGCTTCTGGTTCCAACTTTTTTTTTCAGTTTTCTTTTAATTGTACTTTTTTTTACAGTGGAGGAACTGAAGGAAAAGGCCCTGAAGAGATATAATCAAATCAGAGTAAGTACCTCCAGTTCTGATTTTTTTTTAAAAAGATCTCCTTTGACTTCTCTACTATTGAAAATAAATCTAACATTGCAGGCAATCACATTTTCACCTTTCATTTGAAACAGTGTTTCACCGAAAATAAAAAATATTGTTTGTTAAATTATACTTTGTACTTCTTTGATGTTTGGTAGCAGCACGGATCACAAACAGGTCATTGATTAATCTTTCCCACTTCTCACTGTCACATGATGTAACAGGGGCAAATACACACGAGTGCAATCAGTGTGAAGAGACCAGTCGCCTGCTGCACAGAGAGCCAGTGTGAGATTTGATGTCTTCTGCTCTTACTGCACGTCTTGCTCGCCTCTCTGTTCCAGGGCCAGGGTCCGGAGCGGCTGGTGTCTGGCTCAGACGACTTCACGCTCTTCCTGTGGAACCCAGCGGAGGACAAGAAGCCTGTGGGGAGGCTGACTGGACACCAGGCGCTCATCAACGAGGTGCTCTTCTCGCCTGACACCCGCCTCATTGCCAGCGCCTCCTTCGACAAGTCCATCAAGATCTGGGACGGCAAGACGGGAAAGTAAGAACCGCTCATTCGTTCACCCCCAGCTTCTGTCTTCTCCCTTCACAGAGCACCTACCTCGCCCCAGACGGCAAGTTACTGAACCTATAGACAACTCAGAATAATCTACATTCAGGCCTGGTCCTGACTCCTTTAACTTCTGATTTTCATTTAATCTGAGCTCTTAATTAGTGAAACTAATCCTTTTAATTAACTTGTTTGCTTGATTAGACTTTTTCAGGCTGTTTCTGCACCCAGGTCTTGGTTTCACAAATGGGTAAATCCGCCTCAGATCACTAGATTTAAGAAAATTTTCCCAACTGACCGTCTCAGATTTGCTTCGTACATTCAAAAAATAATGTCATTGTGCCCAATAAATAGTGTGTGAAATTTCAGGCTTGTATCTGAATACCCCGCGATGATCAGTCGGGAGGCCTCTGGTGATTTCACATGGTGGACTCAAATACCTCTGTGCAGCTGTGTTGTTTCCAGGAGATAAAACTGAGCTGTTCAGGCCAACAGTGAGTGCTTGTACAGCCATGTTGTCAAAGCCCACACCCTGGCTTCTCTCTTAAACTCCCGGCCTCCCCTTGTTCTGCTGCTCCTCCGAGGCTGAGAGCCTGGTGTATAAATCCGTCTCAGAACTCGGATTGAACTCAGAACTGTCCCCAGGTACCTGCAGTCCCTGCGGGGCCACGTCTCGGCTGTGTACCAGATCTCCTGGTCGGCGGACAGCCGGCTCCTGGTGAGCGGCAGCAGCGACAGCACACTGAAGGTCTGGGACGTCAAGGCCAGCCGTCTGGTGGCGGATCTGCCGGGGCATGCGGACGAGGTCAGGCTCACACGCGCCGCGGACCCCAGGGACACGCGGCAGACGCACAATTTACAAAGCCACAAGCTCTAGAATGAGTCAGCCAGGGGTCAAGATGCTGCACAAACCTTCCGACACGGTTTTGAAGTGTTTTCAATTTTACTGGCAGCTGTTGTAGTTTTACTAGGAATTTAATTTAATAATTATGGCAGAAATTTCACTGTGAGCTTCTCTTACAACTGTCCCTTCTCTGTTCAGTTTCTTTGTGTTGCGTTGTGACCTGGAGTGCTGTGTTTCTGTCAGGTGTTTGCTGTGGACTGGAGCCCTGATGGACAGAGAGTTGCAAGTGGAGGGAAAGACAAATGTCTCCGAATGTAAGTACTGAAAAAAATTAAACTCCTGTTCAGCAGTGTTCTTCATGAAGTTGAACTCATTGCCTAAAAAAATGTTATGTTTGTTTCTTCTAGATGGAGGCGGTAGCCAACGGCCAACAGAAAGCCTTGCATTCTGGGATATGATTGACCTGATGTGATTGGACTCCTTCATGTACACTTCTGCTTTCCAAAGAAGTTGGAGTCCACATGGTAGATATGAGTGTGCAGAAATGTTACATTGTGCCTGAGATATGGACCCTTTAAATATAAAAGCTGCTGACTGCTGAGAAGGAGCCTCTGAGAGCAGGTGTGGCATGAGTCTTCAGGACACAGTGGTAATGTGGACTCTTTTCAAGTTTGGATAATTTCTTTAAAAGGGAAAATGGCAGGAATTACTTTTTTCCAATGAATTCTTTTTCTTCTTTTAGATTTTGTAAGTTGATGTGACTCCCCACTAGGTTTGTGTGGGAATAGAATGAATTTGAGACAACAAAAGCAAACTCCGGAGGAAACTGGAATTCATTGTAAAAAATGATAGAAGGTTGTGACCCAGATATAAATCTTGAGGTGGTAAACGTGAATTTGCTAATGTATTGACAGTTTCATATAACAGAAAAGTAAGTTTAAAGCTCTAGAAGAACATTTAAAGATACAGTACATTGTCAATTATTCAGCAACTGTTAATCTGGCTTCCTAAATGTTTTGTCATTCAGGGGCTGATATGGCGAAAGGATATTTGCTTACAGTATTTTATTTATCATAAAACTGATACTGGAAGTAAATATAATGTACTTTGCATTTAACAAGTTAATGTAAAGTGTACTTTACAGCACCATTTCTGCAATACTGTACTGTTAACTGTATGTAGTCTGTGTATTTTAATCACACTGTTCTTTTACTAATATTTTCATACCATAAATCAAATCAAAATACTACAAATAAATGTGTACACCTCAAGACACAATTTTGTAGGAATGAGCAAAAATAAATTAGTACAAAAAGTCATGCAATTATCTAGCATTTTTGAAAAGGCAGTTAGCCACCTCCCCACACACACCTCCCACTAGAGCACCACCGAATAATGGACGATCTGCTGTGTTAGATGAGTTCTCACTCTCTGAGAAGCAGAGACTGGCTTTTCTGTGGCTGCTCTCTTCTTCACTCCTAGACTTGTCTTTGAACTCTCTAGGCCATTAATTGTATGTTTTAACTAGCGCGGGGCACACATGAAAGAGAGCAGAGCAGCACTGAAAGCTTTGGGTTTCACAGTGTGCAGGCTGTGGTACCTTAGTCATTCTTCTCCTAGTACACGAACAATCTTCCCTAGTTAAAGACCTTGTTACTCTGTAGACTCCAGACATTTCCTGAAAGCTCAGCTGCTCGGATGCAGATTAACTATTAACTATTAACATGGGCTTACCTCTCAAAAAACTAATTTCCTGGAAATACTTAACCTTTTACAATTCGATAACATATCTGGACTTTTTTTTCTTTAGAAACTTTGAGGTACATGAAACTGCCAGGATCACCGTGCACATTCTTTTACTACACACTCCACTGGATTTTTTATTTCAGAGGCAGCTGCAAAGCTTTAGTTATGAAGACTGGCATGGAATAGTCTTATTTACATGTGTAGAGAAAATATTTTTGATCTAATGTAATAAATAATTCTTTGGAAGATATCAGTCCTTAAAGAAGTTAACACGTTGTGCTTTTGAGATTGGGATAATGAACAATTTAAGTGCAGGGAAATTATCCAGAGGCTGTCTTTAGTTAATGTAATGGTAATAAATGTATTTCACCCAAACCCTTCTGGGCTTTGAGTGTCTCGACTTCATCTGATACTTTGAAAATAAAAGCAGGCACATACATAAATATAAAGAAGATACAAAAACTTTCTACTCTATAAAGGGGTAAATGGTCTCACAGCGTGATAAGAGGCTCTGGGGAGAATAAAAGACAATGATACGAAGATCTGCTAGAATCCCACACCATCAGGGTACAACATTATTCATGTTTTTCAAAGTTAAACCTCCTGTCCGCGGTTTCAGCAGCCGACCGCTCGAGCTCTGTGGATCTTGTCCATGTAAATGAGAGAATGCCGGGCAAGAGAACGTCCTCAATGGCCGTCTGTTCAGGCGGTGGATGTTGTCCCCGGGGTGTCAAGCACTCTTGTTTATTCAAGTGCTGGAAGTTAAGCTTTAAAGGAAACGCGCGATCGGGCCATTAAACACACAGATATCGCTCTGACCTCTATAAGTCTTTTATGGTAACCGTGCGAATGAATGTGTTTCCTTAGTTATATCGTTATCTATTTTTTCACCTTTTATATGAAATAATATTTGTCTCCTGTGTGTTTTATAAGTTTACAAATGTATACAGTTAGTTGATCGTATCATTAATGAAAAATATTTCGCTTAAATGCGTTTTAAAAAAATGCGGACTGTCAGCACAAAACCAGGCTATAATTGTACATATTTATTTTTCTTTTAAGTACGTCCATTAGAAATGTCAATGAATTGAAACTCATAACGGAATAAGAGAACTCTTCTTTATCTCTCAACTCTTCGTCATCTGTTGAATTAAAAGACTACCGCCCAGTAGCACTTAGTTCATGAAATGTTTTGAATAAATTCGTTTCATCTTCATTCGGCAACCAGCGCACTCAAGGACCCTATCGGTTTGCTTACTGGGCGAAATGAGTTTCTGTGACCTTGCACTTAAACCCCATCCTAGTGCACATACATTTTGCTTACTTTTCGTTGGCTTTTAATACTATTCAGGCAAGCAAGTTGATAGGGAAGCCTTGGAGGAACATCACCGACTCGGTGGATATACGATTTTCGTACTGATCGGCGACAGTACTTCCGAGTGAGCTCGGGGGAGGGTTCCCGTTAGCACCAGGAGCCTCAAGTGACAACTGTTCGATTACCAGGTCTGCAGATGATGTTGCCTTGATTGAACTTTTGGATGCTGATGAAACCAATTACAGACATTTAGATAAATCTTTTTCACGATCACAACTGATGTCAGGATAATTCAGTGGTATTAAACGCAAACTACACAAAGGATCTTAGAAAATAAGTTATATTCCTATGGTGCGTGTAACTGTTAATGGAAATTAAAAAGGTAAATTAATATAAATACAGTACTTTGGCACTTTTAGCGATTATAAATTGAATTGAACCACCAATAGAAAGGCAAGGTATTGAAAGGCGTAACAAATATTGGGTTTTTAAGGAAGTTAGAGATTTAATGTAGAAAACACAATGTTGACACTTCTTCTAAGATTTTTATTCAGGGCATTCTTTTGTATTCAGAGCCAGGGAAGATCCTTGTCTTTGAAGAACAAAAATAGGTACAAGAGTGTGTTTGGGACTGGTGGCAAAATTACCGGTGCATTCTTCTTAGACTAAATAAAATATGACGTAGCGACATATTTTTAGTCAAATCTTAGATGACCTCTCTCATTTGCTGTTTTAGGGTATACTCTCCTGCCCTCTGGCAGTAGGTACCAGATCCCCCATATAAAGACTATAAGAGCATTACTTGTATTATACCTAAAAGCATTCAATTGTTGAATAATGAAAAACAATGTCTACTGGAAGAGTTCTGATTGAGCGATGTTGTAGAATGTAGTTTTGTATTATGGTATTGTTGTATTGTTGTGGTTTATGTTATATGTTTATGAGCTTTTGACGTGCAAGACAAATTCTCTTAGGGGCAATTAAATTAATTCAATTCAAAGACTTTATTGTGGAGATAATGTAAACATAGTAATGTGATACATTTTAAGTATTGCGTGGAAATCATTTTAAATACAAGTTAAAATATTTTATTCTAAATAAAATTATAGTGCTTTCAGTACAGAAGTCGATATAATGTTTTGTTTAAAAAAGGTTTGAGTGTGAAGAGTTTCGAATATTTCCGGGGCCAGGACTGTATGTTTATTTGAAACCGCGCTTTTTTTGGCTCTCCCGGCTGTCACCTAGACTCGTCTGTTTCGGATATTCAAATGTAAAAAGACACTTGTCAAGCCATTAAACTCGAAAGAACTCTGTTCTCACTTTTTTCTGTGTTGTCAAGTCGGTAAATAGTTCATCCTACCTAAGAAAGTAACACCAATAACTGTTCTTTAAACAAAGTCTTTAAACTATAATGATAGTCCCATAAATTAATACTGTTGTTTTTTTGGGTGGTAATTTATGTGCAATTCAATAGTTTAATTAATTCTAAAAGATGTTTACACTGACCGATGTTCTATGATTTTATACCTGGACATTGAGTTATAGAACGTTTATCCGATTATCCTGAAGCCATTAGCTTCCTCTTCCTCAAAAACAGATTCACTGACTGTCTTTATGTGGGATCTGATCGATGATCAATTTAATCATGACAATAAAATGTCTGCAATTTATTATTAACAAAAAGTTTATAAATACCGAAGACATTACAAAATGTATTGGATTGCACTAGTGCTGTAATCGTGTTTAGTGATAAAATAAGCTTATGAAATGTGTAGTCACCCATGCTAAACAATGCATTTAGAAAAAATAAGATCAGACATTTTATTTAAAAATACTGTACGAGAAGTCTACATTGAGTCCCTTGTCTGCGGGTTAGGCTCCTGTGTTGAATTTAGCGACCGGCTGAATAACAGGACCAACGTTTTACAGCAATTTATCGATTTTTAGACGATACAGTGGAGGCTGGAGCGGTACTGCAAGACGTCTGAATCTTTCGCTTTTTTGTAAATTATTATATGCGTAATTTATTCAAACACATTAAAAAATTCTAATAACACCGAAATATCAAAGATAATGTATGACTCTATTAATAGTCATAATCCTTGAAGACCTTAACTAGCCTAAAACTACAAATACATCATTTTCGATTACAAGCTGGTAGGTAAGATTATTTATTGCTCGGACAAGATATAGTTTAAAGAAAGTGATGGCGAGGTTAGAATATTTAAAATTTCCCCCTAAGCATAAAATGTAAACTTTAACACATTTCTTAGGCATAAAATAATCAGAGTGAATGTTTGGATAGGACTTTATTATTTAACAAACAAAAACAACTGTACGTGTGGTGTTTGTAAACCAAACGCTTTAAAATCACTATAAGGGGTATTTGTAGTTGAATGTATGAAAGGGTAAATTTTAAAGTGAATGAGAAAAACATTAAAGCGTTAAGGTTAAGATTTAAAACGGTACGGAATTTACAATTCTTCAAAAGTTATTTGAACTGAAATTAGGGGTTCTATGGTCATATTAAGTATGCTACGATTACAAGTTAAAACATTATTCACACAACACATATCCTGTGACGTTCACGGTCTCTGTTGAAGTATTCACATTTTTTGCTTACTTAAAAAAATGAAGTCACGCAGAGGTATGTGTTCAACAGTGAATAAAGAAGGATACGCAATAGACAGCAGCGATTTAGGTCTTCCTGTCGGGGAAATCGCGGCTTGTCCCCAGATCGTGTATTGAACACTTAAACGATACACCTTTTGGAGGATCAGAGGAAAAACACGTTTAATCTCTTTGACTGATTGGTTGAATGCATAACAATGGGGGCTGTTGTGATCAAAGCGTCTCTCTTGCGTTGCATCACCACTGCAGCGAGTGAGATGCCTGTGGTGGTCGCGGGTGTTACCTGTCTGGGCAGAGCCTGAGGGGCGCTCAGATATAAGCTCCCGGGACAGAGCGGGTCATCTGGACAGAACAGACCTGTACACAGCAACGGGCATTTCCAGTTACTCGCTACTCGCCACTTCAGCAGCTGGAAAAGCCTTTCGGAGGATGGCACAATTTATGGGTCCCGTATTCTTCAGCAGCCGAAAGCCAACGAAAGACAAGAATATGGATTTTAACTTACTTCACAAAGACAAAAAACAGCAAAGCGCAAGTAATTATTTTTTCTTTTTCTACTTCTACTAGCCCTATGTCACAACTAGCATTATTAGTGCTATGTTGTACATTAACGAGGTATTTGTTAAAAAGGTTCTATAGGTTTTAAAACATTTAGTTCATGTTCACCTTTGAGTTATATATTTGTATAGACATTTTTCAAAATAAATTTGTTCCTGAACTTTTTCAGTTTGTCTTCTCACCTAATAATGTCTATTTCTCTAATTTTTCTTTCAACACGTTCGCTATAATGATTAAAATGTATAGAATCCACTCGATTTAACGCTTTCGCGATTCCCTCCGCTGCCTTATGTCTTCATAAGACTCCAGGTCCGAGGCCATGGGGTCGTCTCCCGAGCTGGACAGTTCTCTTGGCGGGGTGGCCGAAGGTCAGCGGAAGAGGAAGAGGACGATCTTCAGTCGTGCTCAGCTGTCCGAGCTAGAAGAAGCGTTTGCCTCAACTCCCTACCCAGACATCACCCTCCGAGAGCGCCTGGCGGAGTACACGCACTTGCCGGAGAGCAAAATACAGGTGATCATCTGTTCTACTGTTTCTAATGTGTAATCGCAATTTACAAACAGTTATTTTTCTTGCTCGAAACGGTTAAAGAACAAGCTGGTACAGAATAGGTTTTACTAGGTTTTCGATTAAAAAAAACTTTATTCAATTTTAAAACCTCTGACACAAAAATAGATTTAATCCGTTTTACCAGGAACGTTAGTTATGAAAATATTCTACATCAATTTGGGCATATTTCTTACCAAGAAAGAGTAGTAGTAGTAGTAGTAGTAGTAGTAACTGATCAGTCACTAACATTTTATATTCAAAGCTACAATGTCTAGCATTTCAAGGCATTGTGCAAAATAAAAAAAAGAAAAGAAAAAGCAGAATTGAAAAAGGGATCAATTTCTTTCATGACTGAGATGCTACACCCGCAGAAGAATAACCGCTCAGATGTCTCTTAAATACCAGCTACCTGCTAATCAAACATTACAAGTCAGTCAGAATAAACAAAGGTATGGGCAGCTTCATACCCATCAGCTTTAACAGTGCAGCAGGACATGTTCTATACTTCCACAAGTCTTTTGTAAAGAGACGCTTCATGTTGTCAGTTCTGTTAATTTTTTTAAACCACCAGTGTAACCTGGAGAAAAGCTGGTGTTACTCAGGGTTTTTACAATAGATATTATGATAAAATTATATCAGATAAAATGATTTCTATACACATTTGATGCAATAAGTACTTGTTCCTTAATTGTTTACAACAACAAAAATAAAAGCTCACATTTTCACCCTGTAAGCCTTGCTACCCAATGTATCCTCATTCATCAATTTCCAGATGTCTTGTAGTGGGGATACCTTGAGTTTGAAAAGTACGGGCCTAAACAATTGCTGCCTGCATGTTAGCCAGCCTTGGTGACAAAAATACTTCAGTATACAAGTCTGATTTAGATAAGGATGTCCCCCTGGATGTAATTCTGTACTGTTAGCAATTTCCTGTTCAGCGGGAGGGGATCACACGCTGTAATTTTTTTACTAGATTCTGTTTTGCTTCCTCAGGTTTGGTTCCAGAATCGACGAGCTAGAAGCATAAAAAGTGGGAAGCTAATCAGGCCCCTGAAAAAGTCTGGAAATGCCAATCGGCTGATTCCTTCTCCCTTCAGCCCTGTCATTACCCCTCCACTGCTTGGGGAGGCAGGGAGTAGAGCAGTGGACCACAGCCAAGCAGAGATGAGCCACAGACAACACCCAGATTGTCCAAGACCTCTGAAGTCTCAACAGTACAACAACTGGCAGGCTCTGTCGCAGCCCCCACTACAGCACCAGCCACAGCATCCTGATTTTCACCTCTCCCTGGACCTCCCTGACTTGTTGCACTGGGATGACTGCCATCTTTCCCAGCTTCTCACTGGCACAGAGGGAGTGCAGGACCAACCCGCCCCCAGCACACAGTGGGGTGACTTCAACCAGCTCTACAAAGCTCCTAGTTATAGTTGCATCAAACCCCAGCAGGGTCCCCATGTCATGCACCCTGTAATGGATCCACATGCTGCCCAGGTCCCTGTGGATCAGGTTGTTCCATCCCACCCTCAGCAATTCTACTGGGATGTCCCCCAGGGGCAGGACCCCAATTCCAGTGCTCAGCAGACCTCCCTGAGCTACATCTCTGATCTCATTTATAACGCCGCCATAGTCACCAACCTGGTGGATTTTTGAGATCTTGCAAAGAATGAATACATTTACTCTCCAGAAACATGGGAACTGCTGCTAAGGATAATTCTCTGACGTCAGACCAAATCCAACTCTGCTGTCCTCTGCACTGGTATGAGTCTGACAACCTGTTTACAGGTTTCCTTTATGTTCTGCTTCATATTTTCAGCCTACAGGCTGCATTCCTGTGTTACGAGGGTCAGGTGAAGCTCAGCTGGAAGCATGGTGTCATGCTGCCAGCCTTCTGCGTATCAGTTTGTACTTGGAGGACACAACTACTGCTGTCTTTGAACTTCTCACATGTTCCAATTTCAAGACTTTGGTACTTGTGGGTTTTGTATGGTTTCACTTTGAAACTGATTGGACATTGTTCATTTTCTGAGATACCCAAGATAAATTGAGAAACTACACCTTTACATATCATCAATGCAAACTGTAGAATTTTGAAGTTGGCTTTGTGTATATTGCCTTATGCCAGCCTTTCTCATTTCTGTTAGGATGTATTTAGAGTAGAGACAGAATCAGGCAAGGGTCAAGAAACCTGTGAAAAGTTTTAGTTTCTTTTGTGTAGTTATATTTCTCACTATTTTTAAATATTATAACAATTTAATTTTAATTGGCTATTAAATGCAAGTAAAGATCAACCAGAAGATTCTCACTTGGATTCTTACTATTTTGTCATACCCAGAGCAATCATATACAGAACATCTAATTATTAATGATTTTGAAATAATTTATCACAGAAGAGGAGAAAGATCACCAATAAAATGTAAGTAAAACCTCAGGTTCAAGGAGGATGTGTTAGTTGGACTTGTCTGACTTTTCTGTAATATGTAATATTTTTATTTATTTTAACTTTTGTTATTGAATTTTAATATATATTTTAAACATTATTTGTTTATTATTTGTTGTAAACTAATTATGTGTTGTTATTTGTTGTAAACTGATCCCTTCTGCATTAATTACTGTAGTCTATGGGTATGAGTGACATGCTCAGGAGACTAAATCACAAGTAACAGACCCAATACCATGTACAAGATCATAAAAAGATTGGCTTTAATAATTTGGTAGGATGTAATGGTCACGGCTTCTGGAACACCCACCCAGTGTCGCTACTCAAAAGGCAGTACATTGGATAACTTTCATGCACAGGTGCTCAAACACGTATTTGTGGATCACAGACTCACCTCAGAAATTGTTATGGAAAGGGTCAAAATGGATTGAGTAACAAAACTGTTTCATATTCTTCTGGATTGTAGTTTTGTTTATTGTTGCAGGGAGTGTAATCTTTTGAAATTTAGTCCAGATTAAAAATGGTTGTTTGTGGAAAGAGATTGTGCTGCAAATAATTATTTTTTATAACAGAAAGATTTTTTATATAGAAAGCAAATAAAAAAATAAATTAAAATTAAAGCTCCAGTTCTATCAGCTTATCAGATCTTTAATTCTAGCTGGATTTAAGGTTTTCACTGCTGTATTACATATCTGTTGTTATTATTATGAAGATATCACAGTATCCCTAACAGTTTGGAAGTCCTGCTGGACAGTGATCTCTGCATATCATAATCATCCCTAATACCAAATAATCTTTGAAAATACCTTAATCCGGGTGTCAAATTTAAATTCTTTGAGAGATACTTTTTTTGACTCCAGATGTAGCTACATCATTTAATCTTAAACCGATATGAAGGGTTATACAGCAACTGTCTACCTACTGTATTATTAAAAAGAAAAAAAAACAGAAGAGTTTCATAGAGTATAGGGTAGCAGGACAGCAGAAATCTTTATTTCAAATATTAACAGTGAATATTGCTACACGATTAGTTAACACCGTACATTTGTACATTAACAGTGTACATTTGGTCAACCTGATACTAACATCCCTCTGCATCCCACTTACATTTTAATATACAGTGTATCTATTTGCATGGAAGAGATATGATTACTGCTGACAAAATAATGCCCATTGTACTCTTTGCTTCAGTGCCAAGTATCTTGCAGCAGCATTAACCGTGGGTAAACTAATCACACCAGACCGCTGAAGCTCAGCAAGGCCGGGTCCAGTCAGAACTAGGATGGGAGACCTCAAAGGAATTGGTGCTCAGCCCTGGTTCCAGGGGACTGCTATGTTGTGAGTTTTTTTTCTAGCTGTTCTTAAAATCACCCTGGCAAATTGATACCTCATCATAACAACAACAATAATAATAGGGATTATTAGGAGGTCATGATTGGTAAAGTCCAAGGGGAAATTTGGCCATGACACCAGTGTAACACCCCTACTCTGTTCTAGAAACGCGCTGGGATTTTTAATGACCACATAGATTCTGTTTAGTAGTATATAGAGCAAAGTCTGAAAAGAAAAAAATGACACCAAATTTGGTACTTCTTTCAGTTGTTCAGTGTGCAAGGTAGGTGGGAGGAATTACATGTGCCACTGTTTTGTGGTAATTGAATCTTGTGATAAATTCCATAATTTAGAAATAAATAAAGGTAGATTTTAAACTAGTATTGATTATGAGGAAAATCTTTTTTGTTTGCTTGTTCTAAAATGGGAAAGCAGGTAGAAACGGGTGAATGGAAAACCTAATAATCACAAACACCCCCCGTTAAGATTCTCTAAAAATATGCTAAGAAGTATATTTAAAACATCCCGGACATGTTTATCCACTTAAAATACAAGAATGGTTAGTTATTGTTTTAAATAGTAAGGTTCTGTTGTATCTTTTAAATTTATGTCTTTGTTGCATTTAAAAAAAAGCTCACAGCAAAACCACTTCTATTTTTCAAACGTCTCAGATATATGTGGCAACCGCAGACTGCTTTTAAAAAAAAGAATAATGAGCAAATTAATTGGAAGTGTATGCAATGTAACCCAATTAAAGTCACATTTGGCTACCAAGAGTAAATTGCTGTAAAGTCTGAAACAAGACAAAGTAATTAAAAAATGCAATGTAATTTATTCTGAAGTAATGAAGACAGTAGTTCAGACTTTATGTACATAGTTCTACTACATTCCACAAACAATTAATAAATTAATGATTGTTTATATAAATACATTAGAAATTGGTGATGCTTGTATTGCTTAGAAGTGTGTCAAATTAGAACAATTCATATTGTATAAACAGAAAGAAACCTTCCTTTTTTGATTGTGTTTCTGCTGGAGAAAAAGGCCTATAGCTCGCCCATCTCTCCCTCCATGGTCCTTACGAGCACATATAGCTCTGCCAGACCTACCACTGAGGCAGCAATCACAGCAGACAGGACCCTCTGTGAAAAGCAACAGGACAGAAATGTAACATGATACTGGTGTAGAAGTGAGAGTTTAAAATTACTATTCTCTGGGTTCCAAAAGCAAAAGACAAACTGCAATTTTGCTCGACAACAGTACCCTTATATACTCTCTTGCTATATCAGTTTATTTTATATCAGTCCTTCAATGTTTTAACACATCGGTTTTGCTGTAAAAAACTCAAAAGCAATTGAATTTCATGAAATATAATTTCTGTAATTGGAACTTATAACCACTGGTGCATTACAGATAGCAATGTACAATAATTCCAAACTAGACAAAGAAAAAAAGTACAATTTCTGACATAGATCACATTTGTATATGAATATACACAATACAAGGTGGGAGATAAAATGTAAATATAAATAGTTCTAAAACCAAAAACTATGGACAGTGCATAGTGATAGTATACCCTTAGAGTAAAATATATTAAAATAAAAAACATGGCTGTTTGTCTTATATCTTAGTAGCATTTTCCCAATAAGTCTATGGAATGCAAATGATTATGGGATTAAGCTGCACAGGGAACCTCAGGCAGATTGCAGGCTGATATTTAAAGACCAATTTAGCTGCACTTTGTACAAGGCAACTTGTGAAGAGGACTGGTCTCTTACCGCAGCAGTCTCTGTGAAGATATACTGGCTGCCCAAGTAGGTGCAAGCAAATGCTGCCACTACTGTCACCAAGAAATTGAAGATGGTGACAACCACAGTCTTCATGGACCGCACTGCAAACCAACAAGGATGATTAGGCTTTAGGATATGCGTGTAAACATCCAATTGCATGTTAATGGACCAATATATGAATCATAGTTTTCACACAGTAGCAGTTTTGACTCAGTTTCATATACGTTTTGCTAAAATACTATTAATAATATTGTAAAATTAAATGATAGTTACATTCTTAGTATTTGAGCCAGAAAATAAAAGATTACTGTGTGTAAATTCTTTATACATACAACTGAAATCGAACTTAAAGATAACATTACATTTACATAAAGAAATATGTAAATTACTATAGACCCAGTTTTAAAGCAAACAACTTACATGCTATCAAGTTGTAGACAAACTTACACCAAATTACATTTCACATGCTATTGCTGAATTACAGCAGTGAAAGGAAGTATATCAGTTATCCTTTCACAAAATTTCCTTTTGTGGACTAACAGTTTTTCAACCACAGTCAGATAACAGTATTCCAATCAGAGAGGAGAAAATATGCAAACCTTGTCTTCCAAAGTCAGCTAAAGATCCTTGTCGATTTAACTCCTATGAGAAATGGCAGGACATAAATTGGATTACTTTCTAAATTCCCTGTTATGACCATTTGCTTACATATCCCATATTCTGGTCAGCTCCATTTATCCACAGAAACTTTACACATAAGAACATCATGATATTGTAGCATGAAAGCTGCACTGTAGAGCAATTAATGTTGTACATATACTAGTGTAACTAAGGGGGAACACTGGAGTACTCTGAACAATGACACTACACAGTGCTTCCTCTGGATGTGTTCGAGTGAACATTCTGGATGTCAGCTCCAGGCCATGGCTACATTTCTATGGGAAACAATCAGTGTTCCACCAAGCGAGCTTTCATACAGCTGTGAGAAGAAGACAAGTGGCTTGATAGGAACTGTGGAAACACAAGATTGGTGGGACTGAAATACAAAGTGAAAGGGGAAACTTATCATTCTTCTGTAAGGTGATGCTGGAACATGAAAACGTAAAACCAAAGAGGAGCCCTCTACCTGGCAATTGACATTCCTGGTAATTCTTAAGTACTCTTCATTGGCCAGCTTGGCTTTCATCTTCTCTAGTCGGGCCACAAGCTCTGGATTCTACAACGTTCCACCAAAACATAAATAATAAAAACACTAGAAGCAAAACTCAAGCTTACGACTACAAAAGATCTTCCTTTTGGCAGTTTAAAGCTGAAATCATACTCTTTTGGGGTCAGATTCCTAGACCCTTTGAAAACTTTAATTACCAGACTGATAATGTTCTGCATTTTCTAGAGGCCTGTATACCTGTTCAACTGTCAGCAGAACAACAGTGTTGGAATCTTCTACAAATAGGACAAATTCTAAGAAAAAATGAAGAAAACCAGGAGATAATGATATCAGTGCTGGCAGAAATTACAATTTATACGTAGTTTCCTTTTTCCATGATGGAAATATGTTTTTACTTTGATTTATTCACCAAAATAAATAACTTGAAACATGCATAATGCCAGAGACTCAATTGCAAACTGCAAAAGCTAGTATTTGTTTTGCTCAGGCCTGTGAGAAATCTGCTATGTGAAAAAGAACAAGTTCATACCCTAGGAGGTTTCTGTATTTCTGGCAAGTAAACTTCACTGTCTTCAAATAGCTCATGAAGATACACTAGAGTTCCTGAGGGAATAAATTAAAATTAATATGAGGTATTAATCCATCCATCCATCATGAGAAAACCCATAATCTTGGAAAGCATTGCATTCTTTAGCCCATGACCTAAAGCATAGGGCACATGGGAGGACAACACCTGGATAGGACATAAAACCACAAATATCATCTAGAAATAATGCTAAACACTACAATATTGAGTAGGACTTTTCAACACCAGAGGTTCTCCAGCAGTAAAAAAGTTTTCAAGGAAAAATATTAAAATTCTAAAGCACACCATTTAAATTTTAAATGCACTGTTCTAAGCATACATGGCAATTTGTAAAGTGTTTATTGTTTCAAATAATGTGAGCAAGCCCGACACAATGTTCTAAATTAGACTTGTAGGCTATTCGGGTAGGAAAACAAACAGTCCTGTTGCGGTGCACATCGTAATTTATTGAACTGGCATGATTATAGCGAGCATGCATTTCGCAAAACGTGTCATCGTGACAGGTGTCTGCTTACCTCGATCTCTTAAACATCTTTGGAGTCTTCTGGCCACGGTAAAAGAGACTGTCGCTTGCCGTCCCTGTCCAAGGCAGCTCTCCAGTTCTGCCTGCAAATCTACAGGAAGATACTTCTCCTTTTTCATTAAATCTCTTATTTTTAACCTCGATTGTTCCCCGACAACGAACGAAGAAGCCATTTTCAGGGTATAGACTTTTTTCCGCTGTACGCGACCCTGATAGACAACAGCAATCAGGACTTTTGATTTGAAGAAATTTAAAAAAATTAAATGATCTTGTCTGTTATTCCTAGAAGATGTTTCCAAACTATACAAAGACGACGTGTACCTTCTCTTCCCTTAATACCAACGAAGATCAGAAGAAGTTTATTAGTAGTTATTCTAACTCTGGCTACTCTAGATATGAGCTGCTGTTTTTTTAGTTTATATGTAACTTTGTAACGTTTACTTTATACAGACTCAATAAATTGCGCTATTAATATTAATCAAATTTAAACCAACAGCCTACATTCCCAAAATCAAAACACTACAGGCGGATGTGTTCGAACCCGTTTGCACCCTCACCGCATGACGTCACAGACACGATTTGATTAAACGTTCATTTTGTTTTTGTTTTAAAAGTAGATTTTTATTTTAATCTCAAACTATAATGAATGTATAAATTATACTGAACTATAATGAATTTATAGTTTTATCAACTAGAGCTTTGGCTTTTTTTTTCGTGGCGCTGTGCATTATGGTTAATCTCGTAAAATAATAAAAACTCGATGAATTATATATTGATTGTGAAAATGCATTTTCACGGGATAACATAGCCACGACACAGGATTGGTTATGAATAAGATTTATTTAGATTGAATCGGTTGGGGCTTTTCCTGAGCAACTGATCAGCCTGACCGAGAACAGGCCGCGCAGCTGTGTCCGAAACAAAGATGGCGGCCTGCGTGCTCCGACGGGGTTTGCTGTCATCAGTGGCAAAGTACAATAAGAAACACACAATCAGAGTTTTAAGTTTTGAATACAGTAGCAAACACGAAGTAAACAAATTTCGGTTACCATGCTCAACTTGTAGTTTGTTTAGTACGCAGCAGGCACGATTCCTGTCGTCAAGGTAAGACTTGTGTGCTTGAGTAACATGTTTGTGTAGTGGACGTATACTTTTTCTGGTCAGTAACAGTCGCCAGAAACAACAGTAATGTTACGCGGAAGCTGGGGAAGACTCCCCTGATGTAGGATCTGTACGGAAATCTGCTGAAATATGCCCCCTAAAAGCCGTTAGGAAACAGTACTTCTAGATCTGGGCAGCCATGGTCAGTTTATTGCTCCACTGTAGTGTGTATTCGCGGTGATCTGTCCAGCAAACTGCACGGTTTCGTGATCTCCAGGGTCGGGAATTTATTTCCTCGGCAGATGTACTAAGACTGAGCTTTGCCCCTTCTACGCCGTGTTTAGAAATATGAGGTTCTACTGGTAACCGATTGCAGCTTGGTGCAGGCTTTCCAGGTTTTTACCATGTGGCGCTGAGTTACGAAATGCCTTGATTTTATTCTGGAACACCGTAGTTTGCTATTTTGTTCCGGTAAAGCAAGCGATTCCTAATTATTTCCTTTATTTGGACAAAATATAATAATTAATTAATGCTACAGTATGTATTTTATACAGTAATTACTTTCCTGATTGCTAAACTGATCTTTGATAAAGAACGTTCACTTATTGTTGTTCCAGTCCGTTTAAACTGGGTTGAAAAGTTAGACTTTCCTGTATCGCTGTTGTACAAGTAAATGAGAAGCTTTCACTTTTAAGATGAAACTTTCCCGAGGAGGTCCATTGCGACTAAGTTAGGTGTCTCTAGAAACAAACCTAAACCTTTTCGCTACAGGTTTCAATTATGAAAACTCTTCCAAACTTAGTGGATCCTTTGTCCTGTAGTTCTGCTTTTGTTGGTTTTTAATGTCATATAACTTTTACAAGGTCTACATATTATTTATGTGCTTAACTATTGGGGCATTTACTGTATGGTGTATTTGCTTGTTAAGGTCTTCTGAGATACTTAACATTTTTTTAAATTGAACGTCTAGAGTGGCCTGTAGAGCTCCTGTCAAGTGTGTCTTATAGATAAGGACTGAATTGCCAGTTTCTGAAAGCCTGAAACTTTTAAGTGTGCTCAGCTTAACAGCTTGTTTGTTAATTCATTTTGAACAAGAATCAGAATAAAACAAATAAGGTCCAACCACCTATTTGATTTAACAAAGAATTTGCTTAATTGATAGATCACTTACAAATACTCCTGTTTTAATCATCTCGGTCCTTTTGTAATGGTATAATAATAATAATAATAATAATAATAATAATAATACACTTTATTTTATATAGCGTCTTTAAAGGTGGCTTCTTTATTTATACAATAAAAAAAAGAATACACAAGATGAAACACAATTACAATACACAGGGGAGACTGTGGATGGTGGTACATAAGTAAAGTAGGAGCAGAGGGGTGAGGAATGGAACCAGTTAAGTGAACGCTCTTCTAAAGAAGAAGGTTTTGAGTCTGGATTTGAAGGAGTTTAGAGAAGGTGACTCTTTGATCATTGGGGAGTTCCAGAGCTTGGGGGCATAACAGGAGAAGGCCCTGTAAGCCATAGAGTGTAGACGGGCTTGGGGGACAGTTAGGAGACCAGAATTAGAAGAGCGAAGGTTACAAGGTGGGGAGTAGGGCGATAATACTTCAGACAGTTACTGAGGTGCCAGGCCATGCAGAGCCTTATAGGTGAGCATGAGTATTTTAAAGTCCACACGGAATTTGACAGGAAGCCAGTGCAAGGACTCCAGGATGGGAGTAATGTAATCACTTGCACTAGACCTGGCCAGGATTCTGGCTGCTGAATTTTGGACATACTGCAGTTTGTTCAATGTAGATTTAGGGAACCCAGCGAGTAGAGCATTGCAGTAGTCAAAGGAGTGGAATCAATTTGATGTGCCCATGTTTGCTGTGTAAATGATACACGATGCAAATTGACATCTTTAAAGTGGAGGGGTGTGCCATCGCTTGTAACCCTTTTGTTAAATGTGACAGAATCATATCAGTGATGTCAGGAAGCAGTAACTGAGATTAATGATTAGACAACAGTTTGATCACACATGATCTGGTGTTGCATTAAGATGAGCACAGTATTCAGTAAAACCCAGGCACACATGTGCATACAAGGATCAAACTGAAGTGTTTTTCTGCTTTACCTTCTGCTGTACGTTTGATGTTTATGATTGATCCAGGAATGCTTATTAATGATCTTTCAGGCTCAACAGGTGTTTGTTTATTGTTGACTAATTGAACTTTGCTTGACAGAAACCGACCAGAGGGCAAAGTTTTAGAGACAGTGGGAGTTTTTGAGGCGCCAAAGCAGCATGGCAAATATGAGACAGGCCAGGTAAGAACACCCGGGTTTCCACTGCCTGACTCAGTTCAGTAAACTCTGTCATGGTTCCCAAGAGGCTCAGCTATTGGAGAGCTTTGCCTGGAGTGCAGGCAGAGAACTCAGTGCTGTCTTGGACAGCTAACTGAGTTCTGTAAGCATTTTTATAGTCTTCAAGAGTGCATTTATTGTGTTTTTGCTGTAGATAAAATCTAAGCACCTGAGCTCAAAACCCCTTTGTGTTGTTCTGCTGTTCTGTCTCTGTTTGAGAGCTTCAATATTTTACTGGCTGTCTGTCTTGCAGTTATTTCTACACAGTGTGTTTGGGTACAGAGGGATAGTGCTGTTTCCCTGGCATGCCAGGCTGTATGATCGGGATGTGACTCCACCAGCCACAGAAAGGTATCCATAGCTTTTTCTATTTCCCTGCAAAATATTAGGTAATTTATTTATGTATTCCTCAATTTTCCAAGTAAAACAACAATGTAAAATGTCACTTATATAGGCCTTTCCCAGTCAATAGAAAATTCTCACTGCTTTGATTTTTGCTTCGGTAGCCATAGTTCTCATAGAAATATGCTAATTTTTTTTTGATTTCAACATGATTGTATTTGCGGTTGTGACGAGCGCTGCTCTCCCTGCCAGGATGTGATCCCGGCTGCTCGCAGCCTCCAAGCATGCACAGCTCCCTCTGTAGACAGCTGCTAACTACGATACACTTGAAGTCTGGCTCCTCTGTTGCAGCAGGGTTTACACTGTCTTGATTTCAGAAGGGGGCGACACCACATTAGTAGCTCTCTGCCAGCACGGAGCCCTGTGACACACCTCCCTTCTGCTTCTCGGGGACGGGTTGCAAGATTACAGAAGGGACATGATTACTCAAGGAGTCCCACTGCTGTGATGAGTCGGTGTTGCATGACTGAAGGCAGTACAGTCATTTTAAATATCAGACTTAATTCATAAGGATTATCTGTTAGTTGAACCCAGCCCAACTCATGTATGGACCATGAACAGTATTGAATATTCAGAGTACATTTACGTATGCCTTACAATTCTGATGTTTTAAAGCAAACCAGAAACCCCAGGCAATCATGGTTCAAAGGAAGTCAAAGGCAAGACGCACACCTACTACCAGGTTCTGATCGACACCAGGGACTGTCCTCACATAGTAAGTACTTTTTTCACAACTCCTCCAGCTCTCGTCTAACCCAGACACTTAAGTTAGTAACCTTATACTTCAAAGGTTAAAATCTGATCTCCATACTTTAAGTAGCTCTGACCCAATCTTACTATTGACACTTTCATTAACTCTAGACTGAACCAAACTAGAACCATCCACTTTAAATATATTGTTACATAGTATGTATCTATCCTCACACTTTTTTTATTTCTCCAAAACTGTTTTTGTTATCACATAAAACACAGTTGCCTTTAGGTATTTGATCCACAAGACAGAATGGTACAGGTAATCTTCATTTTAAGGTATTTTGGGCCCCTTGATTAAACAAAAAAATTTCAACAAAATAACAGAACAGACCACAAAAGCATGTGATTGGAGAAATTATTGCAGTTCGACCTCTTAACTGCATCACCTATATTATCCCATTAAAACAAATTACATCCTTTAAACCTCTACAAAATGTTCTAAATTTAGAGAAAATCCTTTAAAAAACTGTGCATGAATTTATTATATGCTGTTCAACAGATCTTTTGTTGGGGGTTGCAAGTGTCAGTCTTGGTCTGTAGTGAAAACTACTTGTGATTGTTGCTGACCTGAAGTCAAGGTGCTATGTTGAGGGTCCTGGGACCTTTCCTGCAGTGTCCTGCTGGCATGTAGACGTGTCCTTGTGCTGATCATGTAACTGACTTTCTTGTGAGATGAGTGTCACAGTTGTGCTGTAGATGCCAGATTTGGGCAACATTTGGGAACATATATGTGATGTGCTTGAGCAGCTGCATCCGCTGCAAAAGAGTAAAGGTTAACTTTACGTCATAAGATAGGAAGGAGAAACGCAACGTTTCAGATGCTGAGCCTTCTTCAGGTGCGAAAGAGACTAAGGTGGCGAGAATATAAAAAACAGGCGGACGAAGACGGAGCAGGCGAGAAAACAGTCGCCACAGGTGGTGAAAGTTGTGAGCTTGGACAGTATATGGCATCCAGGGCTCAATGCATCTTGAGTCAAGAACATGCATAAATATTTGTCCAAGATCTACTCAAATCATATGTATTACTTCTAGTGGAGGCCATATTCATCAACTAGCCTGTGACTTTTACACCTGGCCCAGTGTATATACTGTATATGTGTGGATGTTTCTCTTGTATAGTATGTGTATATAATTTACTCTAATCCTAAACTGAACCCATTCCCATTTTAATTACTATAAATTCCAACTGTAACTTGCTCAAATCTCACCCTAAACCCAACTTTAACAGTTAGATTAATCTTCAGTCTAGCCCAACACCTGTAGAAGCCTTCATCCAAAAGGTCTGGCCTTTATTAGACATGTACTGGAGATGTTGCAGACATTTTGAACGTCTTCTTTTTCCATTTTCTCCAGTCGCAGAGATCTCAGACTGAAGCGGTGACGTTTCTTGCCAACCATGATGACAGCAGGGCTCTCTATGCCATTCCAGGTACTCTGGCCTCTGCAGGAGGAAGGGGTGGGTGGTGGGAGGATGGGCTTGTTTGCTGAATCCATTTTGTTCTCTTAAAATTGATAACATTTTAAAAGAGAAAACATTGTGTATGTTACAAATAGGGGTGCATTGTCTGCACATAGCAGTGCTGTCAATGTTTCAATTCCACTTTTAAAATGTCAGGGAAAATTTGTGATTTGTTTCAAAATATTTTTTTACTGCAATATAAAGATTGTGATTTGAGTATTGTGTGTACACTGAGATAATTCATGGAAGGTGGTTAGTCTGAGTAACGACTGGTGTTAATTGCGGACCATGCAGTTCAGCCACACAAATCATTAGCCTGTATTAAGGGACATGTTAGGATGCAAACATTTCTAACTCTTGTGAAACAGATGGCACGTACTGTTCTTCTGCCATACAAAGGCCCAGGAGAGTTTTGTTGTAATATTATTTTGCTTCACTATGGCAAAAATCTTGACTCGATTTTCTTATGTTGGTATACAGCACAAGCCTCATTACTGTGTATTTTCCTCTCTGTTTCTACAGGTCTAGACTACGTGAGTCACGAGGACATTCTGCCTTATAGCTCTACAGACCAGATTCCCATTCAGCATGAACTGTTTGAGCGCTTCCTCATGTACAACCCATCTAAATGTAATGTACTGCAGTGAATTGCAGTTTCATATTTGCTTTCTACTACTCTACAAATTTCTTGGAAGTGAATTAGTTAAACACTTTGCACGTTATAAAAAAGCGGGAACAACTGGTTACAAGTTATTGCCTTTATTGTCATATTAGGTTAAAATAAAGAGTTATTTTAAGTAGCGGTCTGAGGCACTAGAGGATTCTAGTTGAAAGTTTTTGCTTAGAACTCATTAGGACCTGTGATAAGCCCTGTATTCCAAACATTGTTTAGTTAATTTGAACTCAGTCATCCTACTGTAACTGGGACTTCCATTGGCAATTTGCCCATTGTCATTACAGTTTAATGTCTTTTCAGCATCCAGTATAAAAGTGATGTATCTCTCAGCTTGCAGAATCATCAGTGAGACTCATTGCTCCTCTTGTTGTTGCTAATTGACATGCACTGTTGTGCTTAGTCAGATGCCTAGTGGTTCTGACAGGTGGGCATGTCAAAGGAGTGTAAAGGGCCTCTCATTCTCCCTGTGTGGTGCAAAGGGGCAGTAGTTGATGAGTCAAATTTGTTTCCTGCTCGTAAGTGAGTAAGTATTAAAAAAATAAATCAAAATAGAAAGGTATACATTCATTTCAAGAGTAGCCTTTTAAATTTACTTATGATGGTATTTATTTATTGACATAACATTGAATCCAACTTCCACTGCAAATGTATTAGCTTTACTTATGGTATCCAGCATCACGGTGTGAATCCTGTAACTTGTGAAAGAAACAAGGCGTCCTGATTCTACATCAGCTGAAACCATCACCAGTGACTGACTGTGTGATAATAATGAGTACCAGGCTGCTCATGTGGCCCCCTCCTTGTTGAACAGCCCCACCTTTCATCGCAAGAGACACACTGCGTGCCTGGCAGGAGAAGAATCATCCGTGGCTGGAGCTGTCGGACGTACATCGAGAGACAACTGAGAACATCCGTGTCACTGTCATACCCTTCTACATGGGCATGAGGGTAAGGACATTCCTCGTTTCTGCTGTGACAGACTCTCCTAGCAAAGAGAGCTGTTCCAGCCTGCTCTTCGTACTTCATTCTCCAGAGAGTTACCAGTGTCCTGTATTGAAAGCAGAAGGGAAGTCCTGAGCCCCGCGTTTTCTGCTTCATTTCGGCTCGGGGAAAAAGCTTTGATAAGTAATCTAACAGCAGCTTCCCTTTGGCCTAAATGTATTAGTTTGGTGAATTGGTAGTGTATACCAAACAAACCCTCTCTTTTTATCCAACTTGAAACTTTAGGCATTCATATGTTCTTACATTTTTCTTGTAAACTCTAAAGGACATTTGTGTTCACTAGATGTACTGTATATATTTACTTATTTTCCAGATGAAATGGAAACAGCTGTAAAGTTAAGGCTTAGCTCTAAGTATTATTTAGTGCTAATTGTTTTGCTTTTTTTTCCCCAGGAAGCTCAGAATTCACATGTTTATTGGGTGAGTGCCCTTTTCTTTTCCAGAGATCTCCGTATCCATACTCCATACGTAACCCTAAAATACTCCGCATTTTTTGTCAGTATATTGCTGTACAGTTGCATCTGGGACTTCTGAGTGTACGTCCTGCAGCTGTACCCTGCCCTGTGCAGAAGTGTGTTTTAGGAGCATGTTTTTTTAAACACTTTAGAGAAATAGTGCAATGCTGCGTGTCTTTCCATTTACAAATTTAGGTAATCTTAATTTCATTTTTAAAATTAAATAATTTAATAACTGAAGATATGTTAACTAACGTGTCCATGTTGTCAAGAAAAGCAAGCACTCAAGCTAAAAGAATAATAGACTACTTTTTCTATCTTCTACATACAGATTTTTATTAAAGGTAAAATGAGTTATTTTTAAATGCCTAACAATAACCATGTTTCTTCTTGATCTGGTTTCATAAATGACTCTGAAATCGGATCACAGCTAGAGAGAATAGGTCAAAGGCCTATAGAAATGTTCAATTAAGCAAACAGTCTCTCTTCCCTTATCTGTCTCAAGAGCCAGTTCCTCCTGAATGCATTCCCATCATCTTAAACATAACCTCTCAAAGCCTGCCGTGATTTCATTTCTCTCCCTCTATGGACATCTCCATCACTTTTCCTATTTACTTCAAGACCACCCTCTCCCCACTGCTTCTCTGTCAGACACTGACCCCTCTCCTCTTCCCAACACATTCCACCTCTGGTATGTTTCTGCCTCTTGCTCTTGAGCAACATTTGCAGAATCTGCCCCTTCCTACCTGCTGCTCTACACAGCTCCTTTTCCAGACTCTGCTAATCCCCCACCTGGTTGTAGTAATTCCCCCTCGGCCTGCTTCCCCATTTCACCGCTTGTACTCTCACCATTCTTGTCTTCCTCGCTTTTCTCTTGCTATTTTCCATTTCTTTCTCGCCCCGCTATTGCTGTATACGTCCAGTTCAAACCCCAAATCTTACGTGTTCTCTCTGCCACTCCGCTCCTGCCTGTTTTTAGTCTCATTTGTCCTGAAATCCCATCGTGCCCTTTTTACCCTTCTTCCTCTCAAACATCTATACACCCTCTTCACTTTCCCACTTACCTCTTCATGGTGGAATAGAACTACCAACAAGAACAAGACCTGCTCAGAGGCTTTGTTGGATGCATTGGGCTCTGTTTCTGCATTGGCTCAGAGTCTGTGTGTTGCCCCCTTGACCTGCAGTGGCGATACTGTATCCGCTTGGAAAACCTGGGGAATGAAGTGGTCCAGCTGAGGGAGAGACACTGGAGGATATTCAGCCTGTCTGGGACCCTGGAGACTGTGAGGGGTCGAGGGGTTGTAGGAAGGGTTAGTATGAACTGAGTTCTTCATTTTTATCCGTTTAGGAAATGCATATATATATATACAAACACAAGCAGGCTGTTGCTCAAATTTACATTTAGCTCAGATGCACTCCTTTATGCTCAGCATGTTAGAGAAATTAGTATTGGGCTCTTTCCTTAGTGATGCAAAAGGACATCCTAGATACTTTAGACGACACAGAGGACTAGATAGGACACATTTATTTGTGCTATTGTTTGTGGTTCTCAAAACTAGTCCTGTGGGACCCCTCTATCTCCTGGTTTGGTAACTGTAATTAATCTGCTTATTTTTTAGACTTTAATTTCTACACCTCCAGTCTGGGATTCAACAGTTTACATTAACTTCAGAATACAGCATTTTTTACATTTTCCCCTCAACTTGCTAATTAAGAATTTGCTTCCTTGTTTTTGACTAAAGCTCTTGACAAGTGATCAGTTGTGATGAACAGACACAAGTGGGAATGAGAGTGCATCAGCCCCTCCTACAGGCAAAGGACCTTCTGCTTAAATCAAATTAGTCACATTTCTTCTAAAACACCTGATAACATTCACAAATTAGTACAGAGTTTATATCACTTCAACATCAATTCAATCAATGTCATCCCCTAAATAGCTGAAAACAAATTATGAATATGGAATATTTATTTTTTCTCAAATCTTAAATTGAATTTCATTGGCATTTAATTAAAAACTTAGAGCAAACACCCTGAGGAGCAGAGGGTCCTACAGGATTGGAACTAGAAACCACTGTACTATGAGGTTGTTGAATTGATTGAAGTACCTCCTAAGTGTCTCAATCAAGGAAGGATTTTTAGGAAGAAATTATTTTGACTTTCCATAAACTCAGCAATTTATGGTACTTTGTCAAAAAACACTTTACGTTATTCTTTCAAAATATATAAACTCAAGAAAATATTTTTTTTCCCTTGATAAATCATTTGAGGACATTAACTCGGCATAATATGTCAGCTTCTGAAAACAATAAAATAACACCCTTTTAAAGTGTTTTATTATTTAAACGTTGTTTTGTATCATTGTATTTGCTGATTCCTGGATGAAGGTGTTTGCTGAAGCAATGGAAACTCCAGTGTCAATGTTGGCAGATGGAGTGGTGTTGCCTTGGCTCTGGAACAATCAGGGGAGCTGTTAGAGTGGTGGATGAAACTGGAAGCTTGTGTTCAGACTGTGCAAGCAGAAAGCTGAATGTGTCATTTTACTTCTTGTTTTCTTAAGGAACCAGTATTGTCCAAAGATCAGCCAGCATTTCAGTACAGCAGCCATGTCTCCTTGCAGGCTCCCAGTGGCCACATGTGGTAAGAATCACTGTCATTGTCACACAAACCTTTGAAACGATCCTGCCTGAAATTTGTTCAGTGCCGATTTTATTTTGGGAAAAAAAGGACTAATCTTATTTAGCAACATACTTTATGTAATATATCGGATACTCCCCCAGAGAATCTCATTAAAAAGTACCGTGTATATTTATGATGAACTAATGTGAAATGTGTATTGTTTGCCAAGAGTCAAGCATCAGGCCTTTATTGATCACACACTGGTTTGGCTTTCAGCTCAGAGGCTAAGGAGTCTGACTTTAGAGACTAAAGACTGACTGGTATCCCCCACATGATAGTACACAGTGGGCTGAGTGCCAGTAAGGTCTGGTTTGGATTGGTAAGACACGGCTGTCTGGGCTTTCTGGCAAGCAGTAGCTCCTGTGACTTGCTAGGCACCTTTAGGGTTGCAGTGATGCTACATTTGGTGCTGCCTTTCCTGTCAGGTTCTTTTGAGCTTGAAGAATATCAAATAAAGAAGGTCAGCAGTAGGGCTGGGCGATATGGCCAAAAACATTATCACTATAAAATTTTTAATATCGGTCGATGTCGATAATTATCACGATAAATGTCAAATCCATTATTTCTTTCAAGTTTAAAGGCAGATTTTTTCTACTGAGTGAAAGTTGAAGAAACCAGACAGTTAATTGGTAAATTAAACAACTCTTTATTTTAAAAACACAACAAACACTTGCCAAACAGCAGAAACATTAAACAAATCTGAGGTAGAGAGTATTCAAGTCTTTTTTTTATGTCAAAATATGCATGAGTAAAATTTACAAAATAAATATCTGACCAAATATCTGAATGCTGACCAAGCTCACAGCCATCATGAACAACACCTCTCATTACTTTTAGCAACAGACTGCTCCAGCTACGGTGTTACCGCAGGTCTTTCCTCCCGGCGGCTGTCAGGGTGTATAACGCTGCCCTAGGCTAGGACTGTTAGCCCTTCATTTGCTCATCTATGGACAGCATGTTTGCTCCATTGTACTTTTTGGACAATCAGTCTTTATAAACCTATGCACATTTTGTACATATTTTGTTTTTACAGTGACTATGGTCATCACATTTTGCACACACCTATTTATTTATTTTGTTCTTTTGTTTTATAACTATTCTGATGTCTGTTTTTGTTTGTCTTGGGCTGGACTGCTGTAACACATCACATCAATTTCCATACGGGATTAATAAAGTATTATCTATCTTAATAGAAAAATTAAATACTGCAGTGTGATAAAACACACATAGAAGATGGCTCAGACAGACTGCGAAGTTTAAAGTGCTCTGTTTTATGTCTGATCGTAAAAAGCCGAAATATCTCCAAATTACCAAAGTTGAATGACCTTTTCTGTCGACGATGTCATCGTCCTTCGAGCTGGTCATTGGCAGCACTGCATTTTCTTCAGTGTTGCTCATTTCTCCACTCTAACTACAATCCTGTCAGTCACCACCGTGTGGGTTAACATCACCCCGTTAGCTGCCCGGTCTGCAACACGCACGCGCACTTGCGCAGTATTTTGTGCACATGCGCAAAGCATAAACATATATCGAACTTTTGTTAAAATTATATCGCGATAATTATCGTTATCAAATTATCGCCCAGCACTAGTCAGCAGGTGCATCGGAGTTCTCATTCCTTATGTGGTCTTGACTGGGTACCTTGGTGACCTGCACTGTTCATTGCGGAGGAGTTACATGATATCCTTTTGGTATTCATGATGCAAAATGTTTTGAAATATAGTTGCATACAAAAGAATTGGCAAATTCCCTTTGAATCAGTTTTGTTCAGCAAAGGATTTTGTTTCATGTTTTGTAAAATTCTACTTCTACCCTAACCCTAATGGAAATCTGATTAATGGAAATCTGATTAATCTTAGGTTGTAGTAATAAGGAATTCTGGTAAAATAACCAATTTCACACAGGGGTTGCTAATACCTGAAGTTTTACGGCAATGTACTTACTGAATTTGTAAATAAAAAATGTGCCACAGTTATTGTTGGTAACTGTTTGGAAGCCTTTATAACTTGTGAATACTTAATGTTTGTTGCCATTTACAATTTCATCTACATACCTCCCTTATTAATTAGCTGATTAATTCTTTTGGAATTGGTGAAGAATTTCCTGATTTTTCTGCATTCCATTAAAATTCATTGCAGTTGTGAAATGTGCTAGCAGATCTGTAGTGGTGAGAATAATAAAAGCATGAAGATGATAAAACAAGAGAATAGAGGCTAGCTAGCTGAAGGACTGAAATGTGTGCTGGAACATAATCGTGAAGTGAGAGATCAGTGCTTTCTATCAGCTCTGTGTTTCCTTTACAAACATACTAGTGACATGGCAATTAAGAGTGAATAATGTGTGGTAATTAATGATTTTCAAATGTATTGACTCAAATTTAAAAGGGATATCATTAATCAATTATCTGAAGGATGCTTTTTCCTGAGAAAATTTGCAGCAACCTGTACCCTCTTAAAGCTGCATTGTGTGATCAAAATGAACAATCTGGAAACCTTGGTTGAAGTCTAAAGATCCGTAGGACAGTTGGAATCAATGACTGATTTCTGTTCTGTTTATCTTAATTATTTCTCTAGAAAAGGACAGTTTGTTTGACTTTTTAAAGATTCCTGTTGCACCACTGTTTGGATGCTCTAACCTAAATGAGCGGTTTCATATTGCAGTTGAGACCAGCCAGGCATCCCTGGGCCAGGGATGACTGGGTAGTGCCGAGATCTTGGATTTGATATCCTGCTGTTTTCTACCACAGTCAAGTTATTGATATATGTAATATTACAGATGTTTTCACTTAAAATACATTGTACTGAATCATCTACATGCCCCACCATGTAGAAACGATGGCAGACATGGTTTACTGCAACTGTGTCCGAAAGAGAGCATTAAGAGATGCTTCATAAACATTTTGAACTAGTGTTGTCCTTCGTGATTGTAATGGATGTCGGTATACACAGTTCTCATTATCAAGTGTAGTGCTGGTTTGCTTATGGTGAGTTGTCTGTAATTACTCAAATGGTCCTCCTGTATTACAGGAAAAACAGCCCAACAGTCTTTTTATGTGATGGCCTCTTAAGGTTTTGAGCACGGCAATTTCACATTGAATGATGCTTGAGGAACTCGTCGATCTATTCTTTCAATCAGGATAGAATAAAGGGGTTAGATGTGTAAAACAGAGAGTGGTGAACATGCTGGGACCAGACTGAATCAGGAGACTGTAAACACTTCAGTTGTACTGGCAAGCTTCTGGACATTTTTACATTTAAAATAGAATAATATTTAAAAAATTTAAGAAACATTCAATATAAGTTTGAATAAGTAAGAAGGATATATGGTGCCTTTTAAAGCATATGACATGAGATCTAAAGTTGTGAAATCCAGATGTCTTTGGTAAATGGTTGATTCTCAAATTAAAATGTCAGAATCTAAGGTAATGTATGTACATGAATTGAAAACCTGGTTAATCTTGATCAAAGGGGACACAACTATCTATAGTAAGCTGTGTAAATGATGTTCTGAAGGGAATTAATTTTAAGTTAATCACTCTTCCTGATCTACATCTGTGAAGTAGACTGTTGTAATTGGCAAATTTAAATATGTAAACCCAAATTAAGCAAGGGACTTGTAAAGCCATTGTAATATAAGGCTTGTGAAGTAATACTGGTGGCAATACTACTACTACTAATGTATTTTTATTATTATATAAAGACAGTTACATTTATATAGATACTTTTATATTTTCTGGAGACTCCACTCAAAGTGCTTAACAGGTAATAGCGTACCAGTCAGGTGGTTAAGCCCCAACCTTTTGGCTCCTTCCAAAGTGGCAAAAAAAGTCACCTACAAACCACTAAATGAGAAAGATTGATGGTTAATTAACTTATCCTGAAGTATGGATTTCTTCTGTCTTTGCATTTGTGATTTATTTAGTTGAAGTTAACCTTTTGAGGTAAAGTTTTTGTTTTGAGCATGAAATGAAGAAATCAGCCTTCTTTGCCTTCCATTCTAGAGACAGCACACAGGAGTCAGAAAAGAGGTCAGGAGGTCCTATCCATGATTTCAGATAAATGCACATTCAACACATTTTATGGTTCTTGCACTGTATGTAAATCAAAGCTAACTCACTGTATGCAAATCAAAGTTAATTTTTTAAACAGTCTGAGGTTCTCAAGGCTTCTTCATTCTGATTTTTGTAAGCGCATGCTGTTAAAATAAAGGCTTTTAAAATTCAGTTAAAACACTTAAGATGGTTGTGCTTCATCTTACTCAGTTTTGAACTGGGCTGATTTTGTGCTCACCTGGCACAGGTGTGTTGTGCTTAGTGAACACAGCGGCAGCAGACTACAGGCCTCTGATGGTGCCTGTTGTGTCTCTCGCTCCCACAGGGGTTCGTATCGCTTCGAGAGGGCCAACGGCACCTTCTTCGATGTCCGCATCCCACCATTTTCTCTCGAAAGCAAGAAAGATGATTCGCCCAATGGCTTCCTGCCGGGGCCATTTGCAACTTTAGCCTGAGTCCAACAGCTGGCACGGCTGCCTCAGAAGTGCTGCTCTGGGCTGTGTGTTGAGGGTGGGGTGGTAAGGCACCTCAGCAACACCTTGCTCACAGTTGAACGTTTTTTTCATTAGACACTGCCATGAAGATCCTGCTTAAAACTGATCATCAGTGCTCAGTCAGAGTGAAAAACAAAGGCATTTTTAAGTTGAACAGCTCAGCTTTTTTGCTGTGCCTAAGGCGGTTTTTCTTCCTAATTTAACTTCTGTGTTGGCACCTTCCAGTCTGCAGTAATTTGTAATCAAGGGAATATACTGTACATCAGCATCAAGTATTTGATCCTGAAGAATATTGATAGTTGTTAAAAAATACATTTTACACTTAATAGTACATTTTAAAATGATTTTAGACTTGTAATTTGTTGTAGTCTTGTGGTTTTTGAAGTCTATAGTACCACTTATTCCATCTGAAGAGGAAAACACTGAGGGATAAGACCTTGCAAGAATATGATCCCATTCCATGGATTAATCACAACATAATTCTTAGTACAACCTAAGCTCACTCTTGTCTATCTGTTCAGCGCAGAGGCATTTGGAACTGCTATCCCCGGTAATATAAAACATCAAAATTTATTTTTTCTGTTTTTATATAAAGCAAGTAATCAATTAATTGTAATATAATTTCTTAAATGGCATGTGCTCTATTGAAATGTAGTATTTAATCAATTTAAAATCTAAGATCATCATACAATTATCCCATATGAATAGAAAAAAAGTGCATCGTGTGAAGTATCATATTCACTGTAAGTGAAGTGGCTATAAGAGAACTGGAAGTCTTTGGTTCTGCCACTGCTGGAATAGTCTAGAAATATTTCAGTCCTGGTTGATCATCTCCCAGTACATTTTGGGAGACTATTAATGTAACACATTGACCCTGTTAAAGGGTAAGTGCAACGCTATTTTATATTTCGGGGTTAGAAAGAATCTGCATTGGTGTGAGCATTTCATACTACACTAAAAGTAAATGTACACAGTAACTGGAACAACCTCCAATTTATATCACAAAATAGAAGACATTCGCAGGTATGCGGAGAGCCATGTTTTGCTATTCAGAACGTGGCACCAAGATTTTCAGTGATGTGAAGCAGCCCTATTGTATTGCAAACAGGCAGACTTGAGGACACATCTCTTTTAAGTCCAACAGAAATATTGCTTTCAACCTCAAGATGGTTTTGCTGACAAATACTATTTAATTATCTCAGCATGCAGATCACATTGGAACATTTCTGTGGTGAAATGGCTGCACAACCTGTACTTATTCACTTGCACATTGTATTACATTAGTCATTATGGAGACTAATAAGCAGGAAGGGCTGCATCACATCACAATTTGTGAGAACTCAAAAGTGAGTTTGTGACAACATGGCAACTTGCAGTACTTTCACAAAGTTCACAATTTTGTTCTTCAATTTAAATTTGTACAATTTTTCTATAACGTCACTGAATTTATTTTGTTGACGAGATTTAATAAGTGGTCTGAGTTCCCCTTTAAGAGATGCTTGAGGAAAGAAATGCTTTTGTGTCTAAACTACGAGAATAACATGAACAACCTCAAGTTTAAGTATTCCCTAATCTGTGAATGCGCTTGCAGACTTTGTGAATGTAGATAACTGTACATAAACTAAGTATGAAAGGCTTAATGAATACCATGTAAAAATAACTAATAATATTACAAGAAAAAGTGTAGTTGTTAAAAGTGAAAATATATATTGTTTGTGATGGGGAAATGTAATTTATCTACTTGCCCTTTTGACTTCTTGCAAAGGCAGATCTTTCTAGTGGTCTTAATATTTATTTGGTTGATAGTCTAAATTATCTATAGTAACGTGCCAAGCTCAAAGGTACAACGGCAGTGCCATCTACGATTTGTAGACACGGCCTTCCAGTCCCCGGCTCTACCAACAACAACTATTACTTTCAGCGCTAATGTAGCCACTGAAGAGTGTAGGGAATTAAAACGTATAGATGGAGGTTTGTCTTTAAACAGTTCAAGTTTTCTAAGACTGCCTTCAGGGAAACAAGATATCCTCATGCATTATCTAAATTCTAAAAGTATATTTAGTGCATTAAACAGTTTTCTTCTCTTAGTTCTCATGCCACAAAAAGTGTAACCTATTGGTTTAAGCTTTATCTTTTTATGTTATTTGCTCTATGAAATTGCTTCAGTCATTTAAGTACAATTTCTTATATTAGGAATTCGTCTTTTTTCGCATACCCGTACTTGCTTGAAGCTTGAGGTCAGAGCACAGGGATAGCCATTTATACGATGCCCCTGGAACAGTTGGGGTTAAGGGCCTTGCTCAGGAGCCCAACTGCAATTGTTTTCAATGCGATATTGAGCCATTCTGTACTTTATGAGCCTTGGCTTTGCTGCAGCACTGATTGGTGTGTCTGGTCAAAGCAGCAGAATGTGTCACAGTGCCACTTGGCAGAAAACTGTTTATAGCTCTGGACATTGGCTTCAAACTGGTGCTGCTGCTTCACTTGTAATCTGTGTAGACAGTTACTGGCCAGGATATTATTAACACGGCAAATAATGAGTTTGCCAACTGTAAGCAGAAAGAGCAGCTTCAGCAGGACATGGCTCATGTGCCACAAGGGTCTAAAATGTTTGCAGTCTAGCTCTATCCCCATTTTTCCTGCAGAGTTGGCGTCAGTTGACGTTGCAATGAGGGTAGTGTGGGGTTGAACTGCAAGTTTCACCTATTTGCGGGACTGAGATCTGGGGATCAGCTCAGGTCATAATACTCATAATAACCGAATACACAGTTCGGTTTTGTAAATCTCTTTACAAAACTTGATGCTTTATCTTTCACAGCGGTGGGATCTCAAACTCTCCGGTCTAGGACAAGCTGTTCCTTACACCTGTGACCCCTTCTTTGAACTATTTAATTCTTCTGTTAAGCACTTTTGAAATGGTTATCTTTGCTGTTCTCATTTTGTGGACGTTTTAAAGAACAGACATGATGTTACTGAACACAGCTTGGTGGTGGGGGGATAATGGTGAGATGGCAAATTGTAAAGCAGCAGGTACTGTGGCTGTCCACCAGGGTACCACAAGCTAAAATTAACAACCTAAAATTTCAGTTTGCTGCTGAAAAGTCCCCCAGCAGACTCCCATTACACTTATGTATCTTCTATGAGCACGCAGTATGTCATTTTTGTTTTTTCAGTCAGCTCTAAAGTCTTTCTATTTTAGTTGCTTTTTAAATTTGAAACTCCTAATTATAATAATAATAATAATAATAATAATTGCTTACACTTATATAGCTTTTTTCTGGACACTCCACTCAAAGCGCTTTACAGGTAATGGGGACTCCCCTCCACCACCACCAGTGTGCAGCCCCACTTGGATGATGCGACGGCAGCCATAGTGCGCCAGAACGCTCACCACACACCCGCTTAGTTTCAGTGGGTTGCCAGTTGTGAGTTGCAGGGTGATATGGCTGCTGGCTCATATAATATTTTCACAATCAATTAATTACTTATCAAATCCCAGACACATGAGACCAAGGCTGGAGAGGGGATTTGGATAAAAATTAAATGTTATACTGTTGCGAAAGTACTAGAAACTAATTGAACCTCTGATAGGAGAAATGGTTAAGGTTTTATGACTGAATATGTTAAGGGTAAAAGCAAGCTGAAAACTGGAATAAATAGACTGTTTTGGAATATCTTACTATTGATAAACTGTACACAGGAAAGTAGTCTTCCTTCTTATCAGAAAAGTCCTTTTCTTTTGGCTCTGAAAGTGGAGTGAAAGTAGATTTTATTGAAGTACTAGATAAATGAGAGAACATTCTCTCAATCTTTTTCTTGTATTGAATTGTTCCTGTTTTTCCATCTTTACCCATTTTAGATCTTGGTTTAATTCATGTTCCAAAATGTAATAGTTTTAACTGTAAATTTAAAAAGTGTGTTTTTTCCAAACTAAAGTCTCCAAGAATAGATTCATTTGCATTGACAATGGTAAGAAAATATTTAAGTAAACTTGGTTAACATGCTCAGTGTCTAAAGCTCTGCACTTTTTTTTTGCTAAACTCAGATATCTGTTTTGTTGAAGAGTGGACTTAATGTGTGATTGATGAAAATGGCTCACAGATTTAACCCTTTACCCACCAGTTTTGAAGGGTTCATACAGTATCTCCATGCTGGCCTATGGCTGACTCTGTAACCAATAAACACAAAAACCTGAGGAACTGCATCTTATCAGCTTCTCTTCTGATCTTTATTTTTCTTAGTGAGATGTCCTCTCTAATGTTGCACTATTAATATTATGACCAGGTTATTTTTGATGGTTAAGAACATGTGCAAAAATGTAAGTCTCTGTATTCTCAGGAATGAATTAAGATCTCTTGTATTGGTTACTGACAACTGTTTGGAAGTCAGTGGAGCAGCCCTTTTATGTGAACTACAACTCCTTTATGCTTCCCTGTTATTGACATAGTCCTGTCATTACAAATTCATACACAGCTTGCCCAGCCAATTCTGTTGGTTTTTATGAAAATGTCAGTTGAATTAAAATTTTTCCATTGTAAGAGTGGGATGGGGACAGAAAAATCAAAAATCCTCAAACACAGTATCCACAAGTAATGGGCGTGAACCAAAAGATTTGAAACATTTGAGATACGCTCATAAGAAAAGTGGTTGATCTTAATATTAAATGTTTTATGATGTAGGCTTTTAATAGCTGTTTAAATAATATAAATATCATCGTACATTTTTTTTTTTCACAAGCCATGTTCATAACCACCATTGGTCATCGAATAAAGATATATTCTCTCCATGACTTAGACCATACAGGGATCAAATCCAAGTCACTGATGGTATCTGAGTGTTATTAAAATGGCCTGTGTCACTCGTCTTCTCTTGCAAGCAGTGACATACACACAAGTGTGAGCATGAAATCTTGATAATCCCTCTTTTCCTACAGGGGCACTTTTCGCATTGAGAGGACAGATGGCTCTAATTTTGATGTGCGTATACCCCCCTTTTCCCTGGAGAGCAACAAAGACGACAAAGCGCCCCCTGCTGGGTACAGCTGGTAGAGAACCACAAGACAAGAAAGCATAGAATCATAATAGTAATGCCAAACAAGTTTTATTTTTTCCTATTTTGTTTCTCAAAGTTTCAGTATAAGTAAGTAATTTCATAACTTATGCTTAAGGGTTAGTGTGGTAATCAAAGCATTTACAATAGTAATGCTAACCAACACATTTCCTTGTTGCTGCCTTTTGTTTGGCATGTTTTAGATTTTGGTTTCTTGTAGAAGTGTTCAAAGGCTGTAGAGGGTGTATTGTTGTTGTTGTTGTTCAACACAGTCTGCTGTGTTCCTGAGTGATATAACCCTCAGCACAGTGCAGAGTATTCTACCCCTGTACACAAAAAAAACAAGCCTCTCTTTAATGCATTGTATTTCAAACATTGTAATATTGTATTCTTAAGTGAGAATAGTGAAATAGAAAAGGTTGTTTCTGGATTGGAGGGTTGAAATGCTGTGGACAGTGTACTGGGTTACATCATTTGAGAATGAGGTGAAAGCTGCCTCATGCAAAGTGAATGTCCTCTCTGACTCCAGATGTTTTAAAAATCCTTCATCTTTGAAAAGATGTGAACAAACGTTTTCTTAAATAATACTATCATAAGGAATGTAGTTAGTGTTAATATTTGAGGTTATATGATGTATTGCTTGGTAACCTTTAAAAGATACATTATTTATTTCATCATGCTTTAGTTCGGGATGGACTGGGAAATAAAGTAGGTGATCATAGATGACTATTCTGCCAACACTGGAGTCTGAACATCTAAGGGTAGTAGTGTAGTACAGGAGAAAGAGGTGAATTAGTCTCATTTGCAATATTCTCTTACAAATAAAAACTTCTTTCTACATATTTAAAAGCTAAGGCAATACATTGATCTACTGATAATTCCAAATTAGTTCAAGGTTTACATCCTGGAGATTTATATTTGAGCTCTTTCACTGACCTCATTTTGAATCATTAGCCATGTGATGGAGAACATCTATTTGAGCTGCTGTGTAACTAAAGTAATTTAGTCTAATTGTTTCAATGTAATCTACAGAACCATGTGTACTGCCATATTGTTTTTAATCATTTTATGATTGTCATAATTATTCAATGCATTGCCTTAGTTATGGCCTCAGAGTTGTTACTTGGAAGTGTTCTATTGCAGTAAATGAAAGGGAAAATGAGAATGCTCAGGGTAAGATACAAGTTCCAGTGTATAGCCTATGGCACTTCTCTTTAGTGTGTTTAAAATGCTGTGCACAATTAAGATGATGTGCACATAAAAGATGTTGGCAGTAAAAAGGACATTTCTCCTAGAACTATTGAGCAGGACCGTTGCTGGTTCTCTTTGTAAGAAAGTGTTGGACTTCTGAAATACACAGGCTGTGCTGTTCTGATTTCACAGGCTAGTAATGTTTGTAGGGGAAAAGTATAAGTTACAACCTTCACTGTTCATACTTCCGGCTTCTGAATGAGGTTACTTACGGGCCTGTGTAAATGTGTGATTTAGCCGAAACTGAATGTTTACAATGCCTATATTTGAATTCAGGGTGTTATGTACAAGTTTTTTAAGAAGGAAAGAAAAATAAAAAGCATGTCACATTTGTAACAAAATGTCCTGAAGTTGTTTTTATTGATATTTTTATATCGAGCTATGTCCTTCACCAGTGCAGTTTTTTAAACTAAACAGATGTAGTTAAAAACCTGTGATTAGAGTTTATGGTTTAGATACTCAGTCCCTTGAGTCAAGACTTTGTAAAAGTACCTTTTGGGCCAACTACAGCTTTGAGCTTCTTGGGTATGTCTGTATCAGCTTTAGTATAGATTTGGGGATTTTTACTCATTTGTCCTTGCAGATGTGCTCAACTTCTGTCAAGCTGAATGGAGAACATCAGTGAACCACAAGCATCAAGCCCTTTTACAGGTTTTTAGTGGGATTCAGGTCTGGACTCTTGCTAGGCCACTCATTGAATTCTCCTTGTTTTGAAGAATCTCCAGTGTCACTTTGTATACTTGGGTGTTTATTCTCCTGTTGGAACATAATGGGGTGAAGATTGTACGATCTTTTGTTGACTGATCACATTAAGGAAGAGGGGAGAAGAAGAAATAAGAGAGAGGAGTCTGGAGAAATTGGGACTTGAAGCTTGTGCCAGGCGAGAGCCCCGACTTCATGATCATCCAAACCAAACCTGACTGGAGCTGAGTATTTGAATCTTGTTGGAGAGAGCATGCTATTCTGTTAGAATATTCAAGTTCTATTAGAGAACTTGGGTTTCCTGGGTAAAACATACCTCAGAAATATCTTTCTTACTAAGGGTTCATTTTTATGGATAGGGATATAGGCTCCCATTTATTCTGTGGCATCCAGGGTGCAGATGGAGATTTAATTGCAAGTTGCATTGTATTTAGTTAGAAGGCAGCTTATGTGGCCTCTGTAGGCATTTGGAGTTTAATACGTAGTAGCCATCTGGGGTTTCCTGGGTGACCAGCATGTCAGGCCTCTAAAATGCCTTGTTTGTAAATACTGTACATAGAGTAATTTGTTTGTTTTGTCATTGAAATAAATATTTGTTTAACCAAGTGTGCCTGGATTATTACTCCTCTTAAAGTTGTGCCAGAGAATAAAGAATTCATGATTCTAAGAATCGCTCGGGTATATTCTAGTGAATCGTCTACAAGTTGGGGGGTTCTGAACATTTGTTGAATAAACCACTTGCCCAAATCCTGATTTTTCACTATTTTTGTAACCCCCCCCACTAGGCATATGGGTCCCCTGCATGCACTGGGTACGACGGGTAAGATAATTGTGCAAGATAAAGCCTGGGGGCAGTGAAGATGAATTTAATTCAGTTTTATCATGATAAGCATGAAAGTCATTAAAACGTGTTAATTTAATGCAGGATTTTTTTTTCAATGCTGCTGTAGTTTAATTTGCCCCTTCTGGAAAAACTCCATTCATGAAACTGGAGAAGATGTGCATATGATTTTTGACTAACAAAACAAGTGAGTACTGGTAACACATCTCAAAGATTCTCTAATTCCTTTCAGTTACAATTAACTTGTAGACCTCTTTCTGTGGTACACAGGCAGGCAGTGACTGGTAAACAGATGTGGAGAAATCAATAAAAAAATTGTCATACAAAAAAAATGACAATTCACACTACAATTGTGGATTTTGGAGTCTTATTCCCAGTATATTGATGGAGGGAGAATTTCTGTGTAGAATCGTATGTCTTCTATTTATTTTTTTTAGTCTTTTAACAGTCCTTTAACTGTTTCTCAAGATAAATACGCCCAGTAACTCACCGCTTCAGGAAGGACACCAATGCCGATGAAATGCTGATGGTTTAAGCAAGCGAAAGGGAAGAATCCTTCTAAAATACAGGGGCCATCAGGAGGGCAGAAACACTCTGCATTGGGTAGGATCTGTGGAGCCGTGATGCCCCTGAGGCAGAGCCCTTTTTCTCCCTCGACAGCAAACCACTCCAGTGACAGATAGCTGGAGCAGCTACCTGCTGTCGTGGGACCTCCTGCAGCCTGGGAATGGGTAAAGGGATTTGACAGGGATGCATCACAAGCCCATTCCTCTTCCCACTGTTTACACTCTGTACCGACCCTCTTTGCCTGCACTGCTGCTACAAAATGTCCTCTCTCGAAGGAATAAAATTAATTAACTTCTGCTTCTCATACAAACTGATTGGAATTACAGCGAATGTTCCGCGCTATGTCTGTTTGAAACATGGTTTGATAACTCCTTTACAGACTCGGCTGTCTCCCCACCAGGTCTTACAGTGCACGAAGCATACAGGTCAGTCAACTTATTCTGTAAATCTAAGCATTTGCTTTATGATAAATCAGCAGTGGTGTAACAACTTTTCAATATTACACCAGTTTTGCTCCCCAGATCTTGAGTGTCCCATTAAATGCAGCCTGTTTTATTTACCTAGAGAATTTGCTTCAATCGTGCTAACTGGTGTTTACATTCCACCTCAAACGCTATGCTAGCAGAGCTATACTGTATGTGAACCAGCACAACATATTGCTACTATGGAAAGGTCTTATCCAGCCTGCGCAGTTATAGCCTACTTTAACCACGCTAACCTGCCACATTACAAAAGGCAAGTTAACTGTCCTACCAGTTCTAGATCACTGCTACTGCACATTGGATCCTGCTTATCATGCCTATCATAAAGCACCACTTGGAAACTCAGATCACACAATAATTTTGCTTACTCCGATTTATAAACAAAATAAAAAAAATAAATAAAATCAAAAGTTAAATCAGTCAAGGTCTCGTGCCCAGAAGCTATAGAAAGCCTGGGAGGGTGTTTTGAATGTACAGCTTGGAATTTATTTAGCTCTGCTTGTGCCTCTTTGGATGAATACACTGATACTGTTACATTCTATATAAGTTTCTTTGAAGAGGTATGCATTCCTACAAAAATTTTCAAGACATACAGTAACAAGAAGCCATGGTTCTTAAAATAACAGCAAGACCTATGCCGTTGGAAGCATAAGGTTTCATCAAGGGTGACCGGACTGAATATATTTCAGCCAAATATGAACTGCACTCTGCAGTGAGGAAATCTAAGAGCAACAACAGTAAAAAAACTAGATGACCAATTTTCTGACAACTCAAGAACAGTTTGGAGTAAAATTAAGGAAATTACCAACCACAAGGAAAAAAACTCTGCCACTTTACTGCAGGACGACCCGTCTCCCAGATAAACTCAACCAGTTTTATGCTCGCTTTAAAAAACCTGATGTGAAGGCCTCCTCATTATCATCCCTTTCACTTTTGCCTCCTTCATTCTCTATCCATACTGACGAAGTAAGCCACAGGTCCAGTCAATTTGTCAACTGCAGCCCTCAGCTACTACTCTGATCAGCAGGCTCCTGTGTAAAGGCACATTGTGTGCACAGACTTAAAAGTAATATAGATGATAACTGTCTTTTTCAAAGCAGCCCAGAAAATTTACGTTTCTATTGGTTATGCCCTGTTGTTAAAATACTCTGAATTGATCTGCAAAATTGTGTAAAGAAAGTTTCTAATACTGACATTTCTTTTAGAGAAATAGATGTGATTATGCTGAAACAAATATAAAAATACAATTTATCATTGTCGTAATCATTATACTTGCTAATTATTATATGCATACATAAAATAATTTTACCGTATCTCTTAATAGCAGATTATCTTCTAATTACGAGCTCAATTACGAGCAACACCACAATCGCCATACAATACGTAGATTATCATGATCTGACTTTCAGTTTTGGGCAGCAGAATCGATTCCAGGGCAAACTCGTTCTTGTTTGAGGATCCGTGTGAGTCATTGCACAATATAACAGGTAGCTCATAGATTGAAATTATCGTTGCATTCTACTAATTACGATATTTTTTTCCAATATGTTTTCCTGAGTGGGAGCAATGCGCTTCCAAATGGAAGAGACTCACATTTGAACAATTTAAAATACACATGAGGGCACGTCTCCGAACTATTTCTAAAAGTCACAACATGAAAGCTGTGCGTACCTTATCTTTATTTGCCTGTATAATGTACTCCGGTGATCTGTAACGTAGTCTTGCGTGCATCGTAAAGGATCCGGACTTCCGGCTACGGAAAACCCGGAGTGGATCAGCCTT